TAAAGAATGTTTGTTGATCAGACTTGTTAACTAAATCTATTGAATGCTCAAAAGTTCATTCAATCAGTTTATCTGCTTTTACTGCTCTTATACACTCTGAGTTTCATCAGAGATGATGTGCATTGAAGTCTTCTACAATTATAGAGTTTTTTAAGAGAGTTATATTCAAAAATTCTCTGTTAATTGTTCAGATATTGTTGTTTTCTTTCAATGATTTTTCATTATAGATATTTATAAGTTGAATAATATTAAACTCATTATCTTTATCTATAATGTCACTCACTAGAATGTCAGAGTCAGATATGATATCAAATCTCAGATTAAATTAATATCTTGATCTTTTTCTCTCATAGATTGCTACTCTTGATTTTATCTCAGATTTTTCAGAAAGAAAGCAGTAATAGCTTGAATAAGAAATAATATACTTTTACTCAGTATCAAAGTTTGATTCTTGAAGAAGTACAAAGTCAACTTTTTATTCAAATGTAATCTGAAGACAAGAATAAATGCAATTTAAGTTTCTATTCACATTGTTTTAAATAAATGTGATTTTTGAAGAGTTTTTAAACTTTTTTTGTTGTTTTTGTTGTATATTCATACTAAAAGAGAGTGAAGATATAGTAGAATCTAATCACTATCACTAGATAGTAGATTATAACTATTTTGAAAAGCAGGAATCTCAACTGCTTGCATTCTATCTAGTTTATCATCAGAGTCATTTCTCAATTCTCTAATCTTAACAGATATTTGAGAATTCAAATTCTGTTTATATTTAGCTGAAGAATTGAAGTTTGAAGACCTAGATAGTTAAGAGTTTCTTCTTTTTAAGCTTACAGTTGTGAATTTACTAGCTTGACTTTTTTCTTCAGTTTTAGATTCACTTTAAGCTTCATCTTTTCTTCAGTTCTTCTGAGTTCTTGAAGTAAATATACATTCTTTTGAGCTAGATGCATGTTTTTCTTTGCAATTAAAGCACTTAAGCAGAGTATATTGACATATTTCATCTCTTTTTAAGTATGTTTCATATTTATGCTCACTAGTTTTGTAATCTCTAGTATAGAATATGCATTTTGAGTCTCTGAAACAAGAAATTGTAAAGTGTTCATATCTTTGATAGTTTGAACACTGTGTTTGAGCTTTGAGATTTATTCTTGAGTCTTTGTATTTATAAACTCTTATTTTCAAATCTGCTACTCTTACTTCAGAGATTCTTGATTATTTAAGTGTCTTTGTATATACTAGAACAGAGGCATTTCTTCTACTCTATCTGAACTCAATTGAATTAAGTTATACAGACTCTTTTCTCAGTTGAATAGAATTGTATTCTTCTAATTCATTTTTGAGAAGTAGCATTTCTTTCTCACAGTCAAAAATTTCAACTAGAATATTATAAAGAATGAATTTGTCTCACTTTTTATCTCTCTCAGATAGAATTATTGTATTCAGTAGAGATTCTATTACTGATTTTCAGAGATTCTTATTCTGAATGAGGAATTCTGCACTAAATTCAGGCATTGTAGTCAAAATAATAGAATTTTCAAAGAAAGATGACTTAATTGAAGCTATAACTGATTTTTGAACTTCAATATCAGTTATTAACTGAGAAAAGAACTGCTGATTAATTTCATTTCTAATTCTGAAAATAAGATTTAAGTTTAGCTTGTTTTTTTGCAAGCTCTTCTGATTTAAGACTTTGAGAATAAGTCTTCTATTTCTGAAGATTTGAAAGTTCTTCTCTTTTTATATTTCTTTTTTTTTCTTTCTATAAACAGAGATCTGAGTAATATTCTTCTTAGTTTTCTCAGAATTTTGAGCAGATTTTGAACTAGCAGGTTTGAAGATAGCAGATTCTGCTACTTAAGTATATATTTTCTTCTAATTTGAAGAAGAAGATGAAGAAGTAGAAGATGAAAAAGAGTCAGTGACTGTGCTGAAAGATTTCAATGTTTTTTGAATTGTGTTTAAAATTTCAAGTTTGAACTTGATCACTTCTTGTAGTTATCTAGTCTGAGTATGAAGAATTAATAGAACTTCTTCATTCTTCTCACTCAGACACTGTTTTTCAAGAATTTTACTTGCTTTTTTCAGTTTCTGTATTTTAAGAACTTGTTATTTCTCTATTTCTTTCTTCTTTCTTCTCTTTAGAATTTCAATCTCAGAAACAGTATCTGAAAAAACATCTTTTTTCACATCAACTGAGTGTACTCTTGAACTCATTTTACTCACTGAATGAAAAGTTGATCAGACTGTTTCAATTGAGAGATTTATCAGTCTATTTTCAAATGAAAAGTTGATCAGACTGTTTCAATTGAGAGGTTTATTAATCTATTTTCAACTGAAAAGTTGATCAGACTGTTTCAGTTGAGAGATTTATTAGTCTATTTTCAATTGAAAAGTTAATCAGACTGTTTCAAAAGAAGAATGAAAGACTTTTATATGTAAAATATCTGATTTTTTTCACACTAGTTCAGTAACTAAATCAGATTTTTGAAGAGAATCTAATAAACTAAAAGTGATTTTTAAGATAAATTAATAAAATCTTTATAAACTCTTTCTTGAAATACAGTGAGAAAAAGTATGATATCAATTGATAATAAATCAGATAATATGACAGTTTTTGAGAGAAAAACTGACAAAAAATAAGTTAATTTTTTACAGAGAAATTGATTAAACTATTCAATTTTATTCTAAATTATTCAATTCTTCTCACACAACAAGTGTGCAACTCAAATCAGTCAATAAAGAGTGTAAAAGAGAATTAAGTATTAATAAAAGCTCTTTAGTCACTGAAAAAGTAATTCTTACTTAAAAGAATATGAAATTATAATAGAAAACAACTCTGTTTTTAATTCTTTATAAGAATATTGTATAAAACTCAGAGAAAAACATCTTACTTTTTCAAGAGAAGTAAAAAACTATTTCTAAGATCTTTTTTTTTTATTGCATTAACTGCTGCAAAAGAATGAGATAGAAACTACTAAGATATACACTACTGTATATTCTTTATCAAGACTTTCTCTTTTCAGAGTCTTGATATTATAGAGAATATAAGTCTGTTTCTATATAATAATATAAATATTATCAGTGAGATGTAGAGGAACTGATTATTTATATCTCAAAATAGAAGACTTTATTAATAATTATATCAATATAGAGATAATTCTCAAATTCAATAGAAATCTAGTATTGCTGTTCTCAATTCCTTGCAGAATCTATTGAATATTGAGGTATTAAAACTAGATTTAATATATCTCACTGTGCAGGGATCAAAGGCTCAGTCAGATCTTGAGATATACTGAATTTATAGTTATTGATATACTGTTGACTTGTTCTGTTAACTTGTTATTCACTGATTATGTATTGAGTACTATTGCCAAGGTGTCTTTTTGTATTATTCTGCCGGGGATGGGCCAGATTGAGAGGAGTGGTACAAGGGTGAGACTTGGTGTTTATGTCTAGATACACTGAAGACAGACAGGGTATTTGCAGAGATTGCACTTCAGAAGTGTCTGTTGATTATATGCTTGATATTATTGCTGAGGTATCTTTTTGTATTTTTCTGCCGGGGATGGGCCAGATTGGGAAGGGCGGTACGAGGGTGAGACTTGGCGTTGATGTTTTGGAACATCAAAGATGGACAGGGTTTTCGCGGATGTCGCTCCTCAGATATCTTCACAATCACAGATTGAGGATCTTCCAAAATCGAGAAGATTGGTGCATATGGCTAGGTCTTTTCACCTTACAATTTGTATGGCAATTTGGCCCAGGGTTGTGGTGTGGTAGGGGAGAACGGGGGATAATCCCACACAGGAGTTTCGAACAATGTTGGTTCACGTTTGGCTGGATAACTCCACCACCACACGGGGTATGCAGTCGGCGATGGGGTCAAAATGCTCGTATGATCGAGGGCTTTTCGATGGATCTATCGGCGGGTTCTTATTCAAAAAATCGAGCGAGTTCGTGGTGGAGCGGTTGGAGTGACTTTATTCTTAAATACATACACTTTAATTCTCAATCATTCTCAATCACTGATTCTTAGCTGCTATGAATATGTATAAATTCTTTCACTCTGAAGTCTTACTATGTATATCATTATATACATGTATAAATATTCACTTTAATTGTCAATTCTTGTTATACTGATCTATTCAGTGTAGATCTCTTATAACTTAAACTGTTTTTAAAAATAATATATAAGCTGATAAGACAGAGTAAGATGTTTTTTAATTTTTTTTCTTAGTTAGCTGATGCTTTTACACTGAAAAATAAATCTTGCAGAGTCTTCTGTTTTGAGCTTAGCTTCACAATGTCTTTGTACACAGAGACTCATATGTATTAAGATATTTTTAGAAACCTGAGGTGCTTAAGTTCTGGATTTAATGTATTCCCTGCGGGTTTCGAACTCACATGCCTGGATTTCCCACACCAAGACGCTACCAGGTGGCCGCATTAACCATTCAGTCACCGGGGCAGAAATTACTCTTATTTCACTGTTCTTGAATTAAATCTAGTCATTTTTCATATCATTTCTGAAAGAAATGATTCAGTTTCAGATTTTTTTGATACTCAGTTCTGATGAGACTCACATCAAGAAATTGTCAGGTCACGTGATCTGGCTTACTAATCCCTCCACCATATAACTTTCCACAAAGCTAGCAACCTTTCAATCACACAAGCTTTACATCTTTCACAGGTTATGAGACCTGTTTTGCGCAAAATCACTGCCAATTCGGGATTCCTTGTCAATATATTCACTATTTGAACTACTGCTTCATTTGATACGCTCATCAGGAGTTAAAATTGTCTTATTCTATCAGTATTGATGCGTTTGAGATCTTGATGATCAATAATACTACTGCTCGCTTAAAAAAGAGGCTTGCAGAAAACGCACCACATTTGCAAAAAAGCAAGAAAAAGAGAATGATATTGGCAAGGATTCAATAAACAAATATTGAGAATCCAATAAACGAATATTGAGAATTCAATAAACGAATATCAAGATGGTGGATTCAATACGATCTCGCCCATATACATGTTCGCGATCTTGTGTCCTTTTCACTGAATCAGTTGCAGTTGATGATGATGATGATTCTTCACACTCATGCTCTGCCAGTGGACATCCTCCTGAAGCCTTTGAAAGCTTCATTGATGAAACACTCTCTCAATTCGAAGCTGGTTTGAATACAGCTCCTGACACGGTCAGGCCGGCCCCTTGATCTACTTGACAGCTTGATGAAGCTGGTTCTCATGAATTCAACAGTTCGGGCGAGGCAATATCAGACCAACAGATGGAACATCTCAAGATGATGCTTGAGATGGACAAGGGGAAGCAAAGAGTCTTAGAACTCGAACTACAACTGGAAAAACTCCGTCAACAGAGATTCTCTACAGATCAACCTCAGAATGTCAACAATCATCCTGTCATCACATCAACAGCCACATGGAATCCTAATCTTGGTGAAAGATTGAAATTCAACCTTTATGAACTGGATAGCTGTGTTGGCAAGGCAATCTCTCAATTCAAGGAAGACATCAAGAATACTGTGAGACCAAACAGTCTGACTGATACATTCAATTACATCACATGGAGCATCTTTATGAAATCAAAACTGGTTGATGCACAGTGTTGATATATGATAGAGAAACAACAGACCCAGAATCCTCTACAAAGAGATGATGAATGGGCACCATTCTGGGACGCCAGAAACCGGTGGCTCTACACATTCATCTCGAACTCCTTGGATGCAGGTGTCAGACCATGTTTCTCCAAGTATGATGAAAATCGGATTGCTTATACTCTATGGAATGCGATTGAACAGGAATACTCTGTCCCCAAAACACAGTTACGCCGTGAGGCAGTTCTGGAATTCATGTCTCTTGGTGACACACAGGTCATCAATCTACACACATTCTTCAATAAGTTTCAGTCCGCCATCACGAAATTGGAGATGCTGAATGCTTCCCCCCCAGATGCGTGGATATTTGATACCTTCTACTCAGTTCTACCCAACAATTGGAGGAATTATGTTCAGAAGAAGATAGAGGAGATACAGGATTCCAAATCCACAGCTGTGGTATTGGATGTTGATCTTCTCATGGAGGAGATCCGTTCACGGCTTGATCCTCCAAAAGATAAAAAGAATCTGCAGAATATAGATTCTGCAGTCAACACAGCTACAACAGCTACAACGGCCACAATGACTACCAGCAACAATACATCGAATCCGGCCCGTGGAGGCTGTACTGGACGTGGTCATGGCAGTTCACAAGGGGGCTCCTGAAACCATCGGGGATCGGGAAATCCACCTATCTATCCTGAATGTGAGAGATCTCACTTTGGCATCTGTTGATTGGCCAATTCAGACAGTGCTTCAGATAATTGGAGGATCTACAACGCTGCAAGGATAAAGGAATTCAAAGAAAAGAAGGAAAAGAATAGTGAGAGTAGAACCCAACTATCCATTACAGATGGATCAGAGACCTATCAGATGGCAAACCTCGCAGAGGTTATCAATGTGCCAGCCTGTTACAAGGATCCCTCCAACGGGCGTTTATACATATCAAAGAATGTCATCTTCCAGGAGGACCTCCATCTTGCTGATCCATCAATACCGACTACTCCACACAACCTGAAGGTCCTACCCAATGCGGCCCATAAAGCGGCTGCGGCGATTCCTTCGGCGACATCAGGCCTACTCACTGCAGCCTGTCAAGAGACTGCAGCGATTCCTGATCCATCAATTGATAATCTATTCATTGATGAGGAAATTCGACCTGAGTGTTCATTATTTCTCGTACCCACTAATAATTGGTGGATTGACTATGATATCTCCGCGAGAATACCTACCTTTTTAGTGCAGAATACACTGAACTCCCCGGAACCCACAGTTGAATCTGATGACCCTCCGACATCTACAAGGGATATCACTACAGTGGGGGAAGCTTCAGTGGGGGACAGTCTTGAAGACCTACCCACCGATCCCGAGATCGCTGCACTCCCGATCCCGAAAAACCTCACGCGCGCCAAAGCTTCCATGGAATGGAAGTATTATTACAAGGCCCGTGTTAAAGAGGTCAACCGTTTGAAATATACGCGTTGGAAAGAGAATATATAAAGAAGATAGGGGGATAGGGGGATAAAAAATGATGTATATCATGACTGGTTTTTCATTACTTCACATTTTCCAGTCATTTTTTGTACCTGTACTTGATTTGAAGGCGAATTTTGTATATAGCATCGTGTATAGTTACTCTGGTGAGTGGGGGTGTCAGGTCACGTGATCTGGCTTACTAATCCCTCCACCATATAACTTTCCACAAAGCTAGCAACCTTTCAATCACACAAGCTTTACACCTTCCACAGAAATGTATGAGATCAGATCAAATGAGATTAAATGTGAAATTAATGGTCCCGCCGGCCAGTCTAGTGATTACTACCTACGCCTACCTTAGTCACGTGCCACTAAATGAATTTAGTAGCAGCTCGGTTAGCGAGCTTAATACACACAACGTTGATCCTTCTAAGATCCCCATCCTTCTATGAAGAGAAGGACCCGGAGAATAAGCTCGGGCGGCAAGATTTCGAAGATGTTGCGGTTTCCGTTAGCTGCCGCTATGCTTTGGAAAAACCGAGTAGTCGTCTGCTGATCTGAGGTAATTTCAAGGCATTGACAACCTTTACCATCCCTCTTGTAGTTCTGTAGCTTTTCCGTTCTTTTTCGCCGGAGTCTTCCAGTGTTTAAGCCCTTCGGTATCCTTGGCCTCTGCGGTGGTTTTCCTGGTCTTGAAACTAGCCTGTCGCTGCTTCCGAGGGCGAGCTGCGACAGTATTAGAAGTGAAAGGAGATGTAGTAGCAGAGTTTGTGAGAGTAAGCTGAAATGTTGAAAGCTCAGTTGGTTTGAGTTGTTTGATCTTCTTGCACGGTGTAGTCTAGTCATACACCATCCCAGTCACCATCTTTTACTTTCTATCTGCAAGTAAATAGATTATAAATAATATCTCATATATAGAGAAATAACTCTTTTCATGCTGAAATTGATATTTATAGTGGCAAGAGATGTTTGAGCATGAGTAGTTGATAATTGAAGGTGAATGAGAAATGGTGAGAGAGGTGTCAAACCACAAAAACACTGAATATTTATGTTAGCTGTCTGTAGAAGAAGTTTATTTCGGGAAAAAGTAAATGGCACTGAGTCTGAGAAGGCCGAAATTTAATATAGACCTGGGAGTAATATATGTGTCGTACATACATGCATGTTTCCGACACATTGGCGTACAGTATTCCAATCCTAACTAGGAGCAAATTCACTCCATCAATCACACCCAACAGGAGTAAATTTTCCCTAAAATAGGAGGCACATTCCCTCTCTTGTCTCAATTTACCTTGGCTTTCTCAACCAAAGATGAATTAAGACGAGAGAACATATCCACCCACATAGTGATCGCTTAAAAGTTCCCGTCAATTAAATTAGACTGACTGATAGGTAAAGATGTCGAACGGACGGGGAACATACCAATGATGAAAAAGCCAATATATCCAGGCAGGTTCTTATTAATATCTTCCGCGGGCCAGTCCTGGGTGTTCCACACCTCCACAAAGCAAATGACAGTAGATAGAACAAGATGGGTCGCCAAGGGAAGAAGATAAAGTGGCACTATGCGATTATCTTTGGGAAAAATTCAGCTACCGCCCAGCAAGTGCATTTGACTCGCGGCAAACGCATTCAAGTCAGGAGACGACGGTGACGCACCTTGGATCAAGCCACGGATCGCCCAAAGGCTCAACGGAACAGAATACAGAGCTTCGATGGCAACAAACAGCTGAAAGAAAGGCGGGTCCTTGACATAGAGAGGATCATTGTAGTTGTTGACATAAAAGTCGTGAACTGCTGTTGTCCACTGAGGGAATAATCCCGCGGGATAGAATGGCACGAAGTCGATAGCTATTATTTGTTTCAGCCATCATTATTAGGTTGCCAAATCCCTAGCGAAGAAGGGATGGGGAAAAGGGGGCCTGAGGCAACATGGCAACGTACCAAAAGCAAGAAAAACGGTCGTTGAAAGAAAGACAACGTAGAGAATATCCAACTTTCGACTCCAGATTGACCTGGGATGGACGCGTTGAGGTGGCGTGCCGACCATATTGTTTAACCTGATTATGCCTTTGGGAAGAGACGCGAAAAGGGACAGAATCAATGTGAATGATGGAAATGCCGTCTCGGGTTTTTGATCCCAAGAGCTCACATCAAATCCGTGTTATTATTTAAAGATGAAATCTAGCGTGGTGTTCAGCAGCGAATTCGCGAATTAAATAAAGGGATGTCAGCAAGTAGCTTGGTGTTTTCAACCTCACAACACTGATATCCCAGTACGGAGGATCCTCTCAAAAGTTTGATTAACTAGTGCTAAGAATTTAAGGTGTAATTTTGTTACAGGCATAAAGTATTCTCATTCCCTCTTTTAACCAGAGTTCTAAGGGAAGTTAATGTCTGTGGTCTCTGAATAACCAGCTACAGCTTAACTAAAGCTAGCCTAAACCCCAGGGGCTTGAGAATGTCATTATATTGTATCAATATTACAGCTTAAATTCTTAGCGCTAATCCAAACTGTTGAGAGGATCCTACTCAATCATATTATTATGCTTGATTTAGTAGATATTCTCATTTTTAAAAAAATTAATTAAACAGTTATATAAAATATTACAATTAATTCACACCGACCTGTTGAAGTCAATAATTAATTAAAGGCGAAATATTACAGTTGAAAAGTAGCGTGGTTCGTAAAGAAGTATGTATGTTCTTGCGGCTGTGCCATCTTCCAACATCATATGATAGCCAACTGCTGTACAACCGTTTTCATAATGTCTCCTGCCAAATGAAGTTCTATGACATCTTTTTGCCATGAAAACGCTAACACTAGGCATCCGTCACTACCGGTAATGGTGGACACCGCAAACGCACTCCCTGCAACATTACCACTCTGCGAAAAGACCATCCTGCCAATTCGTGGGTTCTGCGATCCGGCCTCTGGTCCTAGATTAGACCTGAATACACCCAAGTTTGATACTTCGTAGCTATCTGCTCTGTCTTTGCTTACTTTAGATAGGAACAGCTCGCTGTGGAAATTGCCCACATATTTTAATAGATTCGGCATTGCATTTTTGCCTTTCATGTTTATTGTGTCCTCAATTGTTTTCCGGGATCTGACGGCTTCGTCCCACGGAAACTTGAAGTTTCCGGACTGGTCAAAAAACTTCTCTCGATGATATGAATCGTGCAAGTTTTGCACGAACACACCCATAGAGTCATCGGAGATCCGCTCCACAAGCCAACGCCGATTTGAGAGCGCGCCAACACATCGGAGTCGAGAGTAATGCGCCGAGACGTTCAAGAAAACAGCTCCCGCAACCAAGGTGTGAAGAGCTGCTGTTATAGTAGTCTTATTTTTGCGACAGAGGTCCCTGAAAGAAAGAGTCTGAGATTCGGAAAGGACAAGAAGGCGTATTTCATTTTCTAGGGGCATGGTAATCTTTGAGCCAGTCCACAAGTTGGGATCCTGTTTGTTCCATATTTTCTCCCTGAAGAGTATCGAAAGGAGAAACGGGATCGAAACCGTCATCGGGTGGAGCGCTTCTATGTTAGGTAACAGGGGAATATTCGGCGATACAATCGTACAATCTACTTGGTCTGAGGACTCGGCTGAAGAAAGCTCGAGATGTAAGGCGCGGAGAAACGTTTTATGAAAAGCCATTCCAGACGTGCCATCTCCAATGGCGTGATGAAAGATGAACGAGGCAGTGAATATATGTGGATGATCATGATTCGCTAAGATACATAGTCTCCAAAATGGACAAGGTGGAGAAAATGGGATGTTGTGTTGGATGTTCAGAAGCTTTTCCAAGTCCATATCTGGATCAGGATTGGAGGAATGGTTGGAAACAAGGTTGCCATGCCGCCTTTCTTCGAAGGAAATGCAGGCATCCAAATCAATTGCTGGAAGGCGAACAAAATGGGGTTCATCCGTATTTTCGCCCACAGGGATGACGGAGAGTATAGGATGTTGGCCAATAAGTATTTTGCATGCTCTATATATGAAACTCTTCAGCGGGTACGAGCATGTTTCCGGCAGGGTATATGTTGCTGATACGGCGACATTGATATAGAAGCCAAGGTGATGCCGCGCTGTGGAGTACCGTTCTAGTAGGCCTGAAAGAAGCCAAATTAGTTATATTTCTACAACAGCCCTTACAGCACATTGAACCTCTTCTACTTGCCTACTGGGCGCAGCTTTTCATACTCTAGAACCACGCAACCCTCAGTTTGATGGGCCATCTTCACCTAAAAGCGTAGAATTCATAGAAGAATGGCGTTCGAAAAAGGGCAGAACTTGAGGATGAGGCCCCTTGACACTAGCAGAAGGTTTCGGGGAAACATTGGACCGGGCATCATCTATGGATGCTCTCTTCCGCCAGCTAGCTAGGTAGCCTGCTGGACCAGGCAGAAACGGAATGGTTTTGAGCGGTGGCATCGCTGCCGTTCCGTTAACATCAACGAAGAATGGACTAAAGCTATGTTGGTTGAAATTCGAATAGAGCGTGTTACCCATCACATTTGCCTCTGTGGATTCTGCGCTGTGGTTGAAATGCTAGAAGGACGCCCACGAGTGTAATCTGCCTGTGTAATTGTGACTGCGTATCTCCAAATTAAGTAATAATTCCTAGGCCAGGAGGTTCCATTCATCATCGTGCGATCAACTGTGCCACGAACAGGTATATTCTCATTGGTTCTGTTATTAGTCTTCTCTCGACGGAGGTTTCGGTTCAGATGAGCTCGAGGATGCCAAGCCTTGGGCAACTAAATCACATGACCAGGATATCCTCACGATGAATCGTCGCAGAGCAAGCTCGTTTGACATTGACATCCGGATTGCTATCATATATCGCATGATGGGTTCATTGTTCTCAGAGGGCCCTTGAACAGCAAACTAATATATCCTGTTGTTCTATTCCTCCTCTTTGAGTCTCCCGGCGCCTTCGTTTGCGGATCTGAAGCACTTGAGGAGCATAGATAAATGGTATGGTCGAGTCCTCTTACCCCCTCCCCGAGCCACATTGTGATCCGAACTATCTATGTTCTCGTGTATTTACTGATCGCCTCATTTCCCCCTCTCCTCTACAGGGCAAGCGCAAGAAGTCTAGCCGCAAGCCGGCAGCCCCCAGGAAGGTAAGTTAATGAACCCGCATTTCCGAGCTTGTAGGGCATTCCGTTTGCTAACTTCATTGCAGAAAGAGCCCCTCCCAACCACATTTTCTTGTCTATTCTGCAACCATGAGAATTGTGTGATAGTGAAGCTGGATAAGAAATTGGGTCTCGGGAACCTGTCATGTAAAATATGCGGCCAGCGATTCCAGACCGGCATCAACTGTGAGGAACATTCTCCATTCTTGCGGCGATTATAATCGTTCTTCCACTAACAGCTCCTCCGGCAATGGCTCTAGACCTCTCCGCTGCCGTCGATGTTTATTCTGACTGGGTGGATGCCTGCGATGCGGTTGCTAAGGACGCCGCCGCTGGCAATGCTGTGGAGACTACTGCACGTGGAGCAAATGAAGGATCCTCAGGTCCGGTGAGACGCGAGGCTGAAAGAGAGGAACTCGATCAGTCTGAAGTCGGCCTTGATGACTACTGACCACGAAAAATTGTTCGATAATCTCCTCGCTTCTTACCCAGTTTGATAAAAGGCGTTTTATGTGCAGTCCGGTACTGGTCATTCTCAATTGCATTTGTGATGGTTCGGCTTGCTTTAGCCTGAAACGTCATGTTATTGGATGGAAATGGGATTCAGCAAAAACCGCGCAATACATACATATATATATATGTTTATATATACACGACTGCGGAGTCTGGATGCTTTCGCGGCTGTGAAAATAAAAGAATCCTAGCCAACCGGCTTTGCCCTCTCAGCTACCGCACAACGGACGTCTTCCCGCCCCCACTTGTCCAACCGAATCGATAGTCCGCGAGAACACGCGCTACAATGAAATGGTGTGGGATTCCCCGGTGGGATAACAATTGGTTTGCCAGGAATCAAGGGCCGTTTATCATATCATACGACTTTTATATATAGTCGACTTTCTCCACTTCATCTACAATGTGTAGTATCGGTCGCCGAAGTCACCGAGCCCAGGAATGATATATCTATTTTTTGAAGTTAGAAATAGCAGAATGTCAATATACGCAGAAATAGTCCGTTACTGACTTTTTCTCATCAAGCCCTTGGTCGATAAATGCCGTGACTACTCGCAGTTTAGGGTACCTCTGAGCGAAGTCGGCAACCCCTGACGGGCTTGCTATGATGTTTAAAAATAAGATTCGATCTTCAGGAACTCCCTTTGATTTCAGTACATCAACTGCCATCGTTGCGGAGCCACCTATTAAGTCATTAGCATGATTTTTGAGTTTAAAAAAAAGAACATATAGATGGTTCTCCCCACCAGTGGCAAACATTGGGTCCAGGAGTAGCACCCATCTGCTTGCTATGTCATTAGGGAGCTTCTCGTAGAAGAGCTTGGGTTGCCACGTATCGTCGTCTCGCTGTATCAAGATCTTCCCGATGCGGACGGATCTACAGCAATCGCGTAGGCCCTGCTCCATAGCTTCTCCTGCCCTCATGATAGATACACCACATATTTTCCCTTGGAATTTGACTCCAAGATATGACCTGCCGACTGGAGTTGTTACTGACTGCTCAACCACGGGTAGGTGATTTAAGCCTTCTTCCACCAACAAACGTATGATCCTGTTCGAGTAAAATATGAAATCTGCTCTCTCCGTACGAGTGTCCCTTATCATACTTTTATAGGTATCGAATTAGCCTTATAGTCGAGGTAAAATACCTAGAGTGCACACGGGGGAGTAAAATTAACTTGCGTTAGGAGTGCAATTAGCTGAGGAGTCTGCGGGAGGATATGGACATTATCGTAGTCGACAACCTGCGAGACTGTCGCTGTGGGCTTTTCCCCATCTGGTTTGTAGAGAGGACCAACACCTTGGCAGGGCAATGGAGCACCTGTCCCCTGCTGAGCCATGGCGTTTATAAGGCTGGTATTGTATGTACGTAGCTATTGCGGGAAGAAAGTTTGAGGCCAAGGGACGGGAGTGTAAACAAGCTTAGGGATACGTCAACTCGGAAATTCGGAGGAGTTTTCCAGGTTAAGTAAGTCTCCAGCGTCCAACGTGAATCAAAGTGAACTGCACGCAGAGATATAGATATATCTGGGACGAAACCCAAGGGCATCAAGCTGTAGCACTAAGTAAGCAACATTTACTATGGCAGCTCGGGGGTGGGGTGGGGGAGCGAGTATTGAAATAACGGGGAAGAAAACAGCCAGACCTAAAACCACACCTGGGCAAGAGTGGAAACCACCAACCAGCCACGCTCAGCAAACATCTCAGGCGGGGCTTTTCCGCCACCGGCTGCTAGCTAGTTATTGGCCACTTATTATTAGGATAGGAGTTGCTTTGTCCAGGCTGAGAAGCCCAATGTGAGCTGATAGTTATGTAACTACGGAGTATTCCGTACTGCGTAGGTCTTTGCACTCCCGCCAGTCGCGCAGCATCATGCAGCGCTGGCACTATTCAATCCATGAAGATGAAGCCTTATTTATGCGAGGACTACGGAATACCACGCTTCGCATTATCATACATACTACATATTCCTCGTGAAGGTGCACACTGTTCTGTTGTTATGGTGTCTATTGTCTGTCGCATGCTCACCTAATCCTCAGTCACCTGTTGTTGGTTCTGTCCCTGGCATAAAAAACAGCTGGTTCAACTTCCCGCCATAAACCCACCATCTTCAGTACATCTGCTAGGAACCCGTCAACAACAAACCCATCACGCTCTTTTCCATCCGGCGCGCAAGGAATACGACACGCGTGGATTCGAAACATCCGACGAAACCATTCACCCGGTAAATGCGGATGGCCGCTTGACGCTTTCACTAGATGGACAACCAAGCGCCTGTCGCCATTCTTCTAACCTCTCCTTTCCCCTCGTTTCATCCTACCTAAGGAACCTCGTGCGGGAGATACTACAGTCGAAATATGACGCCAGCGAAAGATGTAACAACCCACCGCAAGTTGGTCACTTACGGGAAGTCGTCGCAGAAAGCCCAGCACTGGAATGGATTCCAATCGTCGACAACTCCGACCCGAACGCAAGCACCAGACACCTGGCCAGAAGAACATTTGGAAAACCCTGCTTCACTGCCCCAGAGTACAGCGACAGGAGTCAGGAAAACAACAATTAAAGACAGGCAGGGTCATCAACGCTATGGCGCGCTTCAGACTCCTAAACTTGCGAAACCGTCCAGGCCGAACTCGCTACGCCGTCCAACACCCAGCTATGGTGGGGAAGAAAAAGATGTTTACGATTTTGCGTTGTCCGGTGATGAACTGGAACATGAGGGGAAAGAGCCTTGGCGAAAACGTAGAAAGATAGTATCCCCTAAGGATGAATGGGTTTCGAACGGATTTGAAGAGATTATTATCCCGAGAGCAAAGCATGCGACGAAGCGCCATTCCCGCCACGATCTCCCAAACCCCAGTGCAACCACACAGAGTACACCTACAAAATCCCCAGGAACCGCTGGGACAACTACTAGCAAAATCGAGGTTGTTATTCTGACGCCAAAGAAGCTGAGGAAACACAATGAACACTCCACCAAAGAAGGAGCGGTGGATGAACCCAATGTCAACCTGCCTCGTCGCTCTAAAGATCCAACGACCGCAAATTCACAGACATACCAGAGTTCGCGCCAGAACCCTGGTCTGTTGTCATTACTGCAACAGAGTCAGCGGACCTTGAAGCCTGCTGCACCAAAGCTCGCCAGGCCAGGAAAGCCAGCACAGCAGCCCCAACCGAAGGGATCTCCGTTGCTGGGGCTCGAGCGTGCGGCCTCTTACCCAATTACTACTGAAGTCGAGGACAATATTATAGGGCACACCACACTCGTGAGTACTACTCCATCGCGGAGAAGGATCGTAGATGCGTTGAGCACCACACCCCGCGGTAGATCTGAGTCTCCAATCGGACCTAGTGATGTTGGCTCCCGTGCTTCATCTGAAGTATCTACTGAATCATCAGAGAATTCTACATTGTCTATGTCCCAACTTCCGACTGCGTCGCACGGAATACAAATTAGAGACCTACCCGATTCTCCTGTTCCGCTACCGCAGTCCCAGGGAGCCGGCCCCAAAGCTACCTATGCTCGACAGCGGTCATTTCTTTCTGTCGAGCACGTAACTGCAGATCTGATTGCGGAAACCCCGATCCAGGCTTCCTTTGCTCAGCGGTACGGAGGTGGGGCCAGTGCTGGACGCGGCGTATCTAACTCCGTATCTTCAAAAACTTCTCGTCCGCTTGCAACCCGAGGTACCGGCGACGACGATGATGATAGCTCCAGCGGTGTAGTCCGAAATATTTATGAACTGCGTCGTGCGGGCGAGAATGCTAGGTTTGAAGGGATCATCGACGCAATTTTTGAGGACATCGAAGACTCTAAGTCTTCAGCTTCACGTCGATACAGTGGCATAATCCAGCTCTGTACAAAGCTGATGGATCACCAATTCACACGCCGATTCCTGGCTCATGGCTTGGAGAAACGGCTTGCAAAGCGGGCCGGGGACTTGAGCGACGCCATCTACACATACCTAATTGTCTGCGCCTATGGAATAATTTTGTCAGCTGGTCCATTGTCGTCTGTTGTTTTGCACACTTGCTCTACTCAAGTGTTTAAAATTATCCCGAAGATGGTAACAAACACATCTGATATCGTTGGCATCTCAAAATTTGGGCCCACAAGAACGTCGAAAGCTGTCCAAGCATCTCTTCGGGACTTTTGTGATCAATTAGCTCAGAGCAAAATCTGGCCCGACGTCAAACCGAACAAACGGTCTCCTCAGATCCTAGCATTGCGATGCATTGAGATGGCTGTGCGCCGGGCCCGCGAGAGTGGAGATGCCATGGAATATCTATCTAACGATGTTCTATCTCTACTGGTTGACCTACTTCTGCAGCATTCGGTGCTCCCAGAGCAAATCCAAGATGCAAAGACGGACGATGTCTTAATCCTCGAGTTGACATTCTCCGTCTTAGAATCGTACACAGTTGCCCTGAATTTGCTCGAACCAAGCCAGGAGAAGATATTGAAGAGGCTTTCCCGACTTGGGCCGCTTCTGCTACAACTATCTCGTTACTCGGAGCCGTGTTGCAGGCAGATCCAGTTACTAGAAATCCGACTGATCTTGAATCTTACGAATAATAACCCTTCACTCTGCGAAGATTTTTCAACGCCAGAGCTGATACGCGCGCTGATGGTGATCGTGTTGTCAAATTTTGGGCTGGTGTCGGAGGATTTTGGCAGCGATAAACGAGACTCGTTGTTAGACGCAGTTATTTTGGCGCTTGGAACGTTGATCAATTTGACGGAATGGAATGAGACTGCACGACAGCTTATTTTGCAAACACGAAGCGGTACGACAGCGACGACGTTCCTTGACAGGCTGTTGCAGTTGTTTAAGGATGGATGGGAGAAAACTTCTGAGGTAAGGGATTCCTGTATCTCAAAAAGAAAATGCTCTCTTTCTCAAGACGCTAACATTGGTAACGTTTAGGCGGACTCCGTTGTCCAGACACACTCCAATGTGGCGTTTGGTTATTTATCTGTTCTTCTGAGCACAGTATGCCTCAATGAGGAGGCGCGATTACACGTCAGGAATTCCCTCCAGGGGAGAAACATTGACCGGGTGCTGGCTACTGTTGAAGAGTTTCTACACTACCACCGAAAAGTTGAGAAGGAGCTCCAGGCCGGGGGAGGAGAGCATGAATCTGTGTCCGGCTTCACGTGCAGACTGCAAAGCATTGTAGACCGGATCAAGCAAGCGGAAGGGATTTGCTGAGTGAGAGGGAAAGCATGCTCCGCTCAACTACTACCACCATGAAATTTACGCTTGTATAGTTTATCAAGGGATACGAATGATGTTGATGTATTTTGTTCATGTCTTACTTAACCTATCCTTCCAAAGGAACTGAGACACATTAGTTAACATCCATGCACGCATGCATGCTCTCTCACTAATATATTTCTTTCTCTATCTTTCTCGGCGTGTGTCTGTCTCCCGGCTGGCCAAATACCCAATACCCAATACCCAATACCAAATGCCATTGTAGAAAGGTAAGAGACTCAAGGCCTGGACCAGGCGATGGATCGACACGCGCCAGCAGTTTCACGTGGTGCCAAGGCTGGCTGCAAGGGGGGGAGGCGCCGCAGAAGGGCGGAAACGGCTGTGATTGGCTGGGAACCCCGGCGTATTGTGGATGGCGTACGGGACTAGTAACTGGTAGTAAGGGAGCGGAACCACAGGCCAGAGTAAATTACCCGAAGCATGGTAGGAATATCCTGTGCAGAGACTAGAATAATGGAGCAGAGCGGGTGGCGACTGTTGGACACGGAGGCGGGGGAGGGAGCAGGAGGAGGAGGAGGTAAGGTTATGTACGCAGTATGTACCTCTGTTTGGGCGAAGTATGTGTGTACTGTACCTACATCTTCCAAGGTTCTGGGATGAGTTTGCATGCATTGCGTAACTATGGAGTAACAACTGGAAAACTTGAGATTTTTCCATTATTAATTATTATTGCCAGCTGTTGTCACTGTCACTGTCACTGTCACCTTGGCACTCTTGTCTGTCACTCTGTCTGTCACTCTGTCTGTCACTCTGTCACTGCTATTAGGTTAGGTGGTATCAGATTTCCCGGAGATGGCTGGGTATATTAAATATATGGGTTCTGTCTGTGTATTAATTGATATTGGTGATTGATCCATACCGCCGGACCAAACTACTGGGATAGTTATATATAAAGATAGCTCGGGGAGCCATCATCCATGCTTGCTTCTTTTTCCTGTTCTTGTTGTTCCTCTCCCTCTCTCCCTCTCTCCCTCTCTCCCTCTTTCCCTCTTTCCCTTCTCCTTCTTCATCCTCATCCATCAATCAATCACCACTCTCTCTCACTGTCTAGTCTGTCTATCTTTTTAATCTTCGCTTGTCTACTTTCCGAACCATTCATCATCAGCCGCATCAGCAGCATCAACAGCATCAACAGTACATACATACATACATACATACCTCCAAAGCCTGCATCTGTCCATACATGCTTAAGTTACTACTGTAACTCCCATTGTTAGTTACGCCTCCCTAGCCCCATAACCCATTCTCCATTACTTCTTATTTATTTTTATTCTTCTTCTTCCTCATTCTCCACGCGCCAGCTGAAGCCATTTCTTATTAATAATAATATTATTCAAACAGGTTCCCATAAACTTCCAACAATATTAATCTTAATATCACTACTCAATTCCTCCCGCCCCGTCCTATCTTGACCTGTCCTGTCTTGTCCTCCCTCCCTCGCGCCAAATTCAGGCCAGTTCTCGCTCAGCCCCTGACCCGACTGTCCAAATATATCCCGAGATCCCGAGTATCCCGACAGCCTTCCCGCGCTGTGTGCCAAACCGAGAGTGCCAAAAAGGAGAACAGCGCCCCCCGTTTTTTTTCTTTTAAAAACCTTACCTTAAAACTCTCAATCTATATTTAACAACATCCCGTCCCTCCCTATCCTATCCCGAAGATAAAAATCAATTCGAAATATGGCACCTCCCCCAAAGCAACGGAAGATTGCGGTTGTTGGCAGCAGATCTGTGGGTATGTTTAAGAAATTTCATAATTTCGTTTCTTTTTCTTTCCTTTTTTTTTCCCTCTACTTTGCTCCGTGTTGTTAACTTTGATGGGCGTTCCTCCTCGATCACAGGCAAATCATCACTTACCGTTCGGTTCGTTGACGGCGTGTTTGTTGAGAGCTACTACCCGACCATTGAGAATACATTCAGTAGCACCATCAAGTACAAGGGCCAGGACTTTGCTACGGAGATCGTGGACACCGCCGGCCAGGATGAATACAGTATCTTGAACTCGAAACATTTCATCGGCATTCATGGCTACATCATCGTTTACTCAGTCGCATCGCGCCAGTCTTTTGACATGGTCAGGGTTATTCGGGATAAGATTCTCAATCACCTGGTGAGCACCTTATTTCTTTTCTTTTTTCCTATTTTCGAGGGATCTCCGCTGACTGTATATTTTAATTTTCCAGGGAGCGGAATGGGTACCCCTAGTCGTAGTCGGAAACAAAAGCGATCTCAAACCAGACGTACGACAAGTGACAGAGGAAGAAGGGAAGAAGCTCGGGGAGGAATTCAATTGCGCCTGGACCGAAGCCAGTGCCCGGCTGGACGAGAATGTCGCCAAAGCCTTCGACCTGATCATCGCGGAAGTTGAGAAATCGCAGAATCCAACCCAGCCGTCCAGCGGCAGTAAGTGCATCGTTATGTAAACATGCCAGACGCAAATACGCACGCGACATACGACACTCACATGAAATGTCCCTTGTTATGAGATAATGTTCTCTTCTTTCTCTTTTACCGCTTTTACTTCTTTTTATCTTTTTATCTTTTATTTTTATTTTTAGTTTTTGATGTTCGTGTTTACGGTGGGTGGAATGGATTGGTCTGCTTTCTTTTTGCGCAAGTCCTTGGGAAGAGGGCGTTTTCCCATGGTCACAGGAACGTTCTATTTTTTAACTTTTATTTTGGTTTTTTTGGCCCTTCTGGGCCAGATATTATTATTGTTTTTCTTGAATTCCCATTTTTACACATGTTTAGTTTGGGGTTGTGGGTTATTGTGATGTGTATATCGGGCAATCAGTGAAGGCACACCGACATATTTGCCTGTGTGTGTGACTTCAAGCGGTTTTACTGGTGTTCCTTCTTTTTTGTTCCTGTTATATGCCCTTTCCCCCTATTCTTTGTTACACGTTTCAATCTCTATTTTTCTATTTTTCCCTCACTTTTATTATTATTCGTTGTTTCCGGCAATGCGTTATTTTTTTCTGGTACTCCGTATGGCAGCATACGTAGACAGACTATTACTAGAAGGATGGTCAAACTTGTTTTTTGTTTAAGGCGGCATGCCCCATTTATGACGATGAGGTTTTGACCGCTCATTTCATTATCAACCTACTGACTTTGTTTGCTGACCGCAAGGTTCTACAAAAACGGTGTAGGGTAGGGCTTGTATGGTATCTAATAATAATAATAATAATACTAATAAAATACTAATAATACTAATAATAAAAACGATGATGATAATCATAATAATCATAATAATAAATAAAAACAATAAGGCGCAGGCTAACAACAGCCGGGCTGCGCGAGTATTTGTTTGAGCGCGAAAATACACTACATAGCGAGCGCATTTTGTTGTGACATACTCCGTATTATTATTATTCTCATTCCAGAGCTTGATCCCTGATTCCTGGCTGACTCGAGACTCGAGGCGGCTCCAAGCTCGTTTCTTTTTCGCGGTTTTGCTTTTTTCTTTTCCCCAGCAGCTAACGCAATTAGGTTCAGCCGTTTATTCCTTCTTTAAGTTTTTAATTCCGTTTTTCTTTCTTTCTTTCTCCCAGAATAGGAAGGCGGTGATAAATGGCAGAATGTGGGCATGGTTTCTCCTCTCTGCACGCCCCTCATTTTCCGCATCCGGCAATAATTCTGCCCCTCCATGTCTGTCTGGACTCTGACACAAAAGAAAAGAAAGACTACTTACTCCAGCAATCAACCTCGCGAGTCGTCGCTCTCTGCCAAATCCAAATCCCACCCCGCAACTCACGGTTTCGTTTCTTAGCGCACTCTCTCTTCTCTTGGGGCCATTTGAAATCTCCAATCCCGGGTCCCCCTTACCTTAAACTTTTCCGCAGAAAGTCTTAAGAAAAGGGAAAAAAGGACCAAGCCAGTCCGGATCAATCATTCAACCATGCTTGACATTGCGGACTTTGTCCACGGAGCCACTCCGGAGAAGATCGCGGAAAATCAGGAGAGATTACGGGAGAACCAGCGGCGTCGTGGTGCGCCTGTGGAGGCGGTGGACGAGGTTATTGCTTTGTTCAAAGTCGCCCGAGAATGTGAGGAAACCCCTTGACCCCGAACTTCAAAACTTACATTTGCTCAAATTTTGTTTTTCGCGGAATTGAACATTATGAAACTGACATTGACATTTTGTGTCTAGCGCGCTATGAGGTTACTCAGATAGGTGAGAAGATCAATAAGGTCCAGAAGGAAATTGGGAGGAAAAAGAAGGTTTGATTTTTTTATTTTTTTTCCCCCTCCTTTTTGTTTGGCGAATTGTAAACGTGGTGTCCTTATACATCCATCCATATATATACGTACCAGCCGTGACTAATAGATCATTTTTTGGGCATTTATCTAGAATAAGGAAGACGCGGCTGATCTGATCGCGGAGAAGACGGAGCTGGAGAAACAAAAGAAGGATGCAGATGCTTTAGCCACCGAGAAGGAGTTGCTGAGAGACCGGAAACTCGCATCGATTGGGAATTACGTCCATGCAGATGTACCTACAAGCCAGGATGAGGTTGGTAACCCCTTGCATCCCCCTGGAGGAATCAATGGCCAACTAGGCTGAAAATTGTTCAATTTTGTTCTTTTAGGCGGATAACGCTATTATCTCGACATGGGCGCCAGAAGGGTTTAAGGAGGAAAAACCAGCCTACTGCCTCTCACACGACGACGTGCTTCACCGATTGGATGGTTTTGACCAGAAACGAGGCACCAAAATCTTCGGGCACCGGGGGTATTGTCTGATCAACTATGGTCTACTCCTAAACCTTGCACTGGTGAACTACGGACTGGAGTTCCTGTTCAGCAAGAAATACACGCTTAATCAGCCACCCTATTTCATGCTGAAGCAGTATATGGCCAAGACTGCGCAGCTCGAGCAGTTCGACGAGGAGCTTTACAAGGTTACCGAAAACGAGGATAAGGCGTCAGAGAGATATCTGATTGCGACTTCCGAACAGCCCTTGTCCGCTCTACATAGCGGAGAGTGGCTTCAGGACAGCGACCTTCCTATCAAATATGCCGGGTACAGCACTTGCTATAGAAAGGAGGCTGGTTCTCATGGCAAGGAAGTAATGGGAATTTTCCGTGTGCATCAGTTTGAAAAGGTAGGTTTCAAAGTAATTTGGTGTTTTTGTTTCTTTCTTTCTTTTTTCTTTTTTCTTCTTTTTTACTTAACATCATCATCAATATAGATAGAACAATTCGTGATGACCAAACCCGAGGACTCATGGGATGCGTTTGAAGATATGATGAAGAATTCAGAAGAATTCTATCAATCTCTCGGCCTCCCGTATCGAGTTGTCGACATCGTCTCCGGCGCTCTGAATAATGCCGCATCGAGGAAGAACGACTTGGAAGCGTGGTTCCCGTCCCAGGGCACATACAAGGAACTGGTCTCTTGCTCAAACTGCACAGATTACCAATCCCGGGCCCTGGAAATCCGATATAGAGCGAAGAAGGATGATGAGAAGGACACCCGCAGTGATGAGAATAAGAAAGTTTATGTGCACGCGTTAAATGCTACCCTGTGTGCTACAGAGCGGACACTCTGCTGTATCTTGGAAAACTACCAGACTGAAACGGTGAGTCTTGCCCCTTCCTTCACCCACCCCCACCTCCTCTGCAATCCTCTGAATTAGTTGGTTTCAAGCAATAAACCTATCATAAAAGAGGAAAAGGTACCCACGGCTAACTGATTATTCCTTTTCCGTCTTCTCTCGGGTATGTAGGGTATAATTGTCCCCAAGGTGCTCCGGAAGTATATCCCGGGCCAACCTACAGAGATCCCGTATACTAAGGAGTTGGTTGAGAAGCCCAGTGCGGATAAGTCAAAATCTAAGACTAAGCAGAACCCTGCACCGAAGAAGAGCAATGTGACTGAGGGGATGCAGACCTTGAAGGTATAGGAACTGCGACACACACGCAGTAGCCGCACCTGCAATCTTGTCAACTACGTCATATATACGTGGGACAGATTCGGTGCAATTTTCATGTGGTAAATAAAATAGATTGTTTACCTATTTGTGACATCTCAAAAGATATTATACTTATACCAGTTGCTTTCTGATGCTTCATATATACATTTACATTTACAAAACTAAGAATAAAAAGCGCTGTGGTGAAGATAATTTTATCAATATTGAATTCAGTAAATGAACAAACCACCCCACCACGCTATCTGGGGAAATGTTTAACCCAAATGCACATCAAGATACAGGTATTTGTCACCCGTAGAGATTAATAATTCATATTTAAAATAAAAATTATTGTGACTCAGACTGGCAAAGCAAGTATCCCTGCTGTTCAGAGTGGGCAGAAAACTATAAAAGAGAGGTCGGTCCATTCTATTCACCGAGAGCAAAAGTTTCTTTTCCATTGCATCATTTTTTGATCATTTTTTGATCATTTTTTTTTTTCTTTATCATTTTTTTTTTTTTATAGTTTTTCGCCGATCAACAAGCGGAACAAACCTCTCTGTGCAAGCCCACTCCAATTGTCCCAAGAACAACTAAATCAACTCCCCATGATGTCCGCCGCAAGAGACATAAGAGCTCCCCCGGAGGGACACGTTCGTCGTGTTTCCCGCAGCTTCAGCTTTTCCACCTCACCCTCCGCAGTGTTCTACTCCTCACCATCCAGTCATCCCACCGCGCAAGCCACAAGCACCGCAGCCCTCAAGCCATTGAAACCCTTTGCGACTGAGGATATCAAAATTTTGCTTCTGGAAAATGTAAACCAGACCGGAAGGGATATTCTGCGAGAACAGGGCTACCAGGTCGAGCACCTGAAGTCTTCGTTACCGGAGGATGAGCTGATTGAAAAGATTCGGTGTGCTGCCTACCCTCTTGACCCCCTCCAGCCCGCCATCCTCCAGAACCAACCCCCCCCCGCGGGGCTATGGTGAAGCCGCACCGCACCCACGCCCACGCAATTGGCAGAAAAGCTCAAGTAAAAACTAATTCCGAAACCACTTTTTTTCTCATCAATCTAGGGATGTGCACGTCATTGGCATACGGTCCAAGACCAAGCTAACGGAGCGGGTACTCAAAGAGGCGCGCAACCTCATCGCCATCGGCTGCTTCTGCATCGGCACGAACCAGGTCGACCTCCAGTATGCCGCGACGCATGGCATGGCAGTTTTCAACTCACCCTTCAGCAACTCGCGCAGCGTGGCGGAGTTGGTGATTGGCGAGATCATTTCGCTGGCTCGACAGCTGTGTGACCGCTCGAGCGAGATGCATAATGGGATGTGGAATAAGGTGAGCAATAAGTGCTGGGAGGTGCGCGGGAAGACGCTTGGTGAGTTCATATCAATTCTGGTTCTTTGCTTTTATTTTTATTATTTTATTTTTTCGTACCGTTTGTATTGGGGGGAATGGCGGGCTTATTATATATACTTCTACAGGCATCGTCGGATATGGTCATATTGGCTCTCAATTGTCCGTCCTCGCAGACGCGATGGGTATGAACGTGATATACTACGACGTTGTCAATCTGATGGCAATGGGAACAGCACGACAAGTGCCGACCTTACAAGCCCTGCTCAGGGAGGCAGACTTCGTAACGCTACACGTACCCGAGCTACCGGAGACGAAGAACATGATCAGCGCAGAACAATTCAGCCAGATGAAATACGGAAGCTACCTCATCAACGCCAGCCGCGGGAGCGTCGTCGACATCCCCGCTCTAATACAGGCGATGCGCGAGGGCAAAATCGCCGGCGCGGCGCTGGATGTCTACCCCAACGAACCCGCGGGCAATGGGGACTATTTCAACAATGACCTTAACAAGTGGGGTACGGATTTGAGGGGCTTGAAGAACCTGATCCTCACGCCTCATATTGGCGGGAGTACCGAGGAGGCGCAGAGCGCGATTGGCATTGAAGTTGCTGAGGCCCTGGTGCGCTATGTAAATGAAGGTGTGACTCTGGGGGCTGTCAATATGCCCGAGGTGAAACTGCGGTCCTTGACGATGGACGAGCCTGACCATGGCCGGGTGAGTGGATTTTTTGAAGACTGCTTCCTAAATACATATGAAATAAGTGGAAAGCAAAGCTAAATGTGTGTTGTAAAATAGGTCATTTTCATTCATCAAAATATCCCCGGTGTACTGCGGGAAGGTATGTAGAAGATCTTCACCAGCTCATCATCCCTGAATGAGTATTCTAATACTAAATAAAGCCTGTTAGTAAACGAAATCCTAAGCGACCACAACGTAGATAAACAAATGACAGATAGTCGCGGTGATGTACGCAATCCTGTTCTCCCGCTAGGAAACGGGCCATACGATTTTATCTGGAGTAGCTAACAGCGCACAACAGGTCGCATATCTGATGGCCGACATCAGCGACGTCCATACCAGCGATATCAAGGAACTTTATAAAAGGCTCGAGGGCTTACCCTGTATGTGCAAAATATACCCACCCCCACCACGGCTTTCCTTCCCTATCAAAACAAAAGGAATTCTTTTAAACTAACAAGTGGGTTTTAATCTAGCTCGAATTATGACCCGAATCTTATATTAAGTGCACCACCCTGATTTTACCTAACTACCTAACTTCCTACCTACCTACCTACCTACCTACTCAACGACATTTAGGCACAGGCTGTGTTTGTGTATCGACCAGCCAGCAGACTCACCACTAGATATTTCTTCATCACGTACGTCTCTCAACAGACAAAAAACTCTTTGCCCCATTTTTTGGCGTTGGTATCGGGACGGTTGTATTGTTTCAAAAGTGAAGGCTCTGGAAACAATTTTCAAAGATGACGGGATACGAAGATTTACCTGTCTGTCATTGGGATAGGGCCGGGTAATTTACATGTTTCCATCTGTTCTCTGTCCACCATGAATGTCTGATCAATGATATTTCCGAATCACTCGTTCGTTAGAAGTAATAATATATATGCATATTTCCCTACCTCATGCATTATAAACAAAAGTAATAATAAGTCATTGACTACGGAGTCCTTCGAATTTTTGAGGAGGAAATACTTCTATTCATATGTGATTTTTTCAATACACCGCGTTCCCTCTCAATCGCAAAGCCCAGAACACCCACCACCCAACCACCAGTAAGAACAAAGGACAACTGCCAAATAACGCCGCCCATGCTACCGGATTTAATTAAATTGCCACGCTTTCCATGACCTATTTCATATAAATGGCTTTGTTAAGTATACCTCCAGCTAGATTCGGTTCCACGTAGCATGCTTCGCTAAAAAGTATAGAATATTTAACACTTCTTACCCCGGACGATACTGTGGTTCACCGAAGTGGTGGCCACAGATATCATCGCCGGTGAAGATCGTAGTATGGGTTACTTTCCCGGGACCGAGTCCTATGTCTCGGCTCCGGGCTTCGACTCCGTCTCCTCGAACGATCCCAATCATAATCCCGCGGTTCCGCAGTATCTCGTCTACCGTCGTCCCGGTCTCTGAGACGATCAGACGGCCCGTCGTAAGTCGGGACATATGAATCCAAGCCGCCTTCCCGGCGAGGCGGCGGGCCGTCTCGTCTAGGTTCGGAGCGAATGTCCCCCCGCCAGCTCTGGCCTCCTGTCCATGGCTGATGGGAAGATACAGGGGGTTTGGGAGGTAGCGCAGAATCCCGTTGCCAAGCGGGAAGATGCCCGCGCGGTTCAGCCGATCCCTGTCTCCTCTGGGAGTGCGAGACGTCAGGAAGGCGACTGTCGAAAGGTCGACGACCGACTACGGGAGCTCCATTTGCCGGAGGGCCACGAGCTGCATTCGGGATCCGACTCGATCTCTGATCGGTAGTTTGCCTAGATCCTGATCCAGAAGTCCATTCGCCGTTGGGCCCCATGCCTACTGAGCCTCCTGCAGGGGCAGGAGGTAGTGCGGCCTTCTGGCCACGGAACTTCCTTCTGTCGAGCTCATGTGAATCTTCAAATGTTGGTAGGTCGCCAGGCCGAGCAGGGAACGGGGGAGTGCGAAAGTAGGGGTGCTGAAGGGCGTCGATAGCATTGATTCTCTTGCGCCAATCCAACTTAAGGAATTCACCTAGGAGAGATATAACTCCTGGTCCTTGCCTGCGTGATATGTTAGAATTAATATGAATGCGTTATAAATTTGGGATATCTGTGACGCACTCTTTAAAAACAGTGGCAAGGGTGCCTTGCTTGGTGCCGAAATTCTTCACGCCGTCACACCCTGGTAATGAGCTCCATCCTGGCATGTTTTCTTCTGTTGGGGTGCCGACAAGGTTGAAGATGAGATGGGCCTGATTAATGTCACTGCTCCCAGCGAGAATCGGTTTACCCTTGAACATTTCTCCGAAGACACAGCTGTGTGAGGAGTTAGTACGGGCTAAATGTAGTTCTAACCCATCGCAGGCTCGCTTACCCAACACCCCACATATCGATAGCAGTAGTATACTTCCGAAGGTGAAGTAGGAGTTCTGGCGGTCTATACCATCGAGTGACAACTAACGTCGTGTACTCTCTCACTGCTTCCCCGCCCCCTTTGCCAGGTTGTGGTGGTGGCTCGTCATATGGTCGAGCCAGACCGAAGTCTGCAATTTGAAGTATTCCTTTATTGTTGATTAGAAGATTCGCAGCTGGAAATTCTGTCAGTATGTTGTTGCAACAAGTCTCTTAAAGTTTTTATTTTCTAACCTTTCATGTCACGATGTAATATTTTATTCTAAGCCATTAGTTAGCTTGGCATTGAAACAAACGCCCGGGAACCATGGAAGTATGCACCTCATGTAAATACCGTAGGCCTTCTAAGAGTTGTAGCATATAACACTTGATTTGAGGTTCTGTAAAGTGGACGCTAGGATTTTCTAGTAGGCCTGAAAGATCATGGTCCATATATGGAGTGACCATATACATGCTGGGTTTTTTCCTTCCTTCCCCTTTTCAATTGTAAGCCTCACCCTGAAACGAAGACAGAGAGACACGGTACAAACAAACCTCGAGGGCGCTCAACCGCCATTTCCTGGAGCTGTAGAACATTCGGGTGCGAAAGCATCTTGAGAAGTTTTATTTCTCGCAGGGCTGTTATAGGAAACTACGGTAGGCAGATTAGACAAAGTAGATACAAAATATATCTAGCACGGATAACTTACCCCATCTTTCTCATTGTGCATTAAGATCTTCTTCAATGCAACTATGGCACCCGACCGTTTGGAGCGGGCCTTGTATACCTCGCTAGGATTTGTAAATAAGATTTTCGTCATCACAAGAAATCTGTATCGTTCCCAACATACCCGAATGTGCCCTCTCCAAGCTTCCCCAGAAACTCAAACTCTCTAATACTCGAGCAGCCATGGAATCGCGGATTTCCGTGGTCATCGCGTTCCAAAGGAATTCTGGATTGAGGTGAGGAGTTGGGGATGACCATCTTCGTCGAAATTTTGACCAGCCTTCCCTCAATTCGGGAGACTTATTTAATATTTGGACCTCCAGTAAGCAAAGGTTTTCATTAGGGCTTTCCACACAGCATCGACAAGAAAAACGAGCACCCTTATGGTGTCGGCGCGATTATGCGGTGGCCGGCAGTCTGAGCGTACATCGGTTCTCTTCACAGTGCTGCATCCAAGATAGGGACGTGGCTTCGATAACGAAGGAAGGATAATCCAAGGTTCGACCAAAAGGCTGTAGAAAGTTCGGAACGTCCGATATAGAGCTTTTTGTATAGCTAGAAAAAGGAATGAGCCAAATAGTTAATATTCGCGCAGAAACGCGACGCTCCAGTGGTCCCGTTTGAATACGGCGGCTCCAAGCATCTATCCGTTCACTCCTGCGATATCAGCATATGTCGCAAGATTATCGCCCGTATAAGAAGTTTAAAAAAATATAATTCCTGGTCGTCAAATGGTGGTTGAACAGCAGCGATGCCGGCTCTGGAAGATGATGTTCATACCAAGCTGCGGCGCAAAAGCGACGGCTTCAGTTGAAAAATCCACGCTAGGCCTGAAACAGAAAATACCGATCATGTGACTCGGCTCTGATGAGCTTGTTATTCCTCCCGCTGCAATTGAATTCATCTCGCTGTTGCATGTTCAATCGTGTCCCTCATAGCCCAGTTGAAGGTATGCTCCTAACAATTGAATTTGCAATTTGCCTGCATTTGCGCTTTACTGACTGTTATCCCCGAACAAAGTTATCCGATTGGATTCCTCCAACCATGCCTTCCAAGCACCCAATTCAAGTCCGCCCAAGCCGGCCACTCTACCGATTCGCGGCAACCGCTCTTGGGGCTAGCATGTGGTTCTTCGTACGTCACAATCAGCAGATTCCTATGTATACCACGGAGATTTACTTTGTGTATTCTGACTTGTTCCATGTGCATTGCTTTAGTTGATGTATCGCGCCAAGAAAGACGGCCCTGCTCTTCTCGGTTGGAAGCACCCTTGGGAACATTGAATTGACGTTTCGATGATGACTCAAGGTGTGGAAAATGGAAAGGAATATCGTTGGAAAGATGGAGCCCTACGACGAAATGAAGCTACCCGGTCGTGTACGGCCGGACGCTATAGGCGGAGTTTACGCGGGGAGCTACGTGCTGTGTTGAGCAACTCCGAATTTCGGATAAGCAGATGGGTGCTATGGATAGCATGCGTTAGAGGATATATATTTGTATCATATTTCTTCCCCCATGATCGCTTCCAATAAAGACATGCAAATAAAGTTATACGTTTTTACAACATCCCTGAAAGCCATACATTAGTCTTCTAAATTCGAGTGGATGTTGTCTGAATTATACACAATGGGGTCGGTCGTCGACTCTCCGTTATACAATAGCAGGACTGCCCGAAATAGTTGATATTTCACCGACTTCTAAATAGCCAGGTATTCCTATTGTGACATCTGCGACAACCGAATAACCCGAAAGATGGGAGGAGTATACAATAAGTAATGTCCAACTATATGTATGACTCTTCAAGTAGAATCTTAAACCGACGTCGTTGCTTCGCTTGGTCTGGACGAAGCCAACAATGAAAGCGGCCAACAAGGCGAGCCAACCTGGGGAAAATCTGTCTCTCCCCAAACCATGCGATGGCAAAGCTAATAAGCGCTAGCCCCATTATCCAAATTTTGAACGGGTTAGACATCTCCGTAAGTTGCATGAAATTGAATAACCATCTCGCTGGCTCAAAGAGCATGTATGTAGAAAATAGCAACGTGACGATTATGGTGACAACAAAAGGTACTGCATTGTTTTCTCTCAATCAGTTTCTGGTAAAAGTAGAAGAGCACGAAGTAAAGAAGATGGAATAGTGAACTAGAGCAACAGTGGTGGAGGAGAATTGACAAACCGTTCGAAGTCATTGGCTGCCGGAAGGGACGCCCGACGCTGATTACAGGCCCGGAGAATATATACTCAAAGCAAGACAAAAGGAAAAGCGCTGTATTTTGTGAATTTTTCACGTTTGTATCATTGGATTTCTTTCTTGGTGGTATATACCTAAAGGAGGAAAAGGGGGAATCATTAGGAGTTAGATTTTTAGAAATCATACGGGGATGGTTTCCTTACCAGTCTTGGAACTGGACAGTCTCAAAAACGATGAGCTGCATTATGATACAGATACCGATCTGGCCAAGTAGGGGAACCAAAACTTTGAGGGAAACTAGATTCGAGGTCGGAGCTTTGCGACAAAGTGAAGAGCTCGGTCCAATCCAGCCCACTAAAGAAACGGTTAAAATGAGCCAGATAATATAGGATGTCATCAGCAGAGAAAAACTCACTAAATATTGCAATCGGTAATATCAAGAGAAGGTCGATAAATAGAAACTATTCGCTGATTAGCAATCTCCACTTGTGCTTGGTGCCTGACTGGGCTTACCTGGAAATCTCCTAGATTTGACGCGGAAGCATATAGAAAGCTCACAGAAGTGAACTGTATTGCAGAATATAAACTCATAAATTTGAAGCAACAGAAACTTGTGACTAGGGCCGCTCTTCCTTCCCTGTGTCGCATTAGCGCATGAAACCTGATGTCAGTATAATGAATTTATTTTACCTGATAACTTTTGGGACGCATGATATATCAAACACTCGGCTGGTAAACGGGGCTGCTACTGACGCCTCCGCCTCGGAGAGCGAAATACCAACATCCGCAGCCTTCAGTGCTCCGCAGTCGTTCGCCCCATCACCACAAAACCCGCAACAGTAATCCAGAGACTGGAGTTTCTCGACGAGTTCGTGTTTCTCATCAGGTGACATGCGGGCGAACACCTGACCGCGAACAAGCATCTGTTTTAACCCCGTTAGGGTTGACTCGTGAAAAGCAGTCGGAAGACATACTTTATTTAAGACTTCAGTAGATCCGTAATCAACAATCCATCGAAAAATATCCCCAGTTACTGCTATGAAGTAATGAGGACCGCGATAAGGCACAGACAGATCAGTCCCACCTCGAGCCGGAATGGGCTGTTGCATTGTTAGGTAATAAGTCACATTGGGAGCGATAAAAAATATAAACATACCGTCAGAGTATTTTCGTCCAGTACATAGTCAGAATCTTCTGTATTCTCCCAGCACAGACGGGCGTTCGGGTCGAAAATATTTCCTGAAAAATAGTTAAGAAATTTTGTCGGGAACATAACATGAGCCAGCTCTACCTACCTTCAACAAACCGGGGTATAAAGCAAGGACTTGACGCCTCTATAATACCGCATTCCCGGGCAACACTAATGCCAGTCAGGATATTATCTCCAGTACACATGATGTTTCGAATATGAGCTTGATTAAGTTCCGTAATGATATCTTTGGAGCTAGGCTTGAGCTTGTTCTCGAAGATGATGAAGCCAATGAATTCGAGATCAGATTCGGCTTCCGATCGATGTAGTTTTTGTACCCTTATCCAACTGAGCTTCTGGACATGCTTCGTTGCACAGGCAATAACACGGAAACCTCGATGGGTGTAGAAGCTAAGCAGATCCTCAAAATCGGGTGGTACTGTTCGCAATATTAGACTGGAAACATAGTTTAACTGCGCTAGCCTACTCACAGCTTTCGGGAAGACATATATCCTTCATGCATTCAGGGGCTCCTTTTACGAAAATGAAGGCACCTGGGTCGCCAAACTGTCGAGCAATAACACTTGACCGGCGAAGTTGGGAGACGAATTCGAACGACCGAAGGACTCCAAGCTCGAGTGGGTTGTTCTATTGTATGGATGGTTAGCTGAGGTGCAAGATACTTCAAATGAATACATACATTTGGTTCATTCTCATTATAATCAGGAGAAAAATCAGCTGGCGGCCTGGCGATAGATGGAGACCCATAGTCACGGTCTATCTCCATGTCTGTAGCATTATGGCTCCCTTCTTCGAAGGACCACCCAGTGAACTCGAACATTTTCACGTCCAGGGGGTCGCCGATTAGTTCACCATCTACCACACGTAAGGAATGACAAGTTGCCATCGTATAGAGAATTTGCCTATTCGTATGGTAGTCCATCGTCGGGTCCCTTTCATACGACTGATGAGGAAGGATAGCTGATGATTCAGGGAGTAGGTCACTAAATCTAGTATAGCACCTAAAGTCAGTCGGAATCACCGCAAATTCTATTGCGTTAAGATATTTAGTCACCTCAAGTCTGGTTTACGGATTACCCTAACCCCCAAGACATCAAGGCCATCCTCCGTCAGCGTCCCGGTCTTATCGAAACAAACTACATTGAGTTTCCCGCCAACATTGACCCTATAAGATGATTTTTCAGCGACGTGTTACTGGATTGCTTCTCCTCATTCGAAAATTTACCTTTGAGGACTAATGCAAAATATTTTCTCCTTTTTCAGCCGAGAGAGGGCAAAGTTTGTACCAATCGATAAAGTCGCAGGCAGTGCGGGCGGAACGACAATGGTGATCAGATCAAGAGCACGGACAATGATAGTATGCCACGGGAGCTGACAAATAGTTAGACCAAAACTTTTTCTTAACCGATAAAGGAGTCGTCTCACATACACCTAAACGGACAAAATTTATGAATGATGCAATGAATCCGAATGTAGCAATAATGCCCATGACCGAAATATACCGGAAAGAATCTCGATAGAATTTGAAGCCAGACGGCTTAGGAAAGAGCATTGAGCGAACAAGGGCACCTTTTGTAGTGTTAAAACCGGTCCGGATCACCATCGCCAATGCCACGGCTTCATCGTCTTTAGGATCTTGTGGTCGCCTGGCTCTTACTATCCTTGTTCCAGAGAAAAGAGAATGTTTTGCCACATTCGGTTGGACAGATGGCGCACTGATGTCGAGAGAAGTAAGGGCTTCGTTTGTGACTGGAGATTTTGCAACAGGGACGGATTCACCTAGTTCTGGTTCAGTATGGCGAGTTCGAAGACAGTCAAGGTTTTGGCGAACCTGTCAGCATGCTCTCATTGACGATACAGTCTCCTGTTAGGAGGAGACAGTCGCATGGAACTTGAGTGAGGGACGGGTCGGAGACCTCATACACGTCGCCCGGGACCAACTCCTGTGACTGGATAGATCTCCCTATAAATTATCAGCATTCGATGTATAACATTGCTTAGGAGGAAAATCTGATTGCGGTAAAGAAAAGAAAATCCTACAAAATCCGCTCCTTAATACTCGCACATCACATTCGAAGTGTGAAATTTCTCTAAGTCGCCGCATTGTCTAACGCTCAGAGTTAGGACAACCCTTGAAATTTCAGCACTTGAGAAGTACAATACCGATCTTGTCTCTATGGTGGTTGTCGTAATACTGAGGACTGAAATAATAAAAATACAGCCCGCATAATAATAATATTCATCCATTGACCAGAGAATCAGACTGGCAACTTGAAATATATAAAACGGATGGAAGGCCTGGAGGTGAAGGAGTTAAGCCGTCGCACTTGTCGCGGAAGAAAACGAAGGAGAGCTCACCTCGTCAACCATGATTTGTGGAATACTTTTTTCCTTGATATCTATTATGTTCGAGCCAAATACTTGTTCCCGAAAATCCCTCTCTTCCGCTGTTAATCCAATTCGCAAAGCTTTAATGTTCGTCCAGGAAGGATCTTTCCAGCCCGTACACTGTAGGAAGAGGTCCTCGGCAGGATGATAGTAAAAGCGAATATAGCGATAATCCAGGAACCGTAGGTTTGGAAGAACAGGATCATGCTCCTCGTCAAACATAGGAGTGTCAACCTCCTTAATCGGAGCGCCGAAGACAGTGGATAACGGGAGATCATAAGGTTGACTGACGACTTCATGAATCGTGAACTGCGCCCATTGGTCCTATATCTTTTTCAGCCATGGGAGCCATTCAGGAAATTTGAATATCAATTCCTTACCTCGACAACAACCCATTGGCATCGGCATAATGGTGTTGGGGTGCCGGTCAGTCTCACACGCCATCGGGGAAGCCATCGTAACAGAAGGTATCCTAGTCCACATGACAGGAGACAGATTGCCAGGTATAGGAGATAACCAGCAATACTGGTGTTGAAACCTGCAATGACTGCCGTCAAGTCTTCCGTTGCAACGTATATTTTCTGGCTGGTCGTTTCGCCCAGCAACTGACGTCCGGTAGAGTCTTTCGTGGAGTCGACTCGATGCAACAACGGGGCATCGAAGGAATCTCTCGCAGTATGGGAGTCCATTGAAATGCGGCTAGAGCTCGGCGGTGTCTCTTCAATGTCAACCTCATATCCTTCCGCATACCCGTTTGTGCCTTCATCTTCATCTTCAACGGCGTCTTCAACTGTCCACTCCGGCACCTCGGGGGTGTCTGGGAAGTAAGTGAAGCTCAGTTGCGATTCACGTCGCGATCGGCGAGGGACAAACGAGGCAACACTGGAGGGGATGCTTTCTGACATGGGCCCGGCATAGATCTATCTAAACGTCAAAATTCATTCCCTCCGCTGCTCGCATGGCACGGCGTCATAGAGCAAGTATACAGACCTCATCTTGCGCCATTTCAACATCGGATATGATACTAGCACTACATAGATGATCAGTAAAGCGCCGGTGTATCTTAAAACGCGTCTGGTTATAAGTACCTGCTTCTTATTGATGATCTTCGATAATCGAAAGCGGGCTCCGGGCCACTACTAACCCTGGCCCGGTCCGCAGAGTGCTCCCGTCCCGCCATGGTCCTCAGGCGCTCATCACACGCTCTAAGAAAATCCTATTTTCCAGAAGAGCATCTTCCAAGACGGATTTTTTGGTTATCTAGAGATCCACAAAAAACACGAACGGAAATCGAATAGAGCTTCTGGTAATCGATATGGTATGGTCGAAGCCCGAACCTCCGCAAAAGAGAGACCGGAGCTTGAAGTCTTTGGGGATAACAAGCCTTATCGCTTATCATCATGTGACCAATGCACCAGAGTCAAACGGCCGCGTTTGCACTCGTTTCTAATAATTGCTGCTGGGCAAGGGATCATTGATTAAAATAGAGGAGAGTGTGAAGAATGTCTACCTGAGTACTTTATACCTAGGTAACCTCCTTAGTTCTTTGTTTGGGCAGAGAAGTTGAATGTGAGGAAGCCATTCATTGTTCCTTACTCTGTAACATGCATGTATTTACACGTTGAGGCTGGTATAAGAGAAGTAATTACACCAAGTAGACGTCCTGTACTTCTACTGATTTATATGCAGTTAGATGCCCTCAACAAGCTAAATTAATCTACAAGAACTACGGAGTTCTTATTTTTTAATTTTAATTTTACTAGTTATTAGTTAACTCCGTAGTTATGTGTTGATTACGCTGTATATATACATAGTAATTGTCCACTGCCAAGGCCCCTCAACCAAAACGGCGCTAACCCTTCCCACCAAAAATACGCCCCATCGATACGGTTCGCCGCTGAGAAAAAAATTCCCCAAAAGCATATCAATTCCCAACTCTTCCTCCTTGACTCTCCTCCTATCACTTCTCCCCTCCCCGCATACCTCCAATACCTTCTTTTACGCGCCCTCCAGTCTGCCCACAAGAATGTCGGAACCCATCAGAAACAAGAAGGTGGAATTTCCCACAGCTCCGTAAGTCGTGTAGCCTCCCCCACCTTGTCACTTTTGTCATTCCATCCCCAAACCGTTTCTGACCGCTAATATTCGACAATCACGAACAGCACCCCCCAGAACACGCCAGCCAACAATGCTCCCATCTCGTCCCACGCCCAACAACCTGGTGTCGCCAGTATTAAAGAAGGTGTGTCACTTTTCTTTCTTATATATATATATATATATATATATATCATTCGCCCTAGAGTGTGATTATTCAGCATCAGTGTTTTTTATGTCAACTAACCAGGAAGTGTCGGAATTTGCAGAGGATCTCGACCGTGCAGCAGCTGCGTCGCTCTTTGCGCAAAACCCGAGACTAGTGTCTATGATCCAAGGGAGACTTGGTTCTTTGGTTGGCCGATCATCTGGTTATATCGAGTCTCTCCCTGCTCCCGTCCGCCGCCGCGTAGCTGGCCTGAAAGGAATCCAGAAGGAGCATTCGAAACTCGAGGCAGAGTTCCAACAGAAAGTTCTTGAGCTAGAAAAGGAATACTTTGCTAAGTTCGAGCCTCTATACGGTAAACGTGCGACCATCGTCAACGGACAATCCGAACCTACTGAAGATGAAGTGAAGGCTGGAGAAGAGGACGAAGAGGACGGAGAGGAGGAGGAACCCAAGGCAAAAGATGAACCCAAATCGGAGGATGCTGATGTACCAGTCGCTGCTGGTATCCCTGAGTTCTGGCTCTCTGCCATGAAGAACCATATCTCTCTTTCTGAAATGATCACCGAGAGAGATGAGGAGGCATTAAAGCAACTGACCGACATTCGCATGGAATATCTCGAACGTCCTGGTTTCCGTCTGATTTTCGAGTTTTCCGAAAACCAGTTCTTTACCAACAAAACTATCTCGAAGACCTATTACTACCAGGAAGAAAGTGGTTACGGTGGCGATTTCATCTACGATCATGCCGAGGGCGACGAGATTGAATGGAAAGAAGGCAAAGATCTCACCGTCCGATATGAGAGCAAAAAGCAACGAAATAAGAGTAAGGAGTTTTATTGTATCCAAGTACAACGGCAAATATCAATATCCTAACCATCGTTATTTATCATATCTAGGCACCAAGCAGACCCGCGTGGTGAAGGTTAAGGTACCCACGGATTCGTTTTTCAATTTCTTCTCCCCACCAAAACCACCTGCCAACGGCGAGGACGACGCGGAATCCGACATTGAAGAGCGACTGGAGTTGGACTATACCCTTGGTGAAGACATCAAAGAGAAACTCATTCCCCGGGCTGTCGATTGGTTCACCGGAGAAGCCCTTCAATTTGAGGAGTACGACGAGGAGATGGACATGGATGACTTCGATGACGACGATGAGGATGATGACGACGATGACGACGATGATGATCGAAGATCGGACGGGGATTTGGATGATGAAAGCGATGAGGAGGTAAGAGAGCTCAAAAATTCTTTACAAGTTCAAGAATATATGTGGCTAACTCAGACTTACTAGGACGACGGAACGAAGCCTAAAAAGGAGGCTGCCGAATGCAAGCAGAGTTAGACAAGGGCCTTTATTATATTTACAAAAGTAGTCTAGTTGTTGTTCCTGGGAGTCCCGTTTTCCCCTTTCCCCTATTTTTTTTAAATCCATTTTAAACCATTCGCATTGCCTACCTGTTTCCATTGCCTCTTCTTTTATTCGCTTTTTCGCCTATGCTACCTAATTTGACATACTCATGTGAAAATTTCCCAGTTTGAGTTCTTTTTATCTTCCTATTACTTATGCGTTAAGATTGAGCCTAATAATACACATAATATGGACCTTGCGTCCTTCCTCCATTTCTTCCCTCCCTTCCCTTCTCATCCAAAACTCCGTTCCCCCTTGCTATGTTCTCTGCTCTCTATCTTCAAAGGGATATACACCCTCACACAACCAAAACAAAAGCTATCTGCACCGTCATTTTACCTTGGTCCTTGTGGTTGGGATTTCGTGCATTCATGACAGCAAGAGATACTCCATACCCAGACACGCACGTTATCTGCACTGTATCTTTGTATTTCCGGACGCGGCAGCCTAAGAAACGGGTAAAATAGTTTTTAGCCACCAATGCTGGGCCTGTTGCAATACCCGTTGGACCATCGTTTTCTATATTCTAGAAGGAGAAGTGTGTTATAAATCGAATCCAACAAAAGTCATTGTTTTAATTGTTTTACCCTGTCGCCCCCCCACCCCACCTCTGCTCTTTGCTTTACTCTGGCGCATTGTTTTTTAAACAACAAAATAAGCAAAGAAAATTGTAGTACCACGGACATGACATTCTGATGAGGAATTTTCGCCACGATTTTTTTTTAGAGGATGTACACGCACATCTTCTAACATGATGAATGATAGAGGTGCAAATATAAAGAAGCGTGTACAGAGTACATACATGTATATGATAAAACAAGAAAAAGAACAGAACAAACTTGGAATAAAAATCTAAAACACCATCCGATATTCTTGAAACAACGATCGCCACACCCCCAGCCCAAGCCCTGGAGACATCTGCCAGGCTGGAGAAGACAAGATGGTAGGATCCCCTTACATAAGCTCCGTAGCTCCGTAGGTTCCTAGTAGTACTGAAGATTTTTAAGCTTTTTGAATTAATTAAAAGGGTATATATTGACTTTTTTTATATATTATTATTCTAGAAGAAAAGAGAAGACTTTTTTATTCTCTTTTAAGAGAAATAAACAGATAAACAATAACAATCTTAAAAAAGAAGGAATGAATCACAGGTCCTTTTAAAAGAAGGATATAAAGTGAGTAGCAGTTTCTGCTGGGTGACCATCACGTGGCCGGGCTCTGGCTTCCAATCGCATCCATGGATCCATCCCATCCCCCCTAAACCCGCTCGCTGCTTGGACCACCACCGCCTTGCTCAGGGGGGGCTGTCCGGTCCGGTTCGCTAAAACACCCCAGCCTAAACAACAAGCTCGCTGACTTGGCCTGCTGCTTGCTAACGTTGCACTCTCTTTCTTCCTTGTTATTGCTTGATCGTCTAAATCTCCCGTCTGTCTGTCTCTGTCTGCCTGGAAACCCTGGCGGTTTTTTGGTGTTCTCCAGCTTTCTTTTCCTCTTGGCCCGCCCTCTCTCCCGAATTAGAACGAATCAGAACGGTGTGCAACTTCATTGCCGTGCACCGTTGTTTGCTCGTCCTTTTTACCTGCACCCTTCCTCACGGCGATCCCCTTTTTCCACTCTCTAAGTTATTTATCCGTTATTTCGTTAGTATCGTCGTTTTGGGACTCCGGTTTTTAAATGCAGGAACCTCTAACTATAATACTCGTTTCCATTATCGTCAAGTCACTACGGGCATCTCGAATCTCGAATCCCTGGACAAACCCGCCCTCTCCCCCACTCCCCCAGTTGTCTCAGTATTCGATATAACTTAAAAGCCTATCTTGACGACCGGTCCGCGCTGTGGTGTTGGAGTTGTAGTTTGCAAACATGGTGCACATATTCGACGTCGGTACCCGGGCATGGCAACCTGACCCGACGGAAGGATGGGTGGGCTCTGAGCTCGTTGAGAAATTGGTGGATGGAGATAAAGTCACTCTGGTCTTTTCCCTGGAGAATGGAGAGGTTAGCATCATTCCCATTTCCGTTGAAGCTCTGTTTACAGTTATATACGCTCGTCTTTATGATGATTTGTACAGCGTGTTGCATATAGAAATATCACTGACAAACAGCCCATTTTTCCTTGCCCTTCAAAAATAACAGACCAAGACAATCGAAACGACGGAAGCTGAACTACAGCTGGACAACAATGGATCCCTTCCGCCGCTGATGAATCCATCGATGCTGGAAGCTAGCGAGGACCTCACAAATCTGTCCCATTTGAACGAACCAGCTGGTATGTTTAGAGCTGCGATATCTCCGTGCTTGGCAATATATTTCTCTCTGACGGGTTTTACTATATAGTACTGCAAGCCATCAAGCTCCGATACGCGCAAAAGGAAATTTATACATACAGTGGTATTGTGCTCATCGCAACCAATCCATTCGCTCGCGTCGATTCGCTCTACGTCCCTCAGATGGTTCAGGTATATGCAGGGAAGCAGCGGGCTACACAAGCTCCTCATCTTTTTGCTATCGCTGAGGAAGCATTCTCGTGAGTAAATGCCCACATATCTGTTAGTGCCAATACAGTGCCCATGTCTCTGACCTTGGAATTAGTGATATGTTGAGAGATGGCCGAAACCAGACCATCGTTGTCTCTGGAGAATCAGGAGCAGGAAAAACTGTGAGCGCGAAATATATCATGAGATACTTCGCCACGAGAGGAACTCCCACCCAGGGATCATATAATGCAGGAAGAGCAGATTCAATCAGCGAGACAGAGGAACAAATTTTGGCAACAAATCCGGTGATGGAGGCATTCGGAAATGCGAAGACTACCCGTAACGATAATTCTTCCCGATTCGGAAAATATATTGAGATTATGTTCGACGACAAGACGAATATTATTGGCGCGAAAATAAGAACATACCTCCTGGAACGTTCGAGGCTTGTCTTCCAACCTCTGAAAGAAAGGAATTACCATATTTTCTACCAGCTCGTCGTCGGAGCTACAGACTCGGAGCGGCAAGAGTTGGGCCTCTTGTCCATTGAAGAATTCGAATATCTGAACCAGGGAGGTGCTCCGGTGATTGATGGCGTCGACGATAAGGCCGAATTTGATGCCACAAGGAAATCTCTTACGACGATAGGAGTGACGAGGGAGACCCAGGCTGATATTTTCCGCATCCTGGCTGCTCTTCTTCACCTAGGCAATGTTAAGATCCAGGCTACTCGAACTGATTCTTCTCTCTCTGCCACGGAACCGTCTCTTGTGCGCGCATGCGAGATGCTGGGTATAGAAGCAGGTGAATTCTCGAAGTGGATTGTGAAAAAGCAGCTAATCACCCGCGGCGAGAAAATCACATCGAATCTTACCCAGCAACAGGCCCTAGTTGTCCGAGATTCAGTTGCGAAATTCATTTACTCAAGCTTGTTTGATTGGTTAGTGGAGACCATTAACCGCGGGCTAGCTACGGAAGATGTATTAAATAGGGTGAGCTCCTTCATTGGAGTTTTGGATATTTACGGTTTCGAACATTTCGCCAAAAACTCTTTCGAACAGTTTTGTATCAATTATGCCAACGAGAAGTTGCAGCAAGAGTTTAACCAGCATGTGTTCAAGCTTGAACAGGAGGAGTATGTCAGGGAAGAAATTGATTGGAAGTTTATCGATTTCTCGGACAATCAACCTTGCATTGATCTTATTGAAGGAAAGCTCGGAGTCCTATCGCTGTTGGATGAAGAGTCTCGATTACCAATGGGCTCTGATGAGCAATTCGTTACAAAGCTGCATCATCACTTTGGGTCCAACAAACAAAAGTTCTACAAGAAACCTCGATTCGGAAAGTCCTCGTTCACTGTATGCCATTACGCCGTCGATGTCACGTATGAGTCTGATGGATTCATTGAGAAAAACAGGGACACTGTTCCGGATGAGCATATGGAAATCCTCCGCAAGTCCTCCAATGGATTTGTGAAATCCGTTCTCGAAGCGGCCTCTGCCGTTCGTGAAAAGGACTCAGCGGCCGTGTCCTCGCGCCCAGTTGCAGCACCAGGGCGGAAGATTGGCGTTGCTGTCAACCGCAAACCCACGCTTGGAGGCATCTTCAAGTCCTCTTTGATTGAGCTTATGAACACTATCAACTCGACTGATGTTCATTATATTCGATGTATAAAACCCAATGAGGGCAAGGAAGCGTGGAAGTTTGAAGGCCCTATGGTTCTCAGCCAGTTGAGAGCGTGTGGTGTCCTGGAAACTGTTCGGATAAGTTGCGCTGGCTACCCTACCCGCTGGACATACGAAGAATTTGCTCTCCGGTACTACATGCTCTGCCATTCATCCCAATGGACATCTGAGATACGCGATATGGGCCACGCCATTCTACGAAAAGCCCTTGGTGATGCCAGTCATCAGCAAGATAAATATCAGCTCGGTCTGACAAAGATCTTCTTCCGAGCAGGTATGCTTGCTTTCCTTGAGAACCTCCGCACGTCACGCTTAAACGAATGCGCAACCATGATCCAGAAGAACTTGAAATGCAAGTACTATCGCCGCAGGTACCTCGAGGCTCGCGAGTCTATCCTTACCACGCAAAGCGTGATCAGAGGTTTCCTGGCTAGACAGCACGCAGAGGAGATTCGTCGTATTAAAGCTGCCACCACAATACAAAGAGTTTGGCGTGGCCAAAAGGAGCGAAAGCATTACGTCAGTATTCGGAGCAATATTATTCTCTTCGAATCCGTTGCGAAGGGTTATCTCTGCCGGCGCAATATCATGGATACCATCCTTGGCAATGCTGCCAAGACTATCCAGCGTGCATTCCGGTCCTGGCGTTCGCTCCGTGCTTGGAGACAATACCGTAAGAAGGTCATCATTATTCAGAACCTTTACAGAGGACGAAAGGCACGCCTTCAGTACAAGAAGCTTCGTGAAGAAGCAAGAGATCTTAAACAGATATCGTATAAACTGGAAAACAAGGTCGTGGAACTCACTCAATCCCTTGGGACACTCAAGCGAGAGAACAAGACTCTTACAACACAACTTGAGAACTATGAAAGCCAGTTGAAGTCCTGGAGAAGTCGACACAACGCACTGGAAGCTCGCACCCGAGAGTTACAAGCCGAGGCCAACCAAGCTGGTATTTCTGCGGCACAGCTGGCTGCCTTGGAAGAAGATATGACCAAGTTGCAACAAAATCATGCTGAGGCACTAGCAACCGTCAAACGACTACAGGAAGAAGAGAAGGTGTCGCGCGAATCTCTTAAAGTCGCAACTGCAGAGCTTGAGAAGCTGAGACAAGCCAATTCTGACAACGAGGTCGAGAAGGAATCTCTCCGCCAGCTAATATCTGAGCTCCAGGATGAGTTAGAGCTTGCGAAGAGGTCTGTCCCTGTCAATGGACTTAATGGAGACCTTCAGAACGGAGCCGCTGCTCAACCTGGTATTACTGGGTTAATTAACTTGGTTTCATCCAAGAAGCCCAAACCGAAGAGACGGAGTGCTGGCACGGAGAGGATAGAAGCTGATCGATTCAGCGGTGTCTATAACCCGCGGCCGGTATCGATGGCTGTGCCTAGCGCAGGCCGCCGCTCTAATCTATCTGGTTCGACGTTTGCTCCGGGAGTGGATTCTATTGAAATGGAACTGGAAACGCTGTTATCTGAAGAAGATGAGCTCAACGACGAAGTTACGATTGGTCTTATCCGAAACCTTAAAATACCTCTTCCCGGCTCTACTCCACCACCAACCGAGAAGGAGGTTCTCTTCCCATCATACCTTATTAATCTTGTTACGTCCGAGATGTGGAATAATGGCTTTGTCAAGGAATCTGAACGCTTCCTTGCTAATGTAATGCAATCTATTCAGCAAGACGTCATGCAGCATGAAGGTGAAGATGCAATTAACCCTGGCGCGTTCTGGCTTTCCAACGTGCACGAGATGCTATCCTTCGTTTTCCTCGCCGAGGATTGGTATGAGGCCCAGAAAACTGATAATTATGAGTACGACCGTCTTTTGGAAATTGTGAAACATGATCTAGAGAGTTTGGAATTCAATATCTACCACACTTGGATGAAAGTTTTGAAACAGAAGCTTTACAAGATGGTTGTCCCCGCAATCATCGAGTCGCAGTCACTTCCGGGATTCGTTACTAACGAAACAAGCCGCTTCCTCGGAAAACTCCTGCCATCCAACACCCCTGCTTACAGTATGGACAACCTTTTGAGTCTTCTTAACAATGTGTACAAGGCGATGAAGGCATACTATCTCGAAGACTCGATCATCTTGCAAACAGTCAATGAGCTACTCCGCCTTGTCGGTGTTACTGCATTCAACGATCTCCTGATGAGAAGAAATTTCCTCTCCTGGAAGCGTGGTCTACAAATCAATTACAATATCACTCGGATTGAAGAGTGGTGCAAGAGCCATGATATGCCGGAAGGGACACTGCAGCTCGAGCACCTCATGGTAAGTTCATCATAGTTCTCTCTTTCCGGCGTCGAATGTGGATTGTCGACTAATGAATACTCCCGTTTTTAGCAAGCTACGAAATTACTTCAACTCAAGAAGGCGACTCTTAACGATATCGAGATCATTCAAGATATTTGCTGGATGTAAGTGAATCGACGCCCCCACTTTACCACTCACACCGTAAGGAAAGGTACTAATCACCTTCTCCCTCACAGGCTCTCGCCCAATCAAATACAAAAGCTTCTGAACCAGTATCTGGTCGCCGATTACGAACAGCCCATTAACGGCGAAATCATGAAAGCGGTTGCTTCTCGCGTAACGGAAAAGAGTGACGTCCTCCTCCTTACCGCTGTTGACATGGAAGATAGCGGCCCTTACGAAATCGCTGAGCCACGCTCAATTACTGCCTTGGAAACATATACTCCATCATGTAAGCTGGAAACATATACACCCTCCAGGGTCAAAGGTCGACATGGACGCCATTTGAACTATACTAACAGCAATCAACAGGGCTCCAAACACCTCGTCTCAAGCGCCTTGCGGAGATTGTCTCCATGCAAGCTATGGCACAACAGGAGAAGCTTGACATGGTAGATGGCCCCGACGCCGTCAGCACCTCCCCATAAAATCAAAATAATATCCGTTTGCATCCCTCATTGTCCCATGTACTCAGTTACTCGCCCCTTGCGGGTATTTTATCCCTAGCTAGTCTTTGGGAGCCCTCCTCTACTATTTCCATTTAGTTGTTCCCATCTACTCTCTTCCAAATTTGGCATCTGCGCCGCCGCCTACCTTATAGACTCTGGTTGAGATGAAAGGATTCTGAAAGACCACTCTGTCCATTGCGTATTGAATCTTTATTATTTTTTTCTGCGTTCCTGATTACCGCCACACCACGCCTTGTTGGCAAGCTGGGTGCAGTTTATCGTTTTGTCGACGTCTCCTTTTAATTTCTATAAGGCTTGTTTTTATTTTGCTCCAAAGAACTTGTCTATATCCATTGTCATTTTCATTTCCTCGCAAATCCAATCGAAAACCCCGCATCTCCCTTTCCTTCCTCCTCCTCCCCTCTACTTATTCCCTGTTCTTCTTATTCGCATCCTCCCCGTTCCATCATCGCTATTGGGTCCTCCTTGGCACTCTTACACATTAATCAACAACGAACTACAAGATCCCAACACCCTAGACGATAGAAGATATACTCCCAACTAACCCCATTCTATAATTTTGTCAGCGTTGTTTCACCTCCTTTCTAAAGAATCTTTGACGTGATGTAAGACTACTTTATACCTACCCTATTCCTCTTGACCGGTTTTTTTGCCACTAACGGAGCACAAGGAATCTCGAAGATGCGAAAAGGAAGCCGATAATGTAATGCACTAAATTTCCGGTTTCTCTTCTATAGTTCTATATATGAGTGACAGCTCTGCGCCTCATTTTTGATCTTGCGTGATAGCATTTAACTACATTTCTAAATCCCATTATGCCGGCTGGGGTGGATATTAGATAGTCTAGATATTTGTTGTTGGATTCTGGTTTAATAATACTTAAATCACTCCTCCTGCTTCAACTGTACGTTGCCATTGATGTTCTAACTAATTATGGGGCGGTTGTAGTGAGCAAATGAAGTATGTATGAGAATTTTGGATCGAAATCTTGGCGATCTGATAAGATTTTGTAACCGCGACGGCTCTCCTAAAGAATTCCCCTCACAAGCACAGTAGATATCTCCATTTCGCATCCATCCAGTGTATATTTCACTGAAAAAAGGAAAGAAAGACAGAAAGACAGAAAGACAGAACGGGATAAGGGGGAAAACAGCGCCCAAGCCTCCATCACCTAAGACAAGTGCCACAATCCAATCCGATCACCACCCACTCACTGCCCGTCATCCCATCATCTCCCCCACCTCCCCCCCCCTCAACCATGAAGACCATAAACTTCATCACAGGCAACAAAAACAAACTAGCCGAAGTCCAGGCTATATTAGGTGATGCCATAGAAGTGCAGAACCGGGCTATTGACGTGCCCGAGATCCAAGGCTCGATTGAAGAGATTGCGAAAGAGAAATGCCGCAGGGCGGCGGAGGTGGTATGTGCCAGATAGAATCTTCTCCTCGCTTGCTGTATTATTTTTTTCTTCTATTTTTTTATATATACAGGCCAGTCGATATTAGATATTCGATTGTACGGAGTATTTTTTACCCATAACTCAGTAGTATCATTGGGTGGTGGCTGGTTGCAATTGATTGAAAGGGCCATCAAGCTAAATTTTTCGTGTCTCTGAATACAAATATACAGATACAAGGGCCTGCGTTGACAGAAGACACAGCTCTAGAGTTTAATGCATTAAAGGGGTTGCCAGGACCATATATGTAAGTTCCTCGCTCTAAGTGTTTGCTTTTTGTTTTTCAACTTCTTCCCTACTTACTCGGGTATGAAACAAGGGGTGCCTTTGATAATTTGTGTTCCCCCTATAAAAGCATATGTATATATATATATATATATCCACTCTATCAAACAAGCATTTTACGCTGGACGCGTGGGGCATTTGAAAAATTCTGAATACTAACAACGAAATTATATAGCAAATGGTTTCTCGAAGCCCTAGGCCACGAAGGCCTTAACAAGTTGCTGGATCCATACGCAGACAAATCCATCGTGGCAGTGTGCACGTTTGCGTTCTGCAGTGGGCCAGGTGCGGAGCCGATACTCTTTCAAGGGAAGACTGAGGTAACTGCATTACTCTTCTGCCTCTCAATCCCCCCACCGCACAAGAAACAGCGGGTTAAGGCCCGGTGTAGATCGCGGTCTCTCATTCTAACATGTGGTTTCTCCATATAATAGGGTCGAATTGTTCCAGCTAGGGGCCCCGCGAATTTCGGTATAGTTCCCACCTGCCCAAAACGGGGTCCCACCCTCCAATTATTTCTACCACTTGAAACATGAATTGACAGGGCTGATAATGATTGAACTGCGCAGGTTGGGATCCCATATTCGAGTATGAGGGGAAGACGTTTGCAGAGATGGACAAGGACGAAAAGGTGCGTTAAAAAAAGCAAATCTCCCCCAACGTCGATATTTAATAGTTGAGTGGTAGAGGAGGCGCATATGTGGGCTTTGACGCTGAGTTTTTTTTCTGCGCGACGATCTAGAACCTGATCTCGCATCGATACAAGGCGCTTGCGAAATTGAAACAATGGCTCGTGGAGACATATCCTTGATATTTCCCCGATCGTCCTCAAAATATTATCGCCGGGAAAAAGGGGCCGTAGAGCCGCGTGGGCCGCGAGGAGGCTAAAGGAGGGATCCCATTCAACCCGAACTCTCCGTATGGGTCGCTTTCCAAGATTCTATCCAAGCCTCGATGCGTTCGCAATTCTTTTCAATATCCCCGTCATTCTCGCTCGTCAACTCAACGACGATTTCCTCATCGTATGACTCCTGCGCTTCTTGGAGGAGGACATCGAATATTTCCACGTCAAGGTTTTCCTGCAGTTTGCGCTCCGAGTAGCCTCTGTGAATAACCATAAATAGATAAATTTAAATCGCTGATTAGCCTTTCTATACCTTCCTAACATTTTTCCATATCCTTGTGGGGAAACCGAGAGGGGTAAAAAAACACAAAAATAAGAAAAAATAAGCTAACCTAGCCGCCAACCGGTCATAGAGTATAGCAGTAGAAGTGCACCGGATCACCACCACCAGGTCAACCCAGGACTTGGGAAAGAGGTCGCAGGCATGCCAATCGATAAGATACCCGCCCTTCGGCACATCCTTTTCTATCACATCGAGGAGCTACAACACCGTCACCGCGTCACGTATTAGCCCCATACCATACCATATCCCGCATGGACAATGGACAATGGGAATGATAAAAAAAGAGAAATAAAAGTCATTCATATATATATACCTTATCATCATCCACGATATAGCACTGCAGCTCATCATCATATCCCTCATGGCACCCGTGCTCTTTCACAACTTGGTTAATGGACAGGTGTCGCAGGCCCGTGTCTTGCGCCAACTGCTCGCAATGGACCGTTTTGCCGACGCCAGGCGTGCCGGTGATGATAATGTTAGGGAGCGTCCTCATTTTTCGTTGGAAAGAACGCGGGGGACGTCGGCGGGTGGAAAAATTGTAAAGCTTATATGTACGAGGTAGAGAAGAAGGTGGATGGGCGTGTGGGAGCGGGGATGTGATAAGCTGTTTTAAACAACTACGACCATGCAGAAAAAAGAAAATTACAAAAAATGTATCGGCGTAATTTATCTGTTATTAACAATACAAAATCACGTGGATTTTAAAAGCCAAATCATACCTAATAACTTGACTGTGTATCAATACGTATCCATTTCAACTTTGTAACTATTTATTATTCAAAAAAAAAAAAAAAAAAAAAAAAAAAAAAAAAAAAAAAAAAAAAAAATATCAAAGCGAGAGAGAGAGAGAGTCTCGAGAAATATTCCGAATTGATGCTAGAAATAACCATCGCCTGAAATGCACTAAGGTCAAAACGCTAAATCTAAGGGGTCTCTTGAAAATTCGAAACCGTGCAACGGAGACGGAGACGCAAAAGAAACAACGCCTCGAGTATGCAAAGTAGCAAAGTAAAAAGCCAGAATCACAAAAGCTTAAGAATAACGATCCCAACCGTCGTAGCCTGCAACAAGCATCATAAACAAGATCGTCCCAAGGAATCATCACCTATATATGCGGGCAATTGTCACTCGAGGTGAAAAATACGCAACCATCGAAACCAGCGTAGAATCTCCCAATCTCCCAAGCCAGCGCCCCTTACGTTTCTGATCCTAGTAGAGGGTCGTTGACGGCGGTAATCTAATTTTATTTAAGGAAAAACCCTCATTAGCAGCAAAATTCCCGCAAATTGCACCCGGACAAAGAGAAAAAAAATAGCTCACTTGAGAACTTCAAACTCCTTGTATCTTTGCAGGTAGCCGGGACCTCGCCGGTAAGCCTTTATCAGGCGACCCGGGTCCTGCGATGTAATGTGTTTGTTGCCAATAAGTCTCTCGATTGCTGGTGACGTTTTGAACATCGGGTCGAAGACGAGAAGGTTGGCGCTCCCGCTCTTGCGGGTTTCGAAACCGACGATCGTCACAGAGTGGCCTGGTATAATCGATTGTTAGCATAAAAACTGTCGGTACGGGACAATATTGGGATTCCTGTCTTTGTTTTGGCATTGCATACCTTCGTGCTGGAGATAGAGAGGCGGTAACTCAGTTTGGTTTATCTTTTCGTCGTTTGTCGGGCAGCCTTGGAGGAAGTACGCCAATATGTCATCGAGCAGGGCATCATGGGCAGAACTATCTTGTGTAGTGCCGAAGACTCCGGCCGTGCAGCTAGGAAGATGGGTCAGATTTTACTTGCTTGACAGAGTGACAGCAAGTTGGGGGAAATAGGGGACATACTTAATCCCTAAACTGAGGAAAAGGGCATGGGCCTGATCGTGAGTTATGAGTTAGTAAAGACGTGCATCTAAAGACATACATGCTTTCCACAATTTTTGGTGTCGAAATTTTTACCTCGGAAGTCCCAATATATTTTCTTGTTCCCTTAATCCCCCCAGTTTCGATTTGCGCCGTATTATTAAAGCCCAAGTCCCAGGCCTGCTCAATAAGGTCCTGCAATCGCAAGATTGTTGGGAGTCTACCAGGAAATTGTTCGTAGCCATCCGCGAGGGTATCTTGGATATAAGAAACTAGCATCTGGATATTTCTGTACCCGCAAAACCCGCCTTCTTTCGGCATCTTGAATACATGTCGCGTGGCCGGGTGGCAGAGAAACGCCTGTTCTACAGTTTGATCCAGCTCGCAAAGCTGCGCAAGTACAGTTATAAGATGCGAGGTCTCATTAGCCACAGATTCAACCCTGCGTAGGGTGCCATCTGTTTGAATCTGGTTGGAGACTGTAACTTTTGCGCCTTCTTCTAACATATTCCTCAGCCATGATGGCATTTGCTTTTCGTGTGCGTATGGTCCCAACTCCGATCTCTGAGAAGGCACATTAATATGAATCAGCGAACTGACCGAAAGGGGGAAGCAGAGGTCGACTTACTCCAAGTCGACGCACAAAACCTCCACCAGCGTCACGATGTTTTCGTTTTGATTTGCGTTTCCTTTTTTCCGACGGTCCAGATGTTGTTGCCTTTGAGTCTCTATGTGAGCCCTTGCGGGAAGATTTTGGCTGGAGGACATTATCCCTATTGCGAAGGGCCTTGGGCAGCTTTGTAGAAAATCGACTTTCGATATCGTCGTATGTATAATCTACATTTGCATCATCACTCTCCTCCTCCAACGATTCGCCTTTGGTAACCACGCCACCAGGTGCTTCTTCAAAAGTCATGCCTTCAGCCATATGAAGGTCCAGGTGGGTTGAAAGCTCAGTGGTAGAGATGATCTCGCCGCAGTCATGGGGACAGTCGACGTAGCCGTCGAGAGGCTCATCATCATTGGTGGCGGGCTCTGCGGAAAGCCCTGCGGAACCCTCCAATATGTGGTCTGTGTTATGCTTCGAATTTTGGGGGGTCGGAGAGGGTTCCTCAGTCGCAATAAACGGCGACGTTCCATTTTCAGGGTGGCAGAGCTCTACATGCTGGGTTAGGAAATAGGGATCGGAATCTGAAAATTCACAGAATGGGCATGGCAAGACATCGCCTTCCATGCTGTCTTGAGCTATCAGAAAGAGGCTCGTGGATAAACTTTTAAATTTGAAATATGTAGCTTCCGCGGTAGATCAAGCAATGACACGAACAGATAATGAGATGGGGTTAGTTAAATATGCCAAAACTCCACACTTCCTGCGTTGGTTGCTTGCTTGCTTCTCCCCACGCCGTAGTTGGTGAAGAGAGGTTGAAGTTGAAATTAACTAAATTGTGCTGCTGGCTCCTCTTGTTGCTATTGTAGTTGTTGGTGTCAAGGCGATGAATGAATTTCGATTGGACACCGCCCAGCCCTGTCAAAAGCACATGACAATGGCGGTAGGTAGGGCTGCAATCTAATCAGATCGGATCTAATGTAATGTATGTACGGAGTTACGTGCGGCATGGAATAATGAAATGTTCGCATATAATAATATCCATACAAACATTTGATTCATTTCCTTGGTACGTTCGTCTTCCAGAAAATACGTTGGCAGATTGGATTTGCTTTGTTCTTGACGCTGTTGAGCACCGAAACTTACTAGCAGCAGGCATTTTGATACCCAATATTGGCGTATTGATATAGTAGCTCTACACATTAATAGTATTCTGAAAAAATGTAGAAAATTGTAAATCTATATATATCTATCTAGTTTATTCATGCTCAATACTTTGGATCTGCTTTTCCTCGACTCCAACGCCTGGTCGGTCCGTAGTTTCACCTAAGCAGCCCGAACCAACCCCGCGAAACAAACAGAACAAACACCCCCTCCAATAGCCAAATAACAATTCTGTTACGAATACTTTGGAATCTCTTGGCTATCATTTCTGACTCCTCCTGTTTATTCCATTATTCCATGACAAGATCTATTATCTAAAACGAACACCGCTATCTTCGAATAATAAATACTGTAACATATCTCCCAAAGAAGCGCCCAAAGGAGGAAAAAGAAATAAATAAGAATTCAGCAGGCGGTGGTTTGTGCTAGTTGTGTTAGCTCGGATTGCGTGATCCACCGGCGCCGCTAAACGGACCAACCCGATTTTCGTTATCTGGGGGCAGAATTTAAAAAAAAAATAAAAATTACAAAAAAAAGACCACAGAGAACGAACGAGTTGACTGACTATCTTCTTCTTCTTATTATTATTTTTCTCCCGTTGAAGGTTAGCTAGCTGGTTATTTTTATCTTTTTTCCAACTCTGCGCGGGCTGCTATCCTCGTCCTTTGCCTCCTTCATCAATTCTATACTCTCTTCTCTCAATCTTTCACTCATCTTCGCCTCTCCTGGTCAGAACACATCGAGCAAACCCAAGGCTTATGCCTTTTCGCTCTCCTCTCCCTCTTGGTCACGCACGATGAGCTTCCTCCCACACCTGGGCGTAAATGGAACCGACAACGTTCCTCTCACCAATGGCATAACTGCGCATCCTACAGAATGGGTTGTCCAGAAGTTTGGAGGAACAAGCGTGGGGAAGTTCGCTGTTGATATCGTGGATCGTGTCATATAGTAAGAACAATTACCCCTCCTCCCCCTCCAAATTTTTTTTTTCTTTTTCTTTCTCTCTGTTTCCTTTTTGGATAATTGAATTAACGCTCCTCTTCTCCGATCTATAGCCCCAGTACCCTAACACATAGAGTTGCTGTCGTGTGCTCAGCCAGAAGTAGTTCATCCAAAGCAGACGGGACCACAAATCGGTGAGTCATAGGCATATAATAAATAACCTCCACTACATACCTTACCGCTTGGAGATTCGTCTTGGGTCCAATGAACTAGTGAAATGACAAATACCTCTTCCAGATTACTTCGCTCTGCTCGAGAAGCGTCAGACAATATAAAATCTACCCACTATGTTGCCCTCGTCGACGCCGTCCGACAAGAACACGTCCAGGTCGCTAAGGACCTAGTACGAAACCCAGAAATAAAGGAACAGTTGATTAATGCCATTGAAGCCGAATGCACCTACATCTTCAAAATCCTCGAAGCTGCCCAAACCCTCGGCGAAATAACTGCTAAATGTTTGGACAAGGTAATAAGCACGGGAGAGAAGCTAAGCTGTCGAGTGATGGTAGCTTTGCTGGAGGATCACGGCGTCGAGTCGGAATACGTTGATCTATCGGACGTGGTCAGTTTTGCGACAAGTTGCCAATCACTCGACCAAGCGTTTTATGATCGACTAGCGGTTGCGCTGGCCGAAAAGATAAAAGCATGTGGGAATAAGGTACCCGTGATCACGGGCTATTTTGGGCCGGTACCGGGAGGCTTGCTGGAGAAAATCGGCCGAGGCTATACAGACCTGTGTGCCGCGCTTGTCGCAGTCGGTATCAACGCACATGAGCTTCAGGTCTGGAAGGAAGTGGACGGGATTTTCACAGCAGATCCGCGCAAAGTACCCACAGCACGACTCCTGTCGGCCATCACTCCCGCAGAAGCTGCAGAATTGACGTTCTACGGCTCTGAGGTAATCCACCCTTTTACCATGGAGCAGGTCATCCGAGCGCGGATTCCCATCCGGATAAAGAATGTCATGAAACCCAAGGGCAAGGGCACGGTGATTTTCCCAGATCCCGCAGAGCTAGATAAGACAACGGTGGGCCATGACCCGAAGCTCTTCCGTACCCGGAGTTCTAGCGTCCTATCACAGCAGCAGCAGGGTCCGAAACGACCAACTGCAGTAACAGCCAAACATAAGATTCTCGTCATAAACGTTCACTCAAACAAACGGTCATTATCACATGGGTTTTTCGCTGGCATCTTCTCCGTGCTGGATAAATGGCGACTTTCCATCGATCTGATCTCCACCAGCGAAGTGCACGTGTCTTTGGCGCTCCATTCCGAACTACCCTTACTGAACGGCGTTGGTCAAGACGAGTACCAGATTATCGACGAGGATCTTCGAGGCGCCATCCAGGACCTCCGCCGATACGGTACGGTGGACATCATTCCGCAGATGGCGATTCTAAGTCTCGTGGGACGGCAGATGAAGAACATGGTTGGCATTGCGGGACGCATGTTCTCCACACTAGGGGAGCACAATGTTAATATTGAGATGATTTCACAAGGTAAGCAACCACCCACTACCCCCAGAAAACAGGGAGAGCACAGAGGAAAACATCAGTGTTACCGTATCACGCACCCCACTTTGTAGGCATGGCTAACCTTCCCATTTCAAACTACAGGCGCAAGCGAGATCAATATATCCTGTGTAATCGAAGAGAGAGACGCAGACCGTGCTATCAACATCCTCCACACAAACCTCTTTACCTTCCTCGATTGAAACGAAACCTCGGAAAAAAGACACCCCATATACCTCCCCCCTTCTCCAACAAAGGGGGGTGACGACCGCCACCAGAGGCCTGTCCAACCTAACCTCCTGGGATGTATAACCTTTTTATGATACCTATTTTCCCTTGAAACTTATTTCCCATTATTTTATATCCCACCGGAATTTCCTTTTTTTCCTTTTTCGTTTTTCCCATTTCCGCAGCGAGGAGATATGCGGGGAACATTTGCATGCATGACGAGACGAGCACTCCAACGTGAAATATTTTTTTTTCCAGAAAGGAACCTACATGATATTTCGGCCCGCTCCGGTTCCAACAACCGGGTATAGTGGGTCGAAGTATTAAGATCACTCGCACATACACACACGGACGCGCGCACACCCACCACTTACATTTAAACACACACTCCACACACGCATACAGGCGCGCGCACGCGATTATAGAATTCTATTTTTTTCCTGTCTATTTTTTTATTTTTATTTTTTATTTTTTATTTTTTATTTTTTATTTTTTATTTTTATTTTATTTTATTTTTTTTTTTTTTTTTTTTTTGGGAAGGGTGACGCATGGGATATATAAAAACCACGTCTGGCGTTTATCTTTAATTTCGTTTCATTTCACTTTTTTTTTCATTCCATTTTACCTTCACGGACATATAGCATGGTATGGCGATTCAAATTCTCGATACAGCACAATGGGAAGGAGTTTGAGATAGCCGAATTTGGGGGGCGAGGGGAGGGAGAGAGTGTCCCATGTCCTAACCACGGCCGAAAAAAAACGAAACACGTCGACGCAACCGCGGCGCAGCTTTTTACAGCGAGCGATGATCCGGGTTGCGTCGCGGGGAAGCAAAGCGGGAGAGGGAGCGGATTTGGATTTGATTGATTGGATTTAGGCTCGGTCACGTCGTGCGTTGCTTGACCCGAAAACTCGGGAAGATTTTCCCACCGCCCGTCTGGGATAAGGTTGCTCCTCGGGATGGGACCCGGATGGATGGAAGGAACCGAGCCAAACTGGTCCAAAAGGAAAAAAAAGAATTTTTTTTTTTCCACCATGCATGCAGAGCTTCTTTCGGCTGTTGCCTTGGTCTCCGGAGGCTACAAGCTACCAAGGCGAGTCGGAAAGCATGAGTAAAAGAATAGGAAAAGGAATTTCGCCATCCATGAGCGGGACAAGAAAGGAAAGAAAAAAAGAAAAGGGGACGAAAAAGGAGCCCGAGAGACCACCAATGAACATAGGCTATGCTATGTACAGTACACCCACCCACCTCACCTACAGTTCTTGCATCTCGGTGTATCATTTCTCTTCGTTTCTTATTCTTATTCGCCTTGCTTGCTTCTAGCAGACCCGGACCAGAGAAAAGAAAAAGGCCAAGATTTGTTTGCCATGGTGAACATGCACAATCGTGCGCCACAAGGTGCATGCATGCATGCATACATACATGCATACATGCTTCATGTTTCCCGTTCGGGACGACGACACGAGCGAAATTGTCCAATAATCTACATTTTTTGTGTACTCTCCTTATCACATTTCTTCCTGGCTCTTGGAGAGAGGTCGATATGGATATGCATGGGATGGGACTGAACTTGGGAACTTACTATCTAGGATTTAATGTATCTATTCCCCCCCCCCCCCCCCCTTTCCATTTTCATTTCGATTTGGCCTGACTTGGCTGAATTGGATTTTTTCGCGAGCGGGAAAGGGAAAAGAAAAAAGAAAAAAGAAAAGAAATATATACATAATAGAAAGCGAGCAAAAGAGCGGTGATACATTTTCTCTCTCAGTGTGTGTGTGTGTGTTGTGCCTAGGTTGGGTTGTGTGTGGTGTTTTGCGTGTGCGTGGGTTGTGTGCATGCGTTTTTTTTTTTTTTTTTTTTGTCGAATAGTTTCCTCCGATTTTACTTTTCTTTTCTAGTCCATCTTACGCTGCATCTGTAACTACAGCTATTTAATTAGATTTTTTGACTTGATTCTATTTTATTTGATATTTCTTTTTTTCCCCCTTTTTTCCATTATTTTCTTCCTTGTATTGAACGATGCATATATACATAGTTCTTGGATCCTTGTATCGGGATCAATGATCCAACCGCGGACAGGGAAAGTTTCAAACAAGGCACAGTAAGACCGGTCAATTGGCGGACAGTAACAGTCAGCCTGGCCCAGTGCTGCGGATTGGATTGCTGGATGGGATTGTATCAGAGCTACCAGGGGCTAGTGCTGGCGATGTGTGAGTTGGCAGACACGCTAAAGGGGATTTGTGAGGAATGCTGGTATTATTGATTGGTAGTTAGTTATATTGCAGAGTAAGTAGTGTGGTCTGGTAGATATGGGCTTGCTCTGTATATTCTACATCTCTATCAAGCGAGAGAGAGAGACCGCGCGGAGAGACAGAGAGAATGATTGATTGATTGGTAGCGGGATATATATATTCTTGTTTCCTAATTTCCTCTTCCAAGGAGGAGAGGAGGTCGTTTTCGGCCAAATTTTTTTTTTTTTTTTTTTTTTTGCTGCGCTGGATTAGTTAAGGTTACCCTGTCTTGTTTTTGTGCCTGAAATCAGTTGAACTTAGTTAGAAAACTCAATTCGAAAACTCAATTCAAGCTGGCCTGCTTATTGATGAGAGATATAATAATAATAATAATAATAATAATATAAATATTATATAGAAGACAGAAAAATGGAATATAAGCCAAGGAATCGATGAGGGAAATACTCAATTTGTATCCGGATCAAGGCGTAATTGATCTGATCGATAGAGTATATTTCCGGGCTGTATCGTCATGACGTGTTCCGTACCAGCGCCGGGGCTGGTGCTTGGCGCTGTGCCGTGCTTTTAGCCTTTTTGCGCGGTGTATTTGCGGTGTATTGTATTGCTTGCTGTATTATTGGCGATAGATCTGTTCTGTCTCTCTCTCTCTCTCTCTCTCTCTCTGCTGTCGATTTCTTTGATTTCTTCATTTTCAATTTCTCAATTATCATCTTCATATTCTCTCTCTCTCTCTTTCTTCCTTCAACCTTCAACTTCGTCGTCTGCTCGTCGTCGTCAGTTGTTGGATGATGCATGGCCCATAACTCTATCCCTGCTGGTTGATATCAACCTCCTCTTCCTCCTCCTCCTCCTCCTCCTCCCTCCCCCTTGTCTGCGCCTTACGCTGTCTTCCTTCCCAAACCCTGTTGTTTCCCCTCTCTTCTCCCCACAAACCATCACCATCCATCCATCATCATCCATCCATCATCATCCATCATCCATCAATCTCTCTCTCTCAATCTCAATCTCTCTCTCTCAATTACCACTCTCTTATTCCCGCACTCGTTCTCGTCCAATTCGCTCGTCTCGACTTTGCCGCCCGGGTAGGCGCTGTGGTGGTTCGCCGTCTTCAGCTGCTCCAACAGCAAGCCACATCCCCGCTAGTGCAGATCTCGCCTTTCCCACAACCCGATTTCAGTCTCTCTCTCTCTCTCTCTCTCTCTCTCTCTGCCTTCTTCTCTCCCCCAACCCAACTCCAACTCCAAACTCCAACTCAACTGCTATCCGATATCCCCCTCCAGCATCGCCCTATCCACCGTTTTTCACGCGTCAAATCCCCATCCCTCTGCCGTTTTGTCTTTGTTGGCCCTGCCGTCGCCCTTTTCGCGATGGCTTCGACGCGTCAACCGCCGCCTTTGCGCATCTACCAGGACTCCGGCCCTCTTCCCCATCCCCATCCCCATCCCCATCCCCATCCCCATCCTCAGCCTCATCATCCCCATCAACATCCCCATCCCCATCCTCATCCCATTACTACCCCGTCCATGACTCAGCCTCCCAACACTCAATCTGCATCTTCGAATCTTCCTCATCAACCGAACCGCCTGCAGCCCTCTCCCATGCCGCTGCAGCCCATGAGAAACGCATCCATTAACAAGAATCTTGCTCTTACTCCCACTACGAATGGCCAATCCAACGTCTCCCCCGTGAAACCCCAACGGCGTCCCAGCATGTCTGCTCCGGGCGCCAACCACCACAACCACCACCACCACCATCGCGACAAACTGAGCTTTGTTCCGATTTCTGCACCTCATCCTGTCGCTTTCACTACAGATTCGCCAACTAAGCATTCCCGGGCCAACGGTTCGACTTATTCCCAGAGCGCTCCTCCCCCAATTGCCCAGCATGCTCTCTTTACCACTTTTTCCAGCATTCCAACAACGGACCACTCCCATGGATCCAGGGCGCATTCCATCAGCGCACAGCACGAAAAGAAATTATCCAACACCCCGGCTTTCCACCAACGTCCATCTGCCTATGCAGGTCCCACCCCAGCTAAACGAACGTTAATGGAACCCGCACCGCTGTCGAAAGACCGCCCGTCAAAGAAACCCAAGCGCGAAGAACTATCATTCGTTCAATTACCTGATCCCAGGGACATGCCTCGAATCGAGGATGATGGCGCAAAGCCTCCTTATAGCTATGCCATCCTTATCGGAATGGCTATTCTTCGCGCCCCAAATCGGCGTCTGACTCTTGCCCAGATCTACAAGTGGATCTCAGATACTTTTGCCTTCTACCGTGCTGGCGACTCGGGCTGGCAGAACAGCATTCGTCATAATCTGAGCTTGAACAAGGCCTTCATCAAACAGGAACGCCCAAAGGATGACCCTGGGAAAGGAAATTATTGGGCTATTGAGCCTGGCATGGAAGCCCAATTTTTAAGGGATAAGCCCGCGCGCCGAAACCTGGTCGCGGCGCTTTCTCAGCCCACCCCACGCCCAGAGCCGCGCATTGAATTGCAACCTCGCCTCTATCCTACGCCCATTGCTGCTAACCGCGCAACTACTACCACTACAGCCACTCCTGATGCTATCAATATCACCGCTGCTAATACTACTAATACTACTACTACTACTACTACCACCACCACCACTACCAACAACTCTACCAACACTTCGGCTCCTGCCTCCAACCATTCTGCAACCGCAACTATCACTAATTCATCTTACATGCTACCTCCCACCGGTCAACCATCCAACAGGGCTGTTAATATAGACCTGTCTTCCGATGCGACTTTACCTGCCTCTGACCCTGCGCTCCAGGAGGACAGTGGGGATGAAGTTGAACGCCTTGCCATGCACCATTCAACCCGATTACCACTCTCTTCCCCTCCACCAATCCATTCTTCCCCTCCCATCGCGCCTTCTGTCTTTCATCGTCAGGCAACCCCTCCAACTCCATCCCGTCCACTGACAGGTTCGGCTGCTATTCCACGTTCAAGAAAACGCAGCTCTGCCGCGATGAATGATTCTGGTTATTATTCCTCGCTCGAATCTTCTGCCATGCGACCACACAAGGCTGGCCACATCTTAACCTCAGATTTAGATATCGAACCTCCCCGTATTAAGCGAGGTCGTGCCGAGGAGGAAATTGCGCGCATCCGCAGCTCTTCGCATGACATTAGCCCGTTACGTAAGGACACAACTCAGTTGATTGGATCTTCACCTCTCCGACATGGATATAACAACATGCTTCCTCCCCCTATTACCCCCGCGATTAAATTCAAGAAACCAACCAAACCCCCGCCTTCTCTCTCTCCAAACACAAACCTACAAAACCACCGCAAGAAAATCCAACAAATGGTGAATTCTCCAATCAAGCAGTACGGCCTGACAGATGACATTCTACCCTGGAGCCCGGCCTTTAACATCCAGGATGACGCCTTCCTCTCAAATGACAATCTCAACATCCCGTTTGACATATTTGCTGAGCAGTTCCCGACCACAATTTCCACACCTTCCCATGGCTCCCCAGAAAAACGCTCAGCGAGACGTCCACGTTTTGATCGAAGCAGCAACATGCTCGCAGATATCACTGACCTCCATGGCAATAATCGACTGAATACCCCCACGCTCAAGTCATCCAAAGTGAGGGGACTAAAGTACCACGAGTCACCATCTAAGAAACCAAATACTCCCCAGTTCAACGATGTCTCCCAGGATGACCTGTTCTCATTCAACCTCTTTAGTGAGGATACGGCAGAGGTTGACGGAATCGATCTCTTGCAAGGATTTGAGAAAATCGGCCAGTCAGGCAAGGATGACTATTCTCCCAAGCAACTTCTTCAGAATCGGTCATATTTTGGATCCAGGAGCATCAATAACAATAACCCGCGATTCTAAAATAAAACACGACCGTTTCTGCGAGAAATCAACTTGTAGGATTCCGCTTTTGAAACGAAATTCTTCTCCGCGTTTGGATGGAGTATTGGAATCAATTCTCATCATCGCTTTTTTGACTGTTTCGCCCTCTTGGTTTTTTGTTATACCTCTCCATTTTGGTATTTTGCTTCCTTTTCCCACCGCTCGGTTTGGGTTCTTGGAGACAAACCGCCATAATTAAATTTTTCTACTGCATCCCTTTTTTGTTTTTTTTTTTTTTTTTTTTTTTTTTTTTTGTTTTTGGATTCCATGACCACATCAAATATGGTGCTTGGGTATGGCTTCCGTTATTTATCTTCTTCGACAGCTACGGCTACAGTTTCTCATGAGTTTGTTTCTGGGCGGTCTCTTAGTTTCTTCCTGCAAGCGTGTTTGTTTCGTGTTATCTGCATCGTCCCTTGGCATTTTTTCATTTTTTTTTCCCAATTCGTACGGTTTACCTTTTTGCGGCTCTTATTTTTTTTTTCCCCGCCATTCTTCTCTGCTCTAATGTCTGTGCATATCCATTTCAGGCGGGTGTTCATGTTTAATCTTTTATGTGGCTAATCTCTCTTCTTTTTTTTCCCTGATAATATCTTTTACTGCTCTTGGTGTTTTGAGTGTTTATTTTAACTCTCTGTGTTTCTGGGTTTTCCCTTCCTACCCTGTCGTTTTATCTGTTTTCTTTTTCTTCTCATTCGTTCGTCTTTTTGCTGGTCAGGTACAGCCGGTTTCGCGAAGGGAAAGGATAACAGGAACGGGAACTGGAAAGGGATAGATAGGGTAAGGAAGGCACCCAAAAAAATGGATGGGAACGAGGCGTGCGTGGGGTTTTACTTTCTATTTTTTTGTTGTGTTTTATTATGGGACGGTGACGACAACACGACGCTCATGATACTATGATATGTATGTTTTTTTGTCTTTTTTTTTTTTTTTTTTTTTTTTTTGTTTTTAATTAATGTATGTATGCATGTGCACAACGGGCTTATGGGATTATGACTGATGGGCTTGCGAGGGCTTTTTTTGTTTTGTCTTTTTTTTCATTTTCAGTTTATACACTTGCATACAACAGGACGCTTTAAACAGTTTTATGAACTTTGCTTCTTTTCTTGCTTTCAATTTTTCCTCCGTTTTTTATTTACTTTTTCCTCGGTAGAGGTGGATGGATGGATGTTAGATACAGTGGTTAGATCGTATCATACTTATTACATATCTTATAGTTATTCTAAATTCTTTCATTTATGTTAGTTACTTCACGGTGTTTCTGCTCTCGTTTTTGATTATGTATTATTCGTGGGTATAATATAGTATGATCTCTTCATACATAACCTTTCACATTGACATTTCACATTGACATGGTCATATCTATCCTAAGCTGAGTGTGGATAGAGTATGTAGCTTCTTAAATGTCTGACAACACACACACACACACAAACACACACACATACATATACTCATATATATAATGTATTCAATCTACAGATCTCCATGAGTTATCAATGTGATAACTAGAACCAGCTTCTTTGTAGAAGAAGAGATAGTATCTAAGAGAAAAGAGAAAATATGTCAAAAGAAGCAGAACTCATAAGAAAATAAAATGATCAAAGAAATATGAATAAAAAATATTCAGATCATGAATAATGAAAAATGAAAAATGAAATTCAAAATAAATAAAAATAAAATCACTCTTCTCAAATATCTCTGTCTGCCTGTATTGACACTGTCTTGCTTGCTTGTCTTCCCTTTCCCTCTCTGTCTCCCTCCCCTGGCGCTGGACAGGGGGAGGGGAAGGGTTTTATTCAACCAACGCGATTCGTAGTTCATCCCGAGCTTGGGTTTTGGATTTTGTACGACCGCCCTCTGCATGCTCGTTGGTAATTGTTCCCCCACTCTCCTTAAAGAAAAAAAAACTCATCCCGGGCGTCCTCACAAGCGGCGCTCCGCCATCCCATCCCCTATCCTATCCCTATCCCAAAATAAATAAAAAATTACCCTCATGAGACGTGTCCCCATGTCCGTTCTAAAAACAAAATCCTCTCCCCTAATGTTGCCTAGCGATATACCCAAGGAAAATGAAAACAGGGGAACAAAAAGAGCCAACAACCAGGCTTTCGGCATCGCATGTGGCATTCCGCGAGGTTGGGATGCTTAAGATTGTTTCCCACTTCTGTATAATCCCCGTAGCAATACCTTTCATCATAGGTAGACTGGTTCATTTCCGTAGCAACCCCACGTCGAACGGGAGGAGGGAAAAAATCGAGGGGCCGGATCCGACGGCTGGGGAAGAGACACACTACCCGCTTCACATAGGGGGCTAGCTAGGTTTAGGAGACGAGGGGGTGGGGGCGGGACGGTCGGAAACGCAACTAACTGCAAGTGATCTAACAGCGGCCCCATGCATGTATATATATGTATACCGGATTGCTCGCGTATCCGTTAAAGGAAGAAGAACACCCAAAGAGCCCAAAACTCCGCATTACACATTATGCCCACCCCATTCCCCGCTACCCTAATCGCTACTGCTGCAACCGCGACAACCACAGCTGACGCACTGGATGCTCTGGTCTTCTTTGAGCTGGGCTTTCGGCACGCGGCAGATGCACGTGGCGTTGAAATTTGTTTCTTTGGTCTGGATGCAGCGGAGGCAGCAGAGCTATATGGATTCAATGAAATATCACCGTCAGTTTAGGCGCGATGGGAGAAGGAAGAAGAAAGAGAGAGGAAGGGGTTTGAGTATGTTGTGTGTGTGTGTGTGTGTGTGTGTATGGAGACGTTGTGGACGCACCTTTTCATAACCCTGCTTCTTCCATTTTGCAATAAGCAAGGCGTCCGCGTAGTTATTTTCAGCAGCCAGTCATACAGCTGTTTGGAGATGGCTTCTTTTTCGTAGTAGAGGTCGTAGATGTAGCGGGATCCTGTGGAGAAATCACTATTCAGTTTTATATCATATAGTTAATCTTATATTGTATATACATACGTGCATGGCTAATCTGAAATATCGGCCAGAGGACTTCATGTCTCTTCTTACCCTCATGCGAGGCATTTTCTGCATCCTTCATCTTATTGCTGAACTCGAGCAGCGTGTCCTCGATATCGTCAAAGCCATCTGGAGGGGGCTTGCGGGTCCTGGAGCTGCGGATGGGAGGCATTGTGACAGGTGTTTTATGTGTGTGAGAGAGAGAAGTTAGTCGAGGTGGCTGTCTGTTCCCTTTATGAAGAGAGAGGAGAGTTTGGTAGTGGAACGAGGGGATGTGGCGAGTGTAATCCTCGTATGGTTTGTTCTCTTGTTTTTGATATGGATGTTGGAAGGCTGAAGGCAGCGATGAGGTAAATCGGCCTTTCTGCCGCCTGTCACCGCCTCCAGATCTTTTCCGCAACGTCCGTCAAAGGAATCGAAGCCAGGTTCAAAAAAGGCATAAATTAACTACTATCTATAAGTACGTCTCTCCCCGCAAAGCCTTTCGCGGACATTGATACCGCTTTCTACATCCAATTCCTTGGAACAAGTATACACTTTTTGCGAAACCGGAATAGAAAGGCATATCATCCACCCATCCGCACACATACAAAATGGACGGCCAAATCGATGTCGGCAAGCTCAACGAGGCGGATAAAAGAGAAGTTCAACAATTCGTCACACTTGAGGCGCAGAAGGCAAATTTCCAGTCAAGTAAATATATGATATCCCGTTACCTTTCTTTTCAATCCCACCACCCTCTTTCCCCAGCTTTTTAAGGACCCATGCATTGTCTGAAAAAAGTAATGCGGAGGAACCGGGTTTCACGCCTTCATCCTTCCTCCCTGAACGCGTCTTTCAAAATAATATACGTATACGTGTACTAACAATGCTTCCCATCGTTTTAAATTAAACCAGGCGTACACCAACTCACCGACATGTGCTGGAAGAAATGTGTCACGGGCAAAATCTCCTCGGGAAATCTGGACCGCAGCGAGGAATCCTGCGCGCAGAACTGCGTTGACCGATGGATTGACGCCAGCACTGCAGTTTTCAAGCATCTGGACAAGTTGAGAGGGCACTAGATGAATGTGTTCATTGTTGCTGGCGCTGTCGTTGCTGTTTATCGGTGGGAGTTTATACCAGTTGAGCTGGGCTACGGAATTAATCGACTACAATACCCCAGGCTGAAAAAAGACGGCGGCTCCGTCGTCTCTGGGCGGATTCTTATATGAATGGGATTTTTATATTGGAATGTGATCGCGCAGGGGATGCCGGCATGGAGGGCCGCTGTTGGAGGTCGATATGAGTTTTCTTCCATTTTTGTATTGTACGATAAATAGGCATGGATGGGCATCAATTGGTTTATGATAAATTATATTTAGTCCTGGTGTCGACACATTGTATTAAATAATTGTCGAAATGTCAATGTCAATGCGTTTCTGGCACAATCGGTTTACACAGGCGAAAAAAACCACCGGCACTACGTAGCAAGCAGCGACAGGGTATTTACCCCGATCTGACCTAGCATGAACTTCTCACTGATAGTTTTGAATGCAAAAGGCGAATAACAGAAAAAAGACATGGGTTTCATTCACATCTCAATGACTGGAGAATTTGAGAAGCCACTGAGTAATATTTTATTATAAAAAAAAGGAAATTTCACCCGCAACATTCCGTAAACTGAAACAGAAGAGAGAAACAAAGAAGACCCCGCTTTAAACAATCGCCAACTTCGTCGCCGCAATGTCAAGGGCGTCGACATCAGCGGTTAATCTCGCAAACGCCTTTTTCGAGCCATCGGGTCTGTACACACAAAATGACACTCATTAGCCAACGGCCTACCGCCCTACCAAACACGCCTGGAAAAAGTCTGCAAACTTCAGCCATCAACATACCTGATGAGGGTGTTGATCTTAACAGTGTCGACATCATAAAGCGTCTTGAGCGCCTGCTTGATCTGTCTCTTGTTGGCCTTGATATCAACAATGAAGACAAGGGTGTTGTTCTCCTCGATTTTCTTCATGGCGCTCTCGGTGTTTAGGGGGTGGATGATGATTCTGTGGTGGTCGAGGCGGGTTTCATGAGGAATGGACTTGCGCGGGTACTTGGGCGACCGCGAAAGCTGGAGGGTCTTTGGTCGGTGGAAGGTGGTCGATGTCCGGACCTTGCGGACTTTGTGCGAATGAACCTGTTGCAACGGGAAGTCTCAGTACAGTGCTCCAATGCTCTATATTCTATTTTCTTTTTCTGTCAATCCTTCGTTTACGGTAGAGTCGGCTCGAATCGCGCATCTGTATCATGGGGGGGAAAAGGAATGGATATGTTTTCTCAAACGTACACCTTTAAGCACCGCCTTCGCAGCGGCACCAGCTTTGGCGCTGGGCTTTGCGGCTATATTGTTCGAACAAAAAAACGTCAGCATATCTCGTTTCTCAGAAATAACAATGATCCCAACGAATTTCCATGTTTCTCTCCCCTCGCGCCCTGGTCATCAATCGCTTTTCATCCATCGATCAAGGTAGACATCCAATTGTTCCTCCCCATCACCCAAAATCCCAAAACCAAAACCCCACACAGAATAGAAGCAGCGCAGATGAAGGTGAATCTCACCTTTCTTGTTATCGGACTTGGGTGCCATGGCTGTCGATTGGCGGCGTTAGTTGGTTATTGTCGTCGTCGTCGCTATCAGTTCCGTCAAGGGAATCTTTCGTCTGTTGTTTGGACTCTCGCTTAGTTTGAAAACCCTACGAATCTGTGCGTCACGTGGCTATGATCCGCGCTTAGCCCAAAGCGGGCATCGACAACCTCAAAATATTTGAACCAACAACTCCACAGTATTTCTATCATTCGCAACAAGCATCAAACGCTCACTTACGCTCGCTTACGCTCGCTTACGCTCGCTTTGCTGCTTGCGCAGCCCCCTCTACCACTTCCACTCTCTACCCCTACCCCACTCCTTCCACCCTTACCACCCCTACCACCCTTTCCACCCCCTACCTCCTCTACCACCACCACCTCTACCTCCCCGCAGCCCCCTACCCCTTACCACCCCTATCACCCCTATCACCATTATCAGATTAATCAGAGCCGTACAGACCGCAGAGCCGGCTGCGCAAACCCATTAAAGGGGTGCACATACCATCACATAAGGTCATGTTACATACAGGGCATTTTGCATGGAAAAGTTGGTTTGAAATGAACAGCACATGCCATGAACACAGAGATCAAAAATGAATGTAGAGAAGAGTATAAGGAACTTATGATAAATACTGTAGAGAACATATGAAAAGAGCAGAATGAAAAAAAGAATGAAGATTTGAAGATTGATCTGAGCTGTACAGGCCGGAGAGCGGAGCCAGGTAGGTGTTCAAACAGATAGATTTGATGAGATGCACATGATGTCATGTTACAGCATTTTTTGCATGGAAAAGTTGGTTTTTCTATAATAAAGAGAGAGATTAAGGAAATTCGAGGCGCTATTTAGCAGGAGAAGAGGGGAGAGAAGTAGTACGGCACATTACTTCCTACTTCCACAATGTCACATCCATAGCGATTTTCTTTTGCGCCACGTCTCAACCACCTAACCTACAAGGACTTGATCATGTCACCCTGTCACCCTTCACAAGTTCAACACTACCTCTATAGTCTGTAAGATGGGAGTGTGGCCACTCAGAGCATTCCATTTTTGTCGCTATTTTAAGCTCAATTTTATACACATGATGTGAAACCTACACTACTTTTATTTCAGTAACACACCTCACATCTCTTGCCAGCAACCATTTTTCACATACATACTCAAGAGGCAGTGATAGTCACAATGTCATAGCTACAAGCTATCAATGCTCAGTTTCATTATAGAATGATAATACTCTACTTCTCATAATATAGAAATTTGATATCTTTCATTTCTTTGAAGTATTTCTTCCATTCACTCTCAGTGGTACTGTCTCTAAAATATAGATGGCGCTGGGATGCTAACAGCTTTTATCCCTTGTTTTGAGCTCTCCGAGGCGGCTAGAAAAAGAAACAAGTAGTGTAAAATAACAGTATGCATTGAGATGGCCAATATAAGCGATACTTATTATTCAATATAACACATCTACTATTCAGTTTCTATCAGAGCTATCGCATCATCATACTCCTTAGCGCAATTTGAGAGATCCCAGCTGACGCTAAATTGGAAAGTGGTGCTAACTGTTGTCTCAGTCCCATTGGATCATGCAGCACAGCACATCAGTGAGCGCTTGGATCGGGCTCTCTTTGAGCACAAGTGCAATTGGAGGGGTTAGATGAGTGAAGCCGTGCGCAAATTCGATTTACCACATGATTTTTTTTAGAATCCGGTTTATTCGGTGAAAAATTCCGCAAATTCTTGCACGGCTCGGCGTCCCCAGCAAGTTAATGATGGCAGGAAATATCACCAGCAAGCAAGGTCGAGCTCTATAAAAACTAAAGATGCTGAAAGAATGCCCTTGGAAGGCAGCATAAACCTCCGTGCTTCCAACTCCATCCAACCCCAGATGTCGTTTACATAGTTGAGGCATATCACTTATGTCCTATGCTGCAGTAGAAAGTGCGTTGAGCAGAAGCTCTTCCTATTGGCTAAACTCCAGTCTAACTCACTAACCGGTCAGCGGTGGGAACGGTCAGTTAGCCAACTATAGACAATTCTATCCCTTTCAAGACAAGGCAATAAATATATATAAAAACAGATAGTTTTGATTCATGATGCTCTAGAGTTGCACAGGTGTCTCAACACCGTGACAAAATATTTGATGGATAGTTCATCTCCAGTTCATGGCCAAATTTACCTCAGAAAGCGGTTGGAAACGTCTACTCACTACCCGAATTCCTTTATCCCACATGTTCTTGAGGATCCGCTCTTCGTTGATGCTTGGTGTTAAGTTACATTTTCCGCGTCAATACCGGAAATACATCTAGGCAGGGCAAGTAAACAGTTGGAAGTTGGTGTTTGTTCCTCACCAAACATCAGCTGCCCTGCAGTAGCGAGACTTCAGTGACTGTGCTAGAACAGCACATGAATATATATTTATGTATTGATAGGAATTTTCCTCACAACTCTTCATACCAACTGTGACTCACTAGAGATAGCTTTCAAAGCAAATTTACTCTGCTGGACTTCCAAGTCTTTGCAACAATGACTGATAAAACATCTATCTTTGATCACTTGGGTGACAGGTGGAGGCAGCCCTTGACCAAGGATGTGCAACCAATTTCAAGTGTCATCCTAGATTTGCAGATGATAGAATATTTATTACAGGATGTCCATGACTTCCTCAACCTGAATGCTTGAGAGTGGTATCATGACATTCCATACTGACAAAGCTATCTGTTCCATGGGGCTCCAGGAACAGGAAAGACAAGCTTGACCTTATCCATCACAGAGTGTTTTGGTTTGGATATCTATGCAATCAATCTTTCCAGCATTGACAACAATGGCCTGAGAAACTTGTTCACCAACCTTCCTGGTCACTGTGTTATTCTTTTGGAAGATGTGGAGGTTGTCAATTCAAGCTTGCCTGAGGGAATGGCTTCTCTGACCACACTACTTGATGTTGTCAATGGTGTAGGAGATGGCCAAGTGTTAATCATGACAACCTGTCATATTGAACTAGTTGACAGCGCACTTTTGCAAGCTGGTTGTGTGGATGTGAAAAATCAGTTCCACCTCACAGATAAAGAAACAATAGCTCAGCTCTTCTGGCTTGCCTTTGGACAGGAAGCAGTTGATCCACTAGCACATGAGTTTGCTGGCAAGGTACCGGAGCTGGAATTCAGCCTGGCTGAAATTCTGTCATTCCTGATAAAGAACAGGCGATCTCCTAAACAGGCTGTTGGTAATGTAGCGGCATGGATGGCGGATATCAGGAGCGAAAGGAAGAAGGGTGGAGTTTAAAAAGGCTGGCTGGTCCTCCTGCCACACACTTTGACCAACTGGAGAAGTTTTTCCTTCAATGAGACAGTAACTTCCAATGCTAGTCTCCTTGAATTTATGGCATCGGGGGGTTCAATGGGATGGGGTCCCCAAAAACTAGCGAGCGGTATTTACATTTTACATGGTAGGATGACGCGAATCTCGAATATGTATCAACCACCAAATAGTCAATCTTTTAGCTGCATCTTCCAGGATCTATATGAACTGCCAGAGTGTATGAGATGCTGCGTGGACAGTCCGTTGACGCACAATTTTAAAATCGATGCAGAACGATTACGTAAATCCATCCCACTCTGACCAACAGCAGAGCAAGCCCGGGAGGAGGGAGAAGCGTGGGTAGTCATCCAGTGGTTGAAAGCAAGGAGCCAAGCGCCTGACAGGTGAACGAAACACTGCCCCAATATGCTAATCATGGTCCAGATTAAATGCCGAAGTGTGAAGGGTGAGGACAAGTTAACGGAGACAACCTAGCGCTTTGCGTGCTTAAAAAAGTAGGTTATATCACGTGATTGTCGTAGTAGCACCTATTATTCAGGACTTGTCTCGCTGCTTGGCTTCCAGCGACCAAGGATTGGCCATCAGCAGCAATAATCTCCGGATAAGCACCTGGGATCCTGTGCAAAAGTTAATTATAAGAACCTCTGCCCCCTTCTGACCTCGATGCATACTCGCATGATAAATGAGCCAAAAAATTATGATTATGACCATATGCCTAGTTCAGTGACCTCCAACCCATCTCACAAGCATAAGCCCCATCCATCCAACAGGTCACAATTTCGGAAAAGGCAGAAGCTTGACACATCAGCATCAGCATATTGGGATAACCTGTCAAAGATTTGGTTAACCAAAGATGCATTAGAGGAGTTGGATCGAAGAAACAGCCATCTGAAACCACCCCAGAACCTTCATAGACCTATCACTCGATGTTTTCACACTGAGCTGAAGAAGAAGCACTGTAATCCTTTTCAGTTTGCTCCAACCTTTCTCCATGATTGTGCACCCACTTGTTCAAAGCAGATAAAGAGGGTTTCCAGATCGGGAGGACCTGATCTAACTGACCTTAGAAATGTATGTAACTACAAGTCCGTACAAATACATCATTGCTGATAATATTGCACAGTATCCAAAACCTGAAAGCTTCCTTGAAAAAGCAATGAGCTCAAGGTCCCGGAGTAGAAAGCGACGCCCAGGTTCTTCTCCATCAGCAAGCACAGATACAAGGGGTACCACCAAGTCCACGAGCACCACACCCTATAATTGTAACTTCCAGCAGAATCTAATTGATCATGGTGTTTATCCTGATGGATATGAATATCCAGATGGTCGAATACCAGTAATGCCAAATAACTGGGAGGAGATCAATGAAACACTAGCTCGACCCCGATCCTCTCTTTCCCCATCAAAGTTCTCTGATGAGCATTTTCAGAAATTCAAACGAGCAGATACCCACGCATCTAAAGAGCAACCAGTCACAACATCAGTGATTCCTATCATTGAAGGTGATGTTGATGATCCCAAATGCACCGGAGGGGGATACCTGCTTGGAAATCTTGCCCCCTTAACTGATGGCACTCTGGCTCAGGCCAAGCCAGATCACTTCTATGGTGCGCGTCCTGAACAGCTCAATCACCGAATCCGCAATGAACTCTGCAATTATATCATCCCATCAACACAGGATGATCTTCCGATGATACCAAATTTCTTTTTGGAAGCAAAAGGGCCTGATGGATCCTTGGCTGTAGCTACACGGCAAGCCTGTTATGACGGTGCTCTAGGAGCTCGAGGCATGCACACTCTCCAGTCATATCAACAAGACAGATCAACTTACGACAACAGTGCTTACACTCTTACATCAACTTATCATGGCGGTCAACTCAAGCTATACACAACTCATCTCACTGAGCCTGAAGGCCCAGGCCATCGCCCTGAATATATTATGACCCAACTCAATACTTGGGGCATGACTGGGAACTTGGAAACGTTTCGGCAAGGAGCATGTGCATATCGAAATGCTCGGGATTGGGCAAAGGAAAAGAGGGATGGATTTATCAGGTTGGCAAATGAGAGATGTCCGGATGCCAAGTCCCAACAACATTGTGCGTCTCAGCGAGGGACGGCTACGGATGAAGCTGTCACCTTAGACGATTCTGATGTATCAACGGTGTTTGATGAAGGTGCCCATCAGGATGTGCAATGGAGCTTTACGACTCCAGTTGAAGATGCGGATGAAGAGTCTTTGAGCAGAATGCCCAAAAAGCCCAGACTCAATGCTAGTGTTTCTTTTGGTGGTACAGTGGATAGGATTACAAGTCATCCAAACTGAGAATGATGTATGCTCCACACCTCGTCGGCGGTGGCAGGCATGACATCCCCAGCCCTAAACTCCCAACCAACGCGATTCCCCCCGGTTTGATATTATTAATTGATTGGCAAAATGAGCAAGCATCATCGTCGTCATTGCTGTTGCCTTCGCGATCGTACATACAAGTCCGCCATGACCTATTACCAGCATTCCTCTATTTACTTCGTTCGTCGAAAGCACAAAGAAGCTCGCCAAACTACTCTTCAATGCAGACTATCAGCTCAATGAAACTGATGATGACACAGCTCATTTTGTTCCAAATTGTTGTAGTAGCCTCAGTCTGCTCAGAGGATGTTGTACAGTTTGGTTGTAACAGTCCTATAAATCTCACTAGCTTAACTTTCTTGAGCCCTTAATATATCTACAAGATGACAATTCACTTTTTGCATTGTAAGAAGATACCTTAAAACAGCCTAATGACAAAGCTTTGACACATTTTTCAAGTTCATAGAGGATCATACAAATTACTCAACTTGAATCTCTTCCTGCTTCGGCACCTGCCCATAGGCCACTTCAACTTACACATTTTAAACCGCCAGGCCAAACATCAACCCTGTTCTTTTTCTTAGTTCCATCCTGTTTTTCGGGCGTGTGTGTTGCTTCGTGAATAAAGTTTTTTAATCTGTCTGTGACATATCCATGACTAGTGATATGCGTCGAGTTGCTCAGCATCTTTGAAGCAGATGGTAAGATGGAGACCCTTTGAATCTTTCTGGTATGTGGCAAGTATAGAGGTTGTATTGTGAATATCCGACCTAGTACCTATTAGTATATTCCCGTGGGCAAAGGTTTAGATGAGCCATACCGGATGAGAACAGCTTTTGGGTGAAGATGAAGATCATTTGCAGTCTAATATGCCAAAGCCATCAATTGAGGGAGCCGTGGAGTAGGGATGGTGCCCACGATGTAGAACTTGACTAGGTTGGCCATTCTCTCTTGGGGCGTAGAGTATAAAATTTCCAGAAGACGCTTCTTCTATTCACATTCATAGGAGAGACGTCTATTGGAGGTGAAATATTCTTGAAACAGATCTATGAAGAAGTAAAAGGAGGGGTAACATGGACATGCTCAATCCGGGTCGGCGCTAGAACATTGTTAGGGGTAAGGCTGAGCCAAGCAATGTTAGAGGCATCCTCCTCCCCTATATTGCAAGTAAAATTCCATTTGAAAAAATTCTGTTTCACAGTCATTGATAGGAGCGAGATTTTGAACTATTGTGAAAGACTTGATGTTTGTCTCCAGACACACTAGCAAGCACACCAAGAGGAAAATGATAAAATGAGTTGTTAGCTGAGGGAATTCGCAAGGCAGCCCACGTAATTCTTTTCTCAATCACAATTTTTTTAATCCACAAGGCGAACTGATTATGGAACAAGGGGAAGCCTCGAATAGTGGTAGATTGAAGAATGGTCAACTTCCGCCTCCTTCTCACAATGCAAGTTTTGAAATAAAAGATGAATTAAACATAGAGATAAAATAATAAACACAGAATAAATAGTCATCACCTAAGCTACTTGACACGTAATGGGTTATATTGAACCCAGGAAGAGACACTTTGCCCTATGCTATGATTGCTGTTATCACTAATCCATTCTGGGTTAGTGTGCTTATTGCTCTGTAGTTAGAAAAAACGGTCGAGGAGTCGATAAACGCGAAGATCAATTTGTCTGTTGGATCACGCCAGCTGTTGGCTTCTCTCCGACAATGTCACCCACTCCCACTCTATGGCCGACCATTACGAAATGATCCCCTTCAATTCGTGTCTTTTACACTTTACATGGAGATGTCACTTCCCATTGTTAGGAAGATTAGTAACATTGGTACCCTCAAAGCATCTCTCACAAGAGAAATGCGCACCCACTATTCTAAAAACATTTCACACCTCACGCCCTCGACGCAAGATGGACAAAAGCCCTGCAGCTTCTGAGACTGCCCCTGAGTACAAATACATTGAGGATTGTGAACGGTTAGAGAGGTACTGTCCAGGCGGCTTTTACCCGTTAAAGCTTGGTGATCGACTCTGTGATGGACGTTACTCTATTGTTCAGAACCTCGGATTTGGCAGCAGCTCTACAGTATGGCTGGCTTCTGACCAGAAGCAACAGGAGTTAGTTGCTATCAAAATAAAATCCGCTGATTCTGCCTCAAAGTCTCAGGAAGTAGATATTCTAAAACATCTTCATCTGCACCCATTGATCAGACACCTGCTGGACAGTTTCATTGAAATTAGTCCCAATGGAGCTCACAATTGCCTGGTCATGGAAATGGCTAGTTGTAGCTTGATGCAATCAAAGTCCTTGGCCTTTCACAGACTACTGGATCTTCGTATCGCGCGAGCTATTGCTGCAGACCTGGTGTTAGCCGTCCAGTTTTTACACGGACAAAACATTATCCACGGTGGTGAGTAGATAATCGTTCCAGATATACACAGTGTCTAATCAATCCTACAGATATACATTGCGGTAATATCTTTCTTCAACTTCCCGCTGATGTTCGCCGAATGATAGACCCTTCGCAACTGTATCAGAAATTTGGCAATCCAATTCTTGAGCCTATTGTCCGAGTTGATGGCAAACCTCTCCCAGCAGGAGTTCCTACTCACATCATTGGGCCTGCAAGAGTTGGAATTCAGTCTGACCAAATCACCCCTACCTATTTGCCCATCATGCTCTCCGATTTTGGTTCGAGTTACTACCCTAGTAAAACAAGACGGACTAACGCATATACACTCCCCCATCTTGTTCCACCCGAAGTCTTCTTTCTTGACAAACAAAATGACAAATATAACCTTTCATTCCCCAGTGAAATTTGGACCCTTGGATGTACCATATTTGAAATCATTGGTAGTGGGGGCCCCTTTAGTACCTTAGGTGGTGGCATACTCCAGGACCAAGTCAGTGTTCTGGGAAAGCTCCCTGATCCATGGTGGTCACAATGGGAGTCCAGAGCCGATTTTTTTAATGAGGATGCAACTATTGATATCACAACTGGTGCTCCTTTCCAAGATAGTCTGGAAGAACGGTATGATTGGTTTGTTAATGCAGCTCGGCGGCGATCAGACATGGAAGAGCAGAGGGAGGATGAGAAGAAGGCTTTCCTGCATATGATTTGGATGATGCTTCAATATTTACCAAGCGACAGGGCTACCATTCAGGATGTTGTTGAGTCTGAGTGGATGCAAAAATGGGCATTTCCTACAAAGCAGGAAATTAAGTAAAAAGTCAGAAATAACAATGTTCAAATCACTACCAAATTGTGGATAGATCTAGTGAGGGCAAAGATGTTGAGAGTCACTCAAAAGATATGTTCTGATGCTACATTATTCATTAAGATAGTTTACAATGCTGTTCATTGAGTTGCATTAAATCAATATGTTACAGCATTACTGTTAACCAATAACTACATATTCTCAATTCACTCAAGATTAAGCAAATTCCTGATCTTTGTTGCTCTCCTTCAGAATTCAGCAGGCCCCTTTGGCATTGAATCCCATGTCCTGAATCAACATCTTCAGCAGTTCAGGAACCAAGACCTTCTGGGCATACACAATAGTCCCATACTTCAACGTCATGCCATCAATGCCGGCCAGTGAGTCAATGGCATCTTTAAAGTGAGACACGACATGCGCTGAGCTGGGGGGAAGGTCAGTGAAGAGATTCCTCAGTGGGTTCGCGGGGTTGGGGGTGGGGTTGAGGGGGTGTTTCTTTACTCACAGAATCACATGGTCTCTAAGACCACAGTAGCCAGTACTGTGCAGGACACTCTGGGAGAGGATCTTCCTGCCATGCTTCTGCACTTTCTTGTGCACAATACTCTTATAGCAGGAGCAGTAGTACCTGGGGTCATTGAGGATCCGGCGCAGGCAAGGATGGAATTGAGTCAACCGATCATCTAGGCAGTCCCAAGCACTTCTCACAGAACCACAGCTGCTCGCGGACCTGCTGCATGCGATTGTTGGTGGCATTGAACGCACTGGAAGCCTCCACCTCAACCACAGAATTGCACACTGGGCAATATGTGGAATAAGAAGAGAATCTTGAGAGTGATGTAGTCTTGTTTCGGCGTAAGCACTGTACGTTGATAGAGAGCCATGAAGAATGACCTAGGAAGATCCTCTTAGATCTACCACTGTCTCATGAAAATTGTCTCAAGACAATACAGGTCACAAGATTCGCGACTTGTCTCAGTGGGCAATTTATGCTATCAACTGTCTTAGAAGAGTCCTTCTAGGTCGCAAGTAGGCCTGAGACTATCTGCCTGTGCTATAGGGCCAGGTACTTCTGTTAGTTATCAATGGGGCTTTGGAGGCTACCAACTTGGTTTCATATGTTCATTTACTCATTCAAATTGAGCTCCTGCATTTACAGTTAAGTGTTTTTACACAAACTAAAAAATGCTCTGTATAACTATAAATTGAATCTGAGCGGCGCAATTCTTTTGGTAGCGCCCCTCCGTATCCATATAAGTTGCGCGGCACGTGATTAGGGTAACTTAGGTGGTGTAGTAATCACCAACAAATGGGCTTAAAACTGTTGGGGGTCCCGCGGTTGGTCGGCCCTTCTACCAGCAGTGCGCTGGTGGTGATTGAGCTCTTTTGCCCCAGTAGCCTACAAAAACAGCGTCGAAAAATGGGATGCTCTGAGTGGCTTGCACCCCCATCTTACAGACTATACTAATAAGATGACAATAACCAGCGTCCGCCGCAGGCCCAAGCCCAAGACCAAAAGAAAAACCCCCGGCTCCCTCTCTCATGGCCGCCCACCGACCGCCACCAGCAAACCCGCTGCGTCCCTCTCCGCCAAAGCAACACGCACCCTCATCCACGCCCACCACCAGCTCCACAAAGCCCGTGCCCGCGCCCTCGCTGAGAACAACGAAGCGCTCGTGCACGACCTGGACAGGCAGATCGCGGCACATGGCGGGCTCGAGGGCTACCAGCTAGCCAGCAAGAAGGGCCAGTCGAAGGAGCGGGGCGGTGATTCCAGCAAAGTGCTTGTGGACTGGTTGGCGCCTGTGTTTGAGAAGCTGCACCTGCAGCGGCGGAAACTGCAGAAGGAACAGGGCGGCGGTGATAAAGAAGAGGGTTATGATGGAAACGGTGACTCAAAAGTCGAAAGGCGAGAGGAGAAACCACAACTAAAACCAAAACTACGACTACGACCGTGCGCGCAAATACGGTTACTCGAAGTCGGCGCGCTGAGTACCTCCAACGCCTGCTCGCGCGTTGGCTTGCTGGATGTCACGCGGATTGACCTGCATTCACAGGAGAAGGGCATCCTGCAGCAGGATTTCATGGAGCGCCCATTGCCCGCATGCGAGGAGGAAAAGTTCCATATCATCAGCCTATCGCTGGTGTTGAACTATGTCTCGGATCCGGCGGGGAGGGGGGAGATGCTACGGCGGACAACGGCGTTTTTGACACCGCCGCCGCCGCCGCTACTGCGGCCGTTTACCGGGACGGTAGGGGATGCGGCATCAGGAGACGTTTCGGATACACAGCCTAGTAGCAGCACATATTTACCGTGTTTATTTCTCGTCCTGCCCGCGGCGTGCGTGCTGAATTCCCGGTATTTTACCGAGGGACGGCTGCGGACTATCATGGCGAGCTTGGGGTATAAGATGGTGCAGAGGAAGGTGACGTCGAAGCTTATATATTACCTTTGGGAATATAACGTTGCTAATGCAACTACTACTGCTGCCGCTGCTGTTTTTAAGAAGGAGATGCTGAACCCCGGTGGGAATAGGAATAATTTTACTGTTACTCTAGGTTAGGTTCTTTAAGATATGGAAAGGGCACATCGCCTCACAGCTAGCCACAAGCTTTCAATTATAGACGCTTGTGTATACAATCAATAGTTTGCACATAGACAATTGACAGGAAGTTTGTTCCATCTTGATTGCTCATATGCCATTCATAACTCGTATAACCTGAAGGGTTAGTCGATCATTCCAATCAGGAAGACCGCCATCAGATATTCCCCTATATCTCTCCACAAAAAAAAAAAAAAAAAAAAAAAAAAAAAAGAAAAAGAAAAAGAAAAAGAAAAAGAAAACGAACTCAACTCAACCCAATCCTCTCCCTCGGAATGAACGCCCACACCGTCCCTACAACTGCCATAACCGAACAAACGCCCAACAACACCCAATCCACCACCCTCTCCCAAAACGGAATACTGCTCCCGAATATCCTGAGATAAAACGCCACCGGCAGGATGATGCAGATGGTGATGCACAGACTCGCGCCGATGAATGCCATGATGCGGTCGAAGTAGGGGAAGACGATGGCGGTGAAGGTTATTATGCAGATTGTTAGGATGCGGGCGATGGATTGGACGGCTGTGCGGAGGAAGGGGCTAGGTGAGTGGCTGTGGGTGTGGGTGTGGGTGTGGGGTTTGGGTTTTTGCTTGTTTTTGTGGTGGCGGTGGGATGGCGGGGGTGGGTGGAGGCCGCAGAGGGATTCAGCGGTGCTTACTAGGGGGCGGCAGCTGGGGGTTTGGGAATTCTCGTGGTTAACTTGTTTGTTGTCCCGGTAAGATGGATAGGGGGAAGTAAGTACTTACCTAAGAGGTACTTTGGTCAATGGGATGATTGCGATGAAAGCCACGATACAGACTGATAGCCAGTTGGGGTATCCGGCTGTTCGGAGAATGTTGGATGTGATTTCGTCTCTGACATTAGGGCCAAACATGAGCCAGCCAGCAACGGCCATGGCTAGGTCTAACAGAAACTATACAAAGGCAGATAGATTTAGCCTAATGTTGCAAGTAGTGCAGGCGGTGGATAGGTAGAGGACTAACCGTGAAGATATAGGTTACCCAAAGACTCACACCGTACTTATGCGGGTGTCTCATGTCTTTATAGATGTTTGGAAAGACGCTGTGGCCGCCCCAGGGAGCTGGAAGCATATGGAATGTTTAGTACACGAGGTCAAGGAATTATCCCATAGCCGGTTCTGTATGGAGAGACTTACACATGATTAGTCCAAATGAAAGTGGAACAGCGCTCCAGTTTTCAGGAAGAAGTGATGTCCGCGCAGGATCACGAAGGGAGCCTGGTGACTCTGGTTTGATGATGCCATCAACAAAAATAATCAGAACAACTTTTTCATTGATTGATTTGTTAGCCATGCTCCAAAAATTAGAGTGTAGGAGAGTAGTTAAGGGGAGGGAGGGCTTTGCGGTGCCCCTCAATAAAACTTACTAGAAGTACAGCAAAAAATCCCCAAAATACTCGACAGGCTTAGCAGCCGCAAGGGCACAAAATTCATCGGAATTAAAATCGCACCACATATCAGTTTCCATCGGAGTGCGCCTAGGCCCGGAACCAACGCATCAATACTATCAGCAAACAACACAACCAAAGCAACACATGCGCCCATCAGTTCCAAGCAGAAGAGTAAGCTGGTGACGATACGGGCCTGGGGACCAAAGCTGATATACGCCAGGTCCGCATACGTAACGAGGGTGGGATCCACGTCCATGCACTTGGCAAGGATTTTGGCCGTGTATGCGGTAGCCACTGCGGAGAAGATGAGGAGCGGGATGCCGATAAGCCAGCCCGCATACATGAGGCCCAGTGGCAAGCTAAGCAGGCCGATTCCGATAAGGACGTTGACGGAGTTGAAAATTGTCTGCGGGACGGTGGATTGGCCGACGATGATGGCTTCCTTGGAGCCGTCTTCGTGCTGGATGCGCTTGATGATGAAGGGTTCGCGTTCGGAATCCGTATCCGCTGCGGCATCTGCCTCGATAAACTGGTGTTCCCTATGTAGCTGTGCTGCGTGCAGCCTGGTAGATTCGCTTATTCTAGACGTCACCGTCGTTCCATACGAGGGTTCGTAACTTCGTCCCAGTAGCGGTGTGGTGCGCGGGGATATATCGAACTCGGCATCTACAGTTCCGTAGTCGAGTAAATATTCTGCCTCACCGAAGGGGGTTTCCAACCCTCGTTCACTGGGGCCAGAACGTCGGCGCAGAAGGGCCCTGGTTTCGTCTATGGATAGCCTATGGCCATGTTCCTCGTCATCTGGCAGGGCGAGGACGAACGAGGATCTCCGGGGAGCGACTTCTGGGAAATGAGCTGCCCGCTGCCACGAACGAGCAAAATTATCGAAGCTATTAGGCGCTGCGGAAGATGTATTATGCCTTGTGGATATCTCCGACGCCCTACAGAGAGCAGTTAGCAAGTGGAGTTATATGAGAACTTGGGCAAACCGGGAGGAGATGTTTTGAAGGGGGAATTAATATGTAAACATATACCATCGTCTTCGTAGATCATTATCATCAGTTTCACGCTGTGCGATGTTCCGAGGCGTCGAAGATGAGGATGTTGATGGTTCAGGTCCTGCCATTGTAGAATATCGAATTGTGCTGGACCGCGCTGTATTGCTTGTTTACCTGTAGCTGCTCATACGACTAGATATTCGCGCAAGATACTACAAAAATGAAATATACACGGGCTATAGTGCAATACCGAGAGAGGGGGTATCTTGCTTCAAGGACAAGAAAAACAATAAGAGAACACGGACGAGGGGGAGAGGAAAAAAAATAAAATAATAATAAACAAAACTTCCCTAGTACAGAGAGAATGTAAATTTACAGGAACAGATGGATATCAAAAACCGCATAAAAGAAATTGGAGATATATTATTTTTTATCTATAAACGGGTCGGGTCGGTGGGAAGACAAATCGCGCGAACCACGGGTGGCGACAAACTGTGAAAATTTTTTATATTGAGATACGAACCACGCTTTTTTTCTTTTTATTTATTTTTTATTTTTTATTTTTTTTTTTCGGCTAGAACTGGAATGCAATATATGTAATATCTTGAATAGCAGGTTGTTTTGGTCCCTGTATCTCATAATAAGGGGGTTGAGATGATTTCATTGCGACTTGACTTTGCGATGGCTGGAATATATCATTTGCGGAGACACAGAAAAAAAGACCATGGCTGAGGTCGCAAAGTAGAGTTCAGGCAGCACGCCTTAACATTTTTCGATTGATATATTGAGTGTAGATATGTATAACATGTATGGAGTGTTCTTTGTGTTGTATCGGGATCGCCCGTGGACAGACAGACAGACGGTTGACTTCGGCCGTTGGGAGGAATCACGTTTGCTGCCAAGATGTAGATAGGAGAAAATACGTCATCGTTGGTTGTTTTTATCCATTCCCAGAACGGTGAAAATCCTACGTAGTATGTACTGTACATTGTAGAAGTTATGTCTCACTCAACAGGTACTCCATTGACAAGAAGATATTGTTCAAGTTTATATGCCCAGGAACGAACAGGAAAAGGAACCCATGAAGGAGTAAAAACCAAATGAAAAAGATGAGGCAAAAAGAAATCCTCAAAAAGCCGCCCCCCCCCCCCCCCAATCAACTTATCAACCATTACATATTAATCAAGTATATATACTACACAATGCTACAGAAATTATAGATATGTTAAAACCCCCCTACTCAATCATCTCCACAACCACCGCCGTCCCATACGCACACACCTGCGCAAACCCGCCTAGATCACTCGTATCAAACCGCAGCGCGATAATCGCATTCCCGCCCTTCTGCAAACACTCGCCCACCATGCGCGCCACAGCGTCGTTGCGCGCCCGGTACAGCATCGTCGTGAACATGCCCAGCTCGCCGCCCGCGATGGATTTGAGCACCATGCCCAGCCCCGCCGCCAAGTTGCGCGATTGCACCGTCAGCCCGTACACGGCGCCTAGCACGCGGGTTACCCGGTAGCCCGGGAGGTCGTTCATGGTGGTCGTGATCACGCCGTCTGTGTCGGTGAAGGCGCGGTGGATTTCGAGGCCCTGGATACTGTCTTGGGCGGGGATGGCGGATTTGGCTTTGGATTCTGATGCCATGGGGGGCGGTATAGAAATATATAGGTAAGTATGTAGCTGTGTAGCTCTGTGTTTGCTCTCGAATCTGATAGTGCTTTTTTTGAGGTGAGGAGGAAAGCAGGAGAGGAAAGGTTGAATTTATAGAATTTTCAAGGATATTATTGTGAAGAATTCGCTTCTTATGCTTTTGGGAGGTGTATGTACATGTATATGTACTTTGAATGTGTTTGGTATATTTGTTACTTTTGAATCATCTCAACGTCCTGTGCTCCGATTTATATACCTCGAGGACCAGCAGCAAGCCTTATCCCTCGCGTTTTGCAGCTAGCTCGATGTAGGGATAAACCTCGTATTCCGGCCGATTTCCACGGTTGGGTGTGGCCATTTGTTCGATGGTGATCAGCCTAACTATTTATTGTCCTCTGTACGGAGTAGATCGCCGTGTTGGAAGAGGCACACCGACATGCGTCTTGGATCGTGTCCTGTCTCTGCATATAAGTGTTTAATTAACGTATTCCATGGCAGAAACGTGAGCAAATTTGACCACTGGTAACCACCGTGTTTTTCTGCTTCTCTTCTATGCTTTGGCATGTAATCTGCAATTGGGTGTGTGAGATAGCCGTTATCATAGCGACAGTATATTTTTTGGACTGTAAAATCAGCCACACTCGGAAACGGGACGTAGAGGAAGACAAAAGAATAGGATAGATTCGCCATGCCATCGAGTAAATTGCACCAAATATCTCCAGCTCATTATTATTTGTCTGCGGAGTTGTTCCGTCTTGCGGCGGTGCTTATGTCATCGCCCGCCAGCCAACCTCGTCCCCCCACAATCGGCTGCAGAAATTGTTCAACCTCCGCCAACTGCAACGACAAGTCGACCGGCTGAAAGGTGAGTGCTTCTACCCGTCTAAAGTCTAAAGTCTAAACCCTCTCTCTATATCCGTCTCTCGTCTCTTCTCGGTGTATATATCGCAGAATTCGGTTGCTAACCAGCCTGTTATTTCAAGTGTGCTCCTTATATCACTCCTACCCCCCCGGCGGTCGCACATCCAAGGTCGCCCACCATGAGCGTGGCTCAGGCGAACGACGCGGAGAAGAACATCGAGATATGGAAGGTCAAGAAGCTGATCAAACGCCTCGAGGCGGCTCGTGGAAATGGAACTTCCATGATCTCCTTGATTATCCGTGAGCCTTCACTTTTCTTGACCACCCCTCCAACCCAACCACCAGCCCCCAAGCGTTCTGACTATGTGTTTTTTGAACTTCAGACTGACTCAACATGTTTTCTGCCTGAATAGCGCCTAAGGACCAGGTCTCACGAGCAGCTAAGATGTTGGCGGAAGAGTTTGTATGTCACGCTTTCCTCCCCAGGTGGCCAGTTTCGTCTTAAATTCTTTTTTTTTTTTTTTTTCCCTCCTATAGAGATGGAATGTAAAGAATTACGTATTAATATTCACTCCCCCCCCCAGGGTACCGCTTCCAACATTAAATCTCGAGTTAACCGCCTGTCCGTCCTGTCGGCTATTACCTCCACCCAACAGCGTCTCAAGCTCTACACAAAAGTCCCTCCAAACGGACTCGTTATCTACTGTGGTGAAATTATCACCTCCGAGGGAAAGGAGCGGAAGATTAACATCGACTTTGAGCCTTTCAAGCCCATCAATACGTCCCTCTACCTTTGTGACAACAAGTTTCACACCGAAGCCCTCAGCGAACTCCTCGAGTCAGACCAGAAGTTCGGATTCATCATCATGGATGGTAACGGCGCTCTCTTCGGAACCCTAAGCGGAAACACCAGAGACGTAGTCCACAAGTTCTCCGTTGCTCTCCCCAAGAAGCACGGTCGTGGTGGTCAGTCTGCTTTGCGTTTCGCCCGTCTTCGAGAGGAAAAGCGTCACAACTATGTCCGTAAAGTTGCCGAACTGGCAGTGCAGAATTTCATCACCAATGACAAAGTTAACGTTGCCGGTATCATCCTTGCTGGATCCGCCGATTTCAAGAACGACCTCAACCAGTCCGACATGTTTGATAACCGCCTTCAGTCCAAGGTTATCAAGGTCGTTGATGTTTCCTACGGTGGTGAGAACGGCTTCAACCAAGCCATTGAACTTGCCTCTGAGACTCTTGGCAACGTCAAATTCATTCAGGAGAAGAAACTTATCGGCAAATACTTCGAGGAAATCAGCCAGGATAGCGGCAGAGTCTGTTACGGTGTGGACGATACTCTTAAAGCTTTGGAACTAGGTGCTGCAGAAACGTTGATCGTTTACGAAAACTTGGATGTTACCCGCTGGGTTCTCAAGGCCAGCACCGGCGAAGAAGTTATTCTCCACACCACCAAGGCCCAGGAGGCTAACCGGGAGATGTTTATGGATAAGGAAACCGGGCAGGAAATGGAAATTGAGGACCAAAGCTCGTTCCTTGAATGGCTGGCTGAGCATTACAAAGATTTTGGAGCAACCCTGGAGTTTGTTTCCGATCGGTCCAGCGAAGGAAACCAGTTCGTCAAGGGCTTTGGTGGTATCGGAGCTATTCTCCGCTACAAAGTCAACTTTGAGCAGTTGGCTGATTACGAATCCGAGGACGAGTTCTACGACGGTATGTACATCTATATCTGCAAAACCCCCATTTTCCCCGCTCCTGTTTCAGTTCTAGGTATATTCAGATGCTAATCTTATTTGCATCCTACAGATTGACGGTTTTGCGACCTCGCGGAGAGCGAGGATGATTGCCCAGAAATCCCTTCGGAGGATGTTCTGACGGCTCGTCCCTTGAATTCAGCTAACAATGACATTCAAGGAGGTTCCCGGACAGCCGCCACACGGGCTCTATGTCCGTCTGCCCAATCCAGCACGAAGCTTCTCAGAGGTACTGCAAACTTTCTTTTTACGTCGTGCATTTTTGGAAACATCTAATTAAATTCTTGGTGTTTTATTATAGGGCCATCCAAGCTCCGTAATGTGGCTATGAGCAATTAAAGAGAAAAAGAAACACAGGCTTTCCAACTTCTTCTTATATAACAAGAGAAGTCCTCTTTTAGATACGAAAACCCTGGCTGGATTACTGAGCGACAAAAGAGGCGGCCAAATCGGAAGGAGGCGAGAGGCGTGTTCGATTTTTTTTTTCCACTTTTCAGAGAGTTTGTATCTTTTTTTGTCCCAAATACAGCCGATAACATAACGTGCTCCTTTCTCCCTCTCCTGCAAGGCTCTGTAACACAGCGAGAGATCTTTTTAGAAAGGGGCAGTGACCAAGAAATATTATTTATCGGTTTTTTCCCAGACTGCGTGTTTCTCTATAATTATGATTTATTATTATCATTATCATTACGCCCTCTTTAAGGTTTTTTAGTATTTTTTATATTTTCATTTTTAAATTTCTGTTCTCGCGACTACATCTTTACGCGTTAACCTATATTTTATCTATTAGATAGACTTTATTTTATCTACTTTCGTTCTGCACAGCCGGCATCCTCATTCTCGCTTTAGAAACGCGTGCAGGCTGACTGATATGTTCTTTCTATATATAGACTTCGGGAAAGGAAGAGAAAAAGACCTCCTCTTCAACAATATAACAACGTTCCAGCTTTCGGGAGGAGGAATTTAGCGGGTTCATCTTTCATTTTCATCATTTTCATTCCTCTTTTAATGACTCCCTTGTGGTGTGGGATGAGATTATCAACCTCAACTATTCACCAGCCACCACCCGCAGCAAGTTCTTACTCAGGCTCTTCTCTAAGACACATGATAAAGGAGAAGAAGCTACCCTATCTATAAACAAACACATAACAAATCGTTCACTCATTCAATGAATATCTCCAAAAAAAAAAAAAAAAAAAAAAAAAAAAAAAAAAAAAAAAAAAAAAAAAGAGAGAGAGAGAGAGAGAGAGAGAGAGAGAGAGAGAGAGAGAGAGAGAGAGAGAGAGAGAGAGAAAGAAATAAAAAGATAAGAAAGAAAAAGAAAAGTAAATAACACAACAACCCTCCCACCCCCAGCCCCTCTATACCCCAACACTTAACCCAACCGACCCTCCCAACTCCCCAAATCCCTACAACAGCTCGTCTTCCCCTCCAACTCCTCCATCGCCTTCTCCACCACATCCTCCTCATGCACGCCGCGCACGCGCTCACACTCCACGAAGAAGATATACTGCCAGGGCCTGATCTGGCCCGGGCGCGAGACGATGCTGGTGAGGTTCAGGCCGTGGCGGCGGAAGATGGTGAGGGCGTCGACGAGGGCGCCGGGGGTCTCGTGGTTGATCATGAAGGAGATGAGGGATTTTAGTTTGGTGGGTGGTGCTACTGTTGTTGTTGTTGTTGTATCTGTACTTGAGGTAGCAGTGGCGGTGGGATAGAAATCGCCCCCCTCTCCCTCCCCCTCCCTAGTCCTCTCGCTGTTCCGATTCCGCAAGACGAGGAAGCGCGTCGTGTTATCGGCGCGGTCTTCGATGTTTGCTGCTAGGATGGAGAGGTTGTGGTGCGTGGCGGCGAAGGAGCTGGCGATCGCGGCTGGGATGCCTTCGCTGTCGTTGCCGGTTGCGTTGTCACCACCACCGTTACCACCAGTACCAGGAGTAGGAGTAGGGATAGGGGCAGTGGTGCTACCGTATTTCGCGACGATGCTGGCCGCTCTGGAGGTTGAGGGGGTGTCTTTTCTCTCGATGCCGCGGAAGTGTTTTGAGAGGAAGACTTCGCACTGGCCCCAGGCTTGGGGGTGGGTATACAGTTTTGAGATGCGCGGGTAGATGGTTTCGGGATCTATTTTTGTGTATATATAAAGATTGTTAGGATGATTCTTTGCGTGGTATAAACTATATATATATATATATATGCGATATGTTCTATGTACCTGAAGCCGCATCCTCGTTACGGACAAGCAGACAGTGGTGGACGGTTAGATAGTACTCGCCGCACACGACGATGTCATGGTAACGGCCATCGCGGTCGGCCAGGAGGTCGAGCGTCTGCACGACGGAGCCATTTGTGGAGTTCTCAAAAGGGATGACGGCATAGTCTGCCTCGGTGGATTGGATGGCGGCAAAGGCGTCGGCGAAGGAGGGTTTAGGGAGCAGAGTGACTGTTCTCGTTGTAGAGGTGGTCGTAGTGGTGGATGTGGGGAAGAGGTCCAGGGCTGCCTGCTCGATGGGGATTTCAATTGATTCAAATCCTCCTTAGTTATCTACTTCTCAAGGGGTGTAGAATAGAAACTTGCGAAATCGAAATGGAATTTGGGTAATGACAAAGAAAAAGCATATCAAAACGGCTGTATTTCTTGCTGACCTGATGCGAGAATGAAGCCAGCGGGCCGAGGAATGTGACCCGTAGCTCCTTGTGGGGAGACGCGGACATGGCGCAGTGTTGTAGTTTGTCCCCGTTGATAGAGTGTTGTCCGCTTAATGTGCCTTTTGAATGAAACAATACCGGTATCAATTGGAAATTGCAGAGTCTTCTTCCGTAGTTGGTGAAAATAGTTACCCCGCTACGCATATTGTGGCGGACATATTACTTGCAAAAACAGAATTTTCCCAGCCCCCTCTGAAAATTAGTAGCAAAACACCATCAAAAAATCAAAATATCTGCATTTCTCTAGAATCATTCAATATCATTCAATAATCAATACACATCTTTTTCAATCAAATATCATTCAAATACGCGTCTTTCTTACCTTTATCATCAAATTTACATATATCAATTAACTCTTTTTTCAATATGTCTTACAATGTCTGCTGTTCTGCTGCTTTATAAGCCTGTACAAAGACTTCTACTCTGTATCTTAGTCTTCTCAAACTATCTGTTTCAGAAGTTCTGAATAATGAAGAGAATTCAGTCAATGATAAGATAAAGAAGTAGATAAATAAGAAGAATATAGAGACTCAGTCTGAGAATTTTTAATATTTATAAATCTCTATATCTGAGTCTGATATCTTATACAGATTGTATGAACAGGTGATTATTAATAAGATAAAGAATAAGAGAGATGATAAAATAATTAATAAGTAGAAAGAAGAAGAAGAATTAAAAGAATAAATCTATAATTTCTATAATTAATTCTTCTATACAGATCTTTTAAATATTAGTGATTATATTCTCTTCTTCAGCTCTGACAGCTTCAACTTCATTCAATATAACATTCTCAAGTGAGATAATCAATGTAATGATGATAAAATATATGATGAAAGAAATAGAAGAACTGAATTCATAATCTCATTATCATTCACATTCAGATCTGCTGTTGAATCTTTCATCAAATTCACTGTTAAATCTTTCATTGAATACACTGTTGAAATCTTTCATTGAATTCACTGTTGAATCTTTCATTAAATACACTGTTGAAATCTTTCATTAAATTCGCTGTTGAAATCTTTCATCAAATCCGTCATTGAATCTTTCATTGAATCTGCCATTGAATCTTCCATCAAATCCGCCGTTGAATCTTTCATTAAATACACTGTTGAAATCTTTCATCAAATCCACTGTTGAATCTTTCATTAAATACACTGTTGAAATCTTTCATCAAATCCACCATTGAATCTTTCATTAAATACACTGTTGAAATCTTCCATTGAATTCATCATTGAATCTTTCATCAAATACACTGTTGAAATCTTCCATCAAATCCGCCGTTGAATCTTTCATCAAATCCACTGTTTCATCTTCAATTCAAAGCAGTTCAATACCTCAATTTGATGAATACTTTAATTGATTGACAAGGGAATAGTTGCTTCATATGAATATTGACAAGAGTATATTTCAAATTATAAGAGATGGATTAAAAAGTCTATTATAACAGACAAAATTACAGAAATTCAAATCATCTTTATTCACTATTTATAGTGATAAGAACAGATCTCATACTACTTTCACTTCTAAATTTATATTATAATGAATTATAATCTGAATCTTTCTAATTATTATAATACTATTCTATATAAGTAGATCTAAAATATTCTTTTATATCTTTTTCTCTTATGAAGTTCTCAACTGTATGATATAAAAAAGCTTCAAAATCTTCATCAAATCTCTTCAGAATTGAAGAGATATCTGATATAATCTTTGACTTTATATCACATATTGAACAGAGTTCTCTAACAGTTTCAAAACAGTGAAGATTTCATTGAATTCAATATACACAGGTGATAATCAATGCTTTGTATGATCTCAGCAGATATATAATTATTCTTAAGAAGATATACAATCTTGTTGATGATGAAATCACAGAGTTGAGATGATATATTGATGATAAAGATAAGAAAGACACATATTTGAATAATATTTGATTGAAAAAGATGTGTATTGGATGATATTGAACGATTCTAGAGAAATGCAGATATTTTGATTTTTTGGTGTTTTGCTACTAATTTTCAGGGGGGGCTGGGAAAATTCTGTTTTCGCAAGTAATATGTCCGCCACAATATCTTGGAGCGCATGGTGGATGTGGTTATTATTTAAATATCTCAAATATTTAAACGATAGCATCGGAGAAAATCAAAACTCCTCAACAACAATAACTAGTTAATAATTAGCAACCACAACTCCGATGATTGAAAACTATAGCTAGCACCTAGTAGCCAGAGCTATCTCAAGACTGCTGGCTAGTCCAATTGTCACCAATTCCGACAAACCATGTTGGCCAGTCCGTGTAAGCGGCCATCTATCTCTGCACTGCTACCGCGCATCATACACTCCCAATCCCGCCGCACCCTCTCCTCCTCCGCCCTCCGCACACAGCTAGACCAACTACCCCAACGCCGCCTCCCGCTCTTCTACGACTATCTCACCCCACAGCAATCACATCTCCTCAATCTCTCCCTCACGGGCTTTGTCCCTACCACAGCAACCGCTAACAATGCCCAACTACCACCAACAAGCGCGACTACTACAACATCTACCCTCCCATCCTCAGCCCTGAACCCCCCGCCTATGCCTGCCGGTCACCACCTAGTCTACTTCCCACCGCAGGTCCCCACCTCCCAGCTCCTACCTGATGGCACGGATATATTACATTACCCAGGCCCGCCATTTAACCGGCGGATGTGGGCCGGGGGCTGGGTGCGGTGGCGGTCCAACAACAACAACAATAATAATATTAATAATAATAATAATAATGTTAATGATCATAATGCCGCAAAGGCTCCAGGACACAAACCGCTGCTACTAGATGGGCAACGTGCTGTGTGCATGGAAGGGATTAGAGATGTGTCTGTGAAGGGCAGGGAAGGGGAGGAGAAGGTGTTTGTGAGTGTTGAGAGGCGGGTTGCCGTTGTTGGAGAGGGGGAGGATGAGGCGGTGATTAAGAGGAGAGTGTGGACGGAGGATGAAGGGGAGTGGGGAGATGCGGTTGTGGTTGAGCGGAGGAATTTGGTATTTATGAGGGATAGGGACGGGGTTGTGGACGGGGCTGGAAAGGACGGGGGGTTTAGGAAGGTTGTTAAGGGTTCGTCTGGAGGACTTCTTCTTCATCATCTTCCTTTTCCCTCTTCGACCATGGGCTAACAAAGATTCAACAGCGCCAACAAACCCAGACTTCAGCCATCTTCTCATCCCGTCACGGTCCCTTCTATTCCGCTTTTCAGCCCTCACTTTCAACGCGCACTCCATCCACCTGGATCCCAGCTACGCACGAGATGTCGAGGGGTACCCGGACGTACTAGTCCACGGCCCGCTTACTCTCACTCTAATACTTACGGCATTCCAGAACCACATATCTGACATCTCCGCTGGACAGGCGGTAATTGGGAGCATTGAGTATCGGAATCTGGCACCGTTGTTCGTGGAGCGGGAGATGAGGATATGTGCTAAGCAGAAAGGTAACGGGGGGAGTGCTGGCGCTGGACCATGGGATATATGGGTTGAGGGGCCTGAAGGGGGATTGACAGTTAAGGGAACTGTGCATGTACTATAACAATGCAGAACTGATGAAGGAAATTGGGGTTGAAGAACAGCATAACCTCATAGAGGCATTCTCAAGTTGGTCCAAAGGTTGCAACAATCCCAGGATCAATTTGGACTTTTATTATAACTAATGATACGTAGCTGTCTCACCTCCATCGCATTGGGCGCCATCACGCGACACAATAGGGACCGCATTGCGGGGGCTTCTGGGGGATTACTTCTTGGAGAACCTGGTTCCTCTCCCCTTGGGTCTTCCACAGCCAGTTTTACCAGAGGAACCTCAGCCTGACTCACTCGGTGAATGCTGGCAGACCGACGCGCTGAGTAGGCCCACACACCTACGGGTAACCAACAAAGCGCCCTGGGCAGCTAAAAAGGGATGAGCAGACGCTAGATTGTGAAAGGTGTGACTAACCCGGAGGAACCAGGCGAGACAGTTTTATATTGAAGGTTGCCCGCAAAATGCCCAAGAGGCGTTTTCCACGGGAAGACGAATCGAAGGCAAATTCAAGCTCCCAGAGACGGCCGTGGGAAAGTTAAATGTGAGAAGTCGTCCCTGTCTCCCGAATATACATAGTAGGACACAAATGTATGTTCCCATTGGATGTGAGCATAAGTAAAGTAAGCTGACCCTCGCTCTATGTTAGCTTCCCACAAAGCTGAAATGGCGGACGGTGTTATATGTGATGGCCTTGGTCATATTTGCTGAATTAATAATGGGCTATCTGGGGGTGAAATGGCGGTAAATTTTGTTCACGTAAGTAGGAGATCAGAGCTGGTCGAGTAGGCTCAACAAACAGTCGTTACGTGCTGATGGGACTACATCGTTGATAGTTGAATAGGGCAAATGGAAGTACCAGTTAACCTGTCAAGTAGCTAGATACCTTTCGGTTCTACAAATAACTTATTTAATAATAACCTGGAAGATTCTTCGCAGGATGTCGTGGCCGGTAATTAACTTGATGTCACGGAAAGATGCCGGGAATTTAGGGCTCCACAGATCACGGGATGCTAGGCAGCTTCTGCGGCGAAACAATTCACCGGCGACGCTTACCAAACCTAGCTAGCTCAGTTGCAGCGAGAGCAAAACTATTTAAACTCGTAGAGGACACAACTCCCTCCAAAAAGATTCTTTCCCTTCAATTTCTTTTCTCTGCTCACGACAATGTGAATGTGAACGGAACCTGCATTTCTGACATTTTAACACCACACTTAGAAGATGGATGTTTTCTGGAGTGCACCGCCTGTGATTAGGTAAAGGAACCCACCCCCCAAGAACCTACCTTTCTCGGCGCTCGCGGCTCGCGTTTTGTATACAATAATACTGATGGCTCCTCCCATACACATAGGACGATCACTGCGGCCGCATTTATTGAGTCTCTGCTCGTTTATGGCGGTCTTCTCAGTCCAGTTAGGATCTTTTACCACCATTCCTTTATTTTCAAGATCTTTCCCGAGGTCTGGAGACTAGTCACCTCATTTCTTCTGACAGACTCGGACCTGAACTTTATCTTCGATCTTTACTTTAGTAGGGTCTCTTGTTTTGGTTTTGATTCACTTTGCGCCATGAGAGGCGACAATGCTTGTTTTCATGGTGGAAACGGAAAAAGAAAAAAAATGCGGCCTCGACGCCCACTATCCTCACTAACAACTTTACTCTACGTCAACAGTGTATAAATATGGCAGCGGTCTGGAAAGAGACTCGCCACGCTTTTCTATCCCTGGCGACTTTTTCACTTATGTTGTTTTCGTAGGCACAGTGATTCTGGTAAGTACCTTCTGTTTGCCTGGTTTCACTTTTACTTCTCTTATCTTTCCATGCCCTCCGCATATCTGCCCGCCCAGCCAATTCTAGCTGAAGCGGTTCCTGGTCGTGAGGAAGATTACCCCTACATCTCGTGCAGACCAATCATTCGCAATCAATCCTTTTATGGACTGTATGCGGTGTAGGCATGGTGGGATTATCTGATGCGTAACCAGCTAGAATATTTCTGTTTCTCGCATGGTGGTTGTGGGTTCCTACATTTCCCTCTTGAAATTAATCCTTTTATTTCGTATCCTTATATAAACTTATCAGCGTCTTTCTTGTGTCTTCATTTATGTTCTATACACTGTTATTTCTACACCTCTCGTGATATTACTAGTACTTTAAGAATATAGAAGAGAGGCTGACCGGCCCGAATAGTTTACTGCAGGTGGCCTCGTAGGCGCCGGGATTTTCACTCAAGGTACGAGTTTGGAAGAACACCAACCTATGCATATGAGAATGATTGTACTCTATAAACACTTAAAAAAGAAGTAATCTTCGAATCTAACCCCGCCCTATCAACCCAGCCCTAATAATCGCCTTCATGTACACCCACGGCCAAGCCAACGCCGGCAAAAAGGAAAACTTTTATGTCGTCCAAATCCCCGTCGAGATGCTCCCCTGGGCCACCCTGGCCCTTAGATTGGTGATTAGGGGCCCGCATGCAGCATGGACAGCAGCATGCGGTCTCGTAGCCGCTCATCTGTACGAGTTCCTCACCCGCATCTACCCCACCTATGGCCGTGGAAGACAGTTTATATGGACGCCCGTGTTTGTGAAGAGATGGTTTGGGGCCCATCACATTAACCAGACTCATCGCGCGTACGGTGTGGCATACCACCCTGGTGATAGGGAGACACGGGAGGCGGCGAAGGCGTCCGGGTCGGGGAGTGGTTGGTTCTCTAGCGATTCTTGGAGTGGGAGGGGTGTCGGCCGGAGACTTGGGTGATATTTTATTTTACTGTGTCCATCTTACTTTTAATTTGCAGCATTTATAGAACGAGATACACGGATGATTGAAAGTTTAAGGATATATATGGTTACTCACTGGAATTGCAATTATTATGAGCATGCGTAACGTGCAATATGAATTGATCCCATTTCTTCCATCATTCGCATTCGTCCTGAATATTTCATCACGTGATATAATCCAACAATTTCCACGCTAAATCACTTTTGTGCGCCAGAGCTTTTCCTTCGCCCAAAAAAATAAAAATCGACTTACTTTGGACGCACTGCAAAATTGGCTGGGCAAACCCGATACAAGAGTCGACTTCTCTCCACCTGAGCAAGAGTAGACCGTCGGGACTACGTCTATTATCAACCTTTTTGTCTGCAATCCGGTTTTGGCCAAATCTTTGCAATCAATTCCAAAATGACCACAGACGCAGGAAAAATGGACGTCGACTTCGCCATCAAGCCCGAGGCCGTTACGCCCGCCATCCCGACATCAGAGTGGCCGTTGTTGTTGAAGAACTATGATAAACGTATGTCCCTTGTGTCTATAAATATGAAATATATACATACTCAATATTTTCTTTCCCCCTCGGGCATTTGTTGTGGAATTTTAGTTGGAAGGAAACTGACCGCTTGGAAAATTATACAGTGCTCGTCCGAACCGGTCACTTCACTCCCATCCCGGCTGGTTGCACGCCCCTGAAGCGCGACCTGAAATCATATATTAGTTCTGGTGTCATTAACCTGGACAAGCCGTCGAATCCATCCAGTCATGAGGTTGTGGCATGGATGAAGAGGATATTGAGGTTCGTTTTTACCTGCTCGTTTTACCTCGAGATGGGGAGGCGAAATGCGAAAAATAAAGCAAGGCGTAAAATTGACAACCTGGATTTTATTTCCACAGAGTTGAGAAAACCGGTCACAGCGGAACCCTCGACCCAAAGGTCACAGGGTGCCTAATTGTCTGTATCGACCGTGCGACGCGCCTCGTCAAATCCCAGCAAGGCGCCGGAAAGGAGTACGTGTGTGTGATCCGTCTGCACGATAAGATCCCCGGCGGAGAAGCGCAGTTTGCCCGCGCCCTCGAGACCCTCACGGGCGCCCTTTTCCAACGCCCGCCCTTGATCTCCGCTGTCAAACGCCAGCTGCGTATCCGCACGATCCACGAAAGCAAGCTATATGAGTTCGACAACGATAGGCATCTGGGCGTGTTCTGGGTGAGCTGTGAGGCGGGTACCTATATTCGGACGCTTTGTGTGCATCTAGGACTGTTGCTGGGTGTTGGTGCGCATATGCAGGAGCTGCGGCGAGTAAGGAGTGGAGCGATGGATGAGAAGGATGGGATGGTGACGCTGCATGATGTGCTTGATGCACAGTGGATGATGGATAATAACCGTGACGAATCGTATCTGCGACGGGTTATCCGGCCGCTGGAGAGCTTGCTTACCTCGTACAAGCGCATTGTAGTTAAGGATAGCGCTGTTAATGCCGTTTGCTATGGTGCTAAGCTTATGATTCCTGGATTGTTGCGGTTTGGTAAGTGGTCATATGGTGGTGTCTTTTTCAAAGATATCAAATTTGCGTGGGAATTTGAAGCTGATAAACTTTTTCCCTATAGAGGCGGGAATTGAAATCCACGAAGAAGTAGTCCTCATGACTACCAAGGGTGAGGCTATTGCCATCGCAATCGCCCAAATGTCGACCGTCGAACTTTCGACGTGCGATCACGGTGTCGTGGCCAAAGTGAAGCGTTGTATCATGGAGCGTGATCTCTACCCGCGCAAATGGGGTCTAGGTCCGGTTGCATTGGAAAAGAAGAAGCTCAAGTCTGATGGCAAACTTGATGTTAGTCTCATTTCCTTTTCCTACGTCCACCTTGACGACTTATACTAACTATTGTCTAGAAATATGGCCGACCAAACGAGAAAACTCCCGCGAAATGGAACGCTGAGTACAAGGATTTCAACGCCCCATTAGCTAGTGCTGCAGGAGATTCTTCTGCTGCTCCTGCTGCCGCTCCTGCTACACCCGCTACCGCCAAGGAATCCGCCCCAGCTCCTCAAGTAAATGGAAGCTCGCCGGCCGCGGAAGAAGACGACGAGAAGAAGCGGAAGCGACGCGAGGGCGAGACTGCCGAGGAGCGGGCCGAACGAAAACGCAGAAAGAAGGAGAAGAAGGAGAAGAAGGAAAAGAAAGAAAGAAGAAAATCGAAACAAGCGGCAAAGAGCGACGATGAGAGCGAGTAAAATGGAGCATGTGAAAAGGAAAGAAAGGATTGTGTCTTGAAGCGGCTTATTACTATTTTCCCCTCCAAACCGATGCTGCTCTCGACACTGACTCGTTATTTTCCTTTTTATTTGATTTTCTTGTATCATATTCGTTTGCTCTGCTCCCTTGCTTAAGTTCTTTGCCTTTCTGGCCTGTTGTTTTGTCTATTTACATTTTTCTTCGCGGAGTTTTTGGGAAAAACTGGAGTTCTGTTTCCTGTTGTCAATTTTTTCTTGTTTTCTTCCTGTGAATGTGTTCTGCGAAATGCGATACTGATTTCTCCAAGGAGTCTACGTGTGAGTGTGTCCAATGTATGTATGTTTGTGTCATCTATTCCATGGCTGGTTATCAGTTTTTGTATTTGGAAATACAAAGAACCAGCTTTATTTCTTGCATATCTCAATATGATGAATGTTATTATCTCTGAATGAAGAGCCTCTCCCCGTTTTGCATTCTGTAATGCGTAACATGAACTAGCAATCGGGGATAATCCAGTGACCCAGCTTGCATGGTCACATGTCCCGTCCTCACCTGGGCAAGTTCTCCAACAAACGTCATTCCATCTCCACCTCCACCTCCGCTGCTGCCACAATGCAAAACAACAAGCGATATCCGATTTACAGATAATATCCGGCATCCCAGCAGCTACAGAAGGAGAAACTCTACCCTCTCTAATTTAACTTCGCCGCAATCGCCCCACGCCCACGCCCGCGGCCACTTCCCCGCCCCTCATGGCTGCGGAGCTTACCTCCATCAAGCTCAACCCAGAGAGCCACCTGCTCCTGGTATATATTAACTCCCGCGACTGCATACTTTACAAAAGTTCCAACATAACTAACAAAAGGAAATAATAAACTACAGGACCAACCTCTCCTCCGCCTCCCTCACGAACTCGCTCGCCGCAACTTCAAATCTGTCCAACGTATCGTCGAGCGGGAACGAGACTATGTCCTCCCATACCTCAAAGAAACAGCCAACGCCTCCCTCTCCGGCAGCCAAGATGCCACCCAAACCCTCTCCGCTCTCGACACCATGATAAACCGCATGCAGGGCCTAAAGCGGAAAATGGAGGCCTTGCAGGACGAGGAGAAGAAGATCCTGACGCAGTCGCGGAAGCGCATCCAGCATCTTGAAGACCTGTATAAGATCCCAAGCCTGGCAGATGTCAAGTATGAGGAGTGGTCGCGAATACGGTTGAACCGGCTATTGGTGGACCATATGCTGCGGTCTGGGTATGTGGATAGCGCAAGGCAGTTAGCGGCTGAGAAGGGGATTGAGGACCTGGTGGATTTGAGCGTGTTTGTGCAGTGTCAGCGGATTGCGGAGAGTTTGGGGCGAGGAGAGACTAAGGAGGCGTTGACGTGGTGTGGGGAGAATAAAGTAGGGTTAAAGAAGATTCAGGTATATTTTTCCCTTCATCATATTTTCGTTGTCGCTAGCATGCACTCTAGATTGACTTGATGATTAACGGGCGTTTTTGCAGAGTAATCTTGAGTTCGAGCTACGATTACAACAGTACATTGAGATGGTGCGGGCGGGTGATAAAGCTGAAGCGAGACAACATGCCAAAAGGTACTTGTCACCGCATAGCGAGACTCAGGCGAAGGATATTCGACGTGCAGCTGGTCTCCTCGTGTTCTCCCCTGACACAGAAGCGGCACCTTATAAGGTCAGTCTGGAGGAGGAAGAAATTGCATGAACAGCCCCTAATCTCCACCATCAAGGTTTGAAGGTAAAATAAACTAACCCATCCGTCTAGGATATGTACTCATCATCCCGCTGGCAATACCTCTCAGACCTCTTTATCCGAACCCACCACGACCTCCTCGCACTCTCTTCCCGCCCACTTCTCCAGATAGCCCTGTCGGCGGGCCTCTCCGCGCTCAAGACACCATCCTGCCATTCCGCCTACGCATCTTCTAGCTCCAATCCCAATTCCATAACCACATCCGTGTGCCCGATATGTTCGACTGAATTAAACGAGCTGGCGCGCCACATGCCGTACGCGCATCATACCAAAAGTTATGTTGAGAATGATCCCATGGTCTTACCAAATGGACGTATCTACGGGCGCCAAAGGTTACTGGATATGTGTAAGAAGTCAGGCTTTGTGGCACCGGGGAAGATCAAGGATCCGACGACGGGTGAGGAGTTTGACGAGAAGGACATGAAGAAGGTTTATATTTCATAGCATTTTTTGATTTTATTTATTCTTTAAGAATTCTGCTTTTTTTACCCGTCCATGGCGTTTTAAGGGAGGGATGGCTGGGAAGGAATGGGATTTCCCCTCTATTTGGAGTTTCACTTATCGCACATATCTCAATACTAGGCACATACTTTTAATAGTTGCTATCATTACATATTTCTACATATATATATAACATCATCGAAGTTATAATTCCCGCCATCGCTTCGAAGGCATAGTCATTTCCGGAGATGCTTCACCAAAAATAATATACACCAACATCAAAACCATAACGGCCCAAAGAGCTAAACCCGCTTAATCACTATCATCATCGCTATTCTCCCCACCTCTCCCCTTACCCCCTTTCTTCCTTTTCTTCCCGCCAGCAGCACCCGCTCCCCCAACTCCCTCAGCCCCTCTCTTCTCAAAAACATACATCCTCGCCTCCCTATCCTCTCCCCTCCACCCACCCCTCCCCGGACCACCATTCCGCTTCTCGATCTCTCCAATCGTACGCGCATGCGAGTAACCAGGATAACTAGCCCAGGGAAACCGGAAGCTAGTAACGACACGCAAGCCCGCATGGCGCGCCAAGTCGCGGATATTCCAGAGCGTATAAGGTTCCCCTTCGAAGAGGGAGACGAGGATTTGACCTGGGGTTGTGCGTGGGTGTTGTTTCTCTTCCTTCTCAATATCACTGCCGGTGCTAGGTTCGGAATGGGAGTCAGGCCAGTCATCATCGTCATCGTCACACTCATCTCCATCCCCATCATCCCCATCCTGGGAAGTAGTGGGCAGCACCACCGGCTCTGAAAGGAGCGGTATGCACGCTTTAAAGAACGAGACGAGTAGCTCTTGGTTCGCGCGTACCTGCCGGTTTACATCTGTACTCAAGCCGCCGACGTGAGGGAAGTTGAAGCAGATTATGTCCCAGGGACCGCCGCGGCCGGTATGTTGCTGGTGGTTTTGATGTTGGGGGGAATTAATAGCGTCCTTCCATGGACGGTGATTTTTGTTTTTGCCAGCGGGCAAGGGAGCGGTGGCGCGAGGGAATCCGTTGCGTATAGCCTGGCCTCCGCCAGCAGGTCCGGAGCCTAGTTTACGGGCATCGATGGAGAAGAGGACTTTCGGGACCTGGTTCTTGGCATCTTGTGTCTCTGGGCGCTTTTCTATATCTTGAGTTTTCGGATTCAGATTCTCATCCTTCGCGTCCCGCTCCTCCCTTTCCTCGTTATTGCGATCGTCACTTTCAAAACCTTCAATCTGTTCCCTCTTTCGTTTCAAGATTTTAGACGGCGACGAAGACGTTTCTGAACCACGCGAACATAGCTTCTCAATATGCAACTTTGCCTGTGGATATTTCTCATAAAGTGCCTGCTCAGCATCGTAGCTGGTGGCAAGCAGATTTTTGCAGCCGTAATGCACCGCAAGAGACAGGGCAAATGAGAAATCTCCTGTTTTGGGATGTTAGATATTATTGTCCCTTCAGGCTTGTTTGGAATGGTATATTCGCTGAGGGGAAATATAGAAGTACATATATGTACATACATGTCAAGCATGCAGATGACAACACAGAAAAGATATAGGAACGTAGATGTAAAATCCAGAGAGTTGAAACAGGAACAAAAATAGGATAGGATGTAAAGAAACGGTGCGCCTCCAGGTGTTGTGCGCAGTGATAGGAATGATACATGCTTGTTTCCCCCAATAGTTTCGAAATATTAGAATACCAGGAGTTTCATACATTTTTTTTACTTTTGGGATAAGTTTCCCTCTGCTTCACGCAGAAACAGCATAAAGAAATCGTTCTGAGCTGTCTGACTGATATCTGCAAGTAGACGCTCGAGAAAAAAAGATGAAAAAAAAGCCCTAACCTTCTCCAACCAACAAAATCCGATCTCGCTTCTGAAATGGAATTGTCGGAGGCCGACTCTGTGCATTTGCATTTGCATTTGCATTCGCATTCTTCGAGTTTGGTTTCTCCTTTGCACTCCCGCTCCCCTGGGCATCTTTGAAAGCCGGTGCAGACGTTGAAACTCTCGAGAAGCTTTTCATTTTCTTAGGCCCACCGGGGCCAGCACCACCAGCTCTTGAATTGACAGCAGCTGTAGAACTTCTACTTTTGTGTCTATCAAGGTGGTGGAAGTTGGTGATGCGTGGCTTTTTGGACTTGCCCATTTTTGGGATTGATTATCTTGGACGATCACGTTAAATAACAGAGAGAAAGAGAAATAAAAAAATGTGAATATGAAATGCACGAAAATGTGGGATTATCAAGGTTACAAGGTAAGGTAACTTGTTGGATATTTGATTGAGCTTGGTGCGCGTGAAATTGATGGAGGCGGACGTTGCTGGAAGGTTTTGATAGAATCTGAAAAAAAAAAAAAAAAATTGTCCTTTCTCAGCATGGTGAAACAGCAACTTATTTTGTATGTATGAAAATCAGAAACTAGATAAGTCACGGATATTCTATAGTTATTTCTCTTGTATTTATTAACTGCGGAGTATTCATTATTCAAATAATCTAATAAATGCTTGAAATTATTTGTTTCGAGGTAGCCTTAATTCAAGTTGTGTGAAGTAACTGACAGTACACAACCCACAATTCAATGAATAAAAGAGAGAAACTAACACCATATTTTCTTTACATGCCCATTGGAAGAAAATAAAATAAATCAACGGAACAGAAGGGAAATCAGCCCGTATTCTTCTCTACCACCCTAGTTATTTATGTATGTACAGGTAAATGTGTGAGATAATAATAGTAGCAGAAAACAACAGAAAACCCAACAGGCCAGGAGGAAAATAGGCAAGCAAAAAATGCAAGCCTTGCTCAAAATCCTTATCCCACGCGCCTCATGAAGAAATAGACTCTGACTCCAAAAAATTTTGAAAATGAGTTTAAAAGTTGAAGATGGGAAGAATAGAAACGACATGGGTTCGAAACGAGAAAAATATGTTGAAAACAGAGGCCACGAAGGTTTATTATTATAAGTAGGCAAACGGGATTAAAACAATATCGACGAAGTAGAAGGGGAACGGTCAAAAACGAAAATAAAATAGGAAGGGGAAAAAATAGAGGTAACGAGAAAAGGGCAACGAATTTTATATGGTGACCCTTCAGGAGCTCCGCCAATTCAAAACTCGACAGTAAGACCAAGTGATGGAAATATAAAGTGGTTATATATTTCAATAAATCTAATAGAAAAATTCCCCCCTGCTAACAAGAATTCAGGCCATTGCGTCCTGGATCGCAGCAGGCCAGTCAGGGAAGAGAACGTATCGCATGCATGTTGTGGTCTGAGGTAGCTTTATATATCTAAGAGATGCAAAACAAGAAATACTGCAATGAAAAGCCGTACATGCTTGAGGTTTCACACATCAGCCAGGCTTCCTCATTCATTTATAGCGCCAGTAGTTTACTTCCTGGAAACGACTAGCCGTTAATGGGCTCAGTTTCGGTAGCCACCGTCGGCATTAAAAAGGGCACCGGAGAAGTATGTATATCATCCAAATTCTTAGGATTTAAGTCCGTCTCTCATGCTTTGGCTGCTGGCGCTTATTGGAGGATTGGATGTGGGAAGGACGCCGATTCTGGGCCTCGAGTTTTGTTTAACCTTTGCCATGGCATACACGAGACCGCTGACAAAGCCAACGAAAATGGCGGAGACGCTGGGGAAGGTCACCGGGGCGTCGAAGAAGATGAGGCCGGACAAGGCAATGGGAAGCTTGTTCAGTGCTCCCACCATGGAATAAGTTGTGGACGATGTCACCCGCACACACCATGCAGAGGTGTATGAGATGAAAACGGAGGACAAGCCTGAGAAAATCATCGCCATGATAATGCGGCTGCGAGTCTCTGTGGGGAAGTTCAAGTTCACGTTCTCTGATGACCAGTCTTCCACGACAAGAGAGGCAACTAGAATGATAGGAATGGAGAGGAGGTTGTTGTAGAACATGGTGTCAAAGTCCTTGAAGTTGGTCAACTTGATTCTCTTGCGCATGCCGAGAACGTAAGTGGCAGTGCACAGGCAGTTGATCAACATCCAGACGTATCCAGCATTGAGCGTTGAAATTTTGCTTGTAGCATCCACGCCTACTGCTGAAAGTGCATAGTTTATATCAGCCCAGGCCGCAATGATGGAACTCAGAACCATTAAGCCGAATGAGAACAGCACCATGCCGGTGACTGAGCCTCCAAACCACAGCACCTCGCCGTACGCGATCAGGATAATTGTCAAGTTCTTGAAGATAGTATATACGGGGATGGAGAGAAACTGCAAGGCCTTAGTGCCGGTGTATATCATGCCGATGAGGAGGAGAGAAATTGGAAACCCTATTAAATTAAAGAATTAGATTTATTGTCTCCCCATTATAGGAATAAAGAAAGAGACGAAAGATTTCCAAAGGGAAGCTTACATTTCTTCGCCTCGTCTATATTAAAATCGCGAAACGTGATGATTTTCAAGGACTTGGCAGTTTGAATTGCAGCAACGCAAACAAGAGACTAAATAAAATAGATATGGTGTCAATCAGACAATCCCAAGGACAGTAGGGAATGCAAAGTGGGATATGATTCAGCCTACCTGGACACACAGAAGGAAAAAGTTCAAGTTAAATGAAGTCCCTGACAAAACATATTTATTTGTAACGGTCATCAGAATCGAAGAACAGCAGTAGGAGAATACGGGGAGAGCGGAGCTTTGAGCATATGAGGAGCGTGATGCAGGGAGTCGAGGTTGCGATGGTGGTGGAGCATCGAATCGTTTGTTATTGGCATCCAATTTGTCCATATCAATGGCGTAGTCATCATTTCTCTTATCGTCCGCCATTTTGCACTGATTATTTCAAGAAGGGGTGAGAAAAGCGACGAGTTTGCAATATTAAAGGGGGCCGGTCGAGCGGGCAAGAGAAAGGAGGAGAGGAAGGCAGGAAAAGCGTTAAAGAAAACAATACAGGCTCCGAGAAAAGAAGAAGGAAAGCAGAAATCCTGACGAAGAAAATAGCAATCAGAACAGATGACAAGTGAGTGGAATGAGCCTAACAACGGAGAGCGGGATGGGAGTGAAACAGCGGGAGGAAAAAAAGTAGGTTGAGATAGATAATTCGGGGAGGTTAGAAATAGCCATAAATTACACATGCCCCGTCCTGGCGTTTCGCTGCTGTTTCGTCGCGGTGGGACTGTAATTTACGTATTATACGTAATCGGGTATTTCTCGCCAAAACTTGCCATTTTTCATTCTCAGCCTCTTCTCAGCCTCAACTGTCTATCTATCGCTCATCAAATATTAGAATAACAAGTCCAAAGACCTCACTATCAAAATCTAGCCCAGATAGAGCAAATCCATTTATAGTGCCCTCCTTAACTCTTCTAATTTGAAATTACCAAAGGCGTCGTCTCAGCTTGGATAAATGTCACTTCGTTCGATATGAAATCCTCAACCCGGTAGCGTTACCTGGCTAACTTCAACATGAAGCCAAGATGACCACTTTTTGTAGAAACGTGGAAGCGGGCGCGACACTACTCTTCAATGTTTATCCCATTGAAACGGCTCTCTACTATGATACCAGTGGTAGCCTCCTCAATTTCAGCATATGTTCGACAAAACATAACGGCGGGGCAGATATCGGGGGTGAGAAAGCAGGACGCTGGCCTGCTGATCCACTGTCAACCATCTCCGTGCTGCTTGTTTTCCAATTTGCTAATACTCCTAGCGGCGTCTCGAGTTGTATATTAGGGCTAATCACAAGGATCCATCTGTGACATGAAAGTAGTCACAATATATGCATCACAGGCAAAGTACATGAACTAATATATCTAGGCAAGTATTGATGAAGTGTATACTATCATTTTTATCTCTTTTTATCTCTTTTTACCTGGTAATGTCAGGCAGATAATGAACTTTGTAGATGTGTTCCTCTAGAAGCTCTCATAATCCGTACCTATTTAATCCGAAATGATAGCATGGTACTCCGTACATGTACAGTACATTAGAAGAAAATTTCGTATACAAGTATGGTCTGATAAGGTTTGGCGCCGGCAGCGGGAAATCAAACCTTAAATCTTACCTTCGCCCCAAAGTTTCACGTCCTATTCTCTCAGTCTTCGGGATACCTGTGTTTCTAAACCATATTTTCTTTGTTAATGATGGCTCTTTCGAGACTGTTATCTCCCTTCCATTCGCGAAAGAGACTGCGCGTTCAGATTATGTCTGACCTTCACCTCGAAGTCTGCCAGCAGTATGCCAACTTCCATATCACACCGCGAGCTGATCGTCTCATTCTAGCTGGCGATATTGGACGACTGGCAGATTACGAAGCTTTTCGTGACTTTCTACATTTGCAGTGTGAGCAATTCTTAGAAGTCTATCTCGTGTTGGGCAATCATGAATTCTTTGGTGTTTCCCGTGAACAAGGCCTGCGTCTGGCGTATATGCTTCAGCAGGAGCCGGGACTTAAGGATAAATTGACTGTAATGAATCAGAAGAGGGTGGATTTGCAGGATATCACTCTCTTAGGCTGTACTTTGCATTCGCATATACCGCCAGAAGACGAAGAGAGTGTTCGGAGCACGGTTAATGACTTCCGCCATATCGAGGGCTGGACAGTTTCTAAACATGTTACTGAGCATTTCAGCGATGTGAAGTGGCTGGCAGATGAAATAACTTCAATTCGACAAACAGAATCTGCCCTGAAACGGAAGATCGTTGTGATCTCCCACCACGCCCCTTCAACGAAAGGGACCTCAAGGCCATTGGACGAGGGCAGTCCATATAACTCGGCCTTTGCAACAAATCTCCTTGATGGAGATACGCAATCATTTTTCGAAACCGTGCAGTGTTGGATTTTTGGCCATACGCATTATTCCACCGACATACTTCGAGGGCGGACGAGGCTTGTCAGCAATCAACGAGGCTACGTCTTTCCGAATAAAGAAAATAATGGGTCTAAAGCCCCGGACAGTTTTATGTCAAAAGTCATGAAGCCTAGAGTTAAAGGAAAACAGACGCAGGATACGTTTAATCCCGAGATGGTCATTGAAGTTTGAGCTGTTTTCCGACCAGATGGTAAGGAGAATACAAAGATCACGCTCTCGGATTTCTCGACATGATGACAAGATCGATGCGGACTAAGGCGTAATAAATTGATTGCAACAAGGGAGCGTGGATGGCCTCATGATGTGTTGGAACCCGGGCTGGTGGGTTGTTTCATGTGGATTGCTACGATTTGAAACGAGGCGAAGACAAGTTCTACTATTCGCATTACCAAAGGCAAAATAAATAAATAAATAGAAAACTAAAGGGAGGCCCCGGGGGGTTAGGGGAGGGGACAAGGAAGATTCCAGGGTCCAACCCACCAACAGCCAGGACAACCTCCTCCTTTATCTTACATGTTCTTTCCCAGTTTCCAAATTGGCGATTCCGGCCTAACAAAGACTATACCCAGTAGTTCTGACAGCAATTCTACCTCATTTGTGGAGCGAAGCGAAGCAATATATTAGATGCTTTCAAAACCTGATTAGAATAGAAGATGAGTGAAAAAGTAAAAAGTGCACATCTTTCATGACTGCCTGTAGAGGAAGTCATAACAGCCTGTATAAAAAGCTGCAATAGTCTGTATATGTAAGAATAAGTGCTCGCAGGCGATTATTCGGGTGTTTGCAGCTTGGCATGATATGTACTGATAGTAGACTGACCGTGTGACCGTGTCTGAGACCAGGACCAAACTTTACAGTTGTCATGTTGCCTAAAAGCATTACTCCTGATCATAGTTTGTATTCATTATATTGATCTCAAATCACATTATTTCAAATATTAAAGATCTCAGATTCACTTTTCAAATAAAAATCTAGTTTCAGATAAAGAATATATTTGAATTCTTAGTCATATTTTCATTCTGATCTCATTATTGAGAATGATACTAAATGAGACTATAAAATCATTTCTCACTTACATAATATTATAATATAGTACTCATTTGTTGAAAATTCAATAGAGAGTATTATCAAATATTATTACTTTTCTAAATATAGATTATAATTTATATAATTTTAATTATGAAAAAAATATAAAATATAAAAAAAAATAAAAAAAATAAAAAATAAAATAAATACAAGAAAAAATCAATAATAATAATAAAAAAAAAAAAAGAAAAAGAAAAAAAAAATCAAGATTATAAAGCTGTAGCACTCTTAAAATACTCACTTCTCAGAGTCTTTACAATATTTATTACTAACTGTATATTTCTTATAGTAAGAGTAATACAGCTGTAATAAGTTATTATCTTAATATTATCTAATAAATAATCAGTATATATCTATATAAATGTGAATAATTAGAAAATATATACTTAAAAAGTGTGATCAGAGTAAACTCTGCTGCTACTTGAATAGTATTAAGAATAGAATACTGAAATTAATAATTCTCTTCATTAATTTCACAGATAAAATATATAAAGATAATCTTGAGAAATATAAGATTCTCTGACTTCTGATAAAAACAGATCTTATAGAGAGACTCTATTTTCATAATATCAGAGACTGAGTATTATTAAAAAGTGTTACTTTTATATAATATATATACACTTACTGTAGTAATTCACTCTCTGTATATATAATCAAGAGTTATAGCTTTTTCATACTGTATAACTCTTTCTGAGATACTGTTATCAGTTTATAACTCACATAGTCTTTCAATTCAGTATACACTGTGTATATACAGCTCTGCATACTGAGACTGTATTGATTATTATAATCTAGTATAATACTTGCTTTTCACAGATTATGTTTCATTTGAGAGAAAGAGAGAAGATATAACTGTTATTTTATTAAAAGAGAGATAAATAATTAATATTATTAAATATAATGTAATTTATCTATATTTAAAATTTGATTAGTCTATACTCTTTAATTTGAGAATTTCTATAAGTGTTTTAATAGTTTTTATACCAGCTTGAACTTAGTGATGAGTTGAAGAAGAAGAGAAAAGAGAGAAGAAAGAAATAAGAATAACTTATCTTTATAATATAAAAATAGAGAATCACTGTAATTATTCTCTCTAGTAATAAAGATCTATTTTCTATATGTATCTCTGATATAGATTATATAATAAATGTATATAAAGAATATTAATAGTATATATATTAAATTGTAAGGGGCCTACGCCGAATAGATCGGTGATCGAGAATGGCCGAGGGTCGGCAATCGAGAATGGCCGAGGGTCGGCAATCGAGAATGGCCGAGGATCGGAGCGTACGTGGAATCTGTGGAGTGTAACGGAATAGTCTATATGATTGATCGGGGTGGCGGCCGAGGATCGGAGCGTACGTGAAATCTGTGAAGTGTAACGGAATAGTCTATATGATTGATCGGGCGCAGCCCGCCACATTAGCCCCCCCTTTCCAGAAGCAGTTTCCATCAGTAAAGGGCTGCTGTTTCGGATAACGCGGAACTCAGAGTCTGGTCAGTTGAGAAGGGATCAGATTGGTGGCAGCGCGGCGGTTCAGTGTGAAGTTTTTTGATAAGAGAATACACTGGAGGTTATGATGTCTTATGACTGAAGATTGCATAGTGGCTTCTCTTCAAATCATTGTTATTCAACCTCTTCAAGCTTCTATTTACAAATTTGAACAGAAGCTAATCTTTTCCCTGTTTCATCTGAACATTCTCATAGTTATCTTCTGAATCTTTCTTCACTGCAATGTGATTAATATGAACAGATGCTGATTCATTCTTTAATCTTTCTCTTAAATGAGAAGACACTGATCTTTCTCTTGATTGAGAAGATGCTGATCTTTCTCTTGAACATGAAGACACATAGATTAATCAGCAGTTGAAAACAATGTGTTCTAATTGATTATAATTAATATATACTTCATATTAACATCAATCAGTGACTTCTTCAGAAGTGATCTCTGAGACTCAGAAGTCTGTTCAAATGATGAAAACTCTTGCTTATGCATAGATATTTAAATCTATTCAGTTCATGACATCTGCATTATTATTCTTCAGTGTGAGTGTATAAGTGACTGAATTATCTATCAGTACTGATATATAAGTTGCTGAAATGTAATGTCTTCTATCACTGTTCTGTATACTCTTGAGCTTGATAAGACAGTTGTTCAATGTCTGAAGCTGTGTATAGAAATCTTTATAAGTTAAGTCTTCATTTATACTTATAAGAGTCTGTAAGAGTTTAAAAGTTAATGTCTTCTTAAGCATGCTAATCTTCACTCTATTCTCTCAAGATTGATTATCTGCTTCTAGAATCTTAGTATTGAAGTCAGAAATGAATATTATAAGAGAAGTATTTCTCTATTAAAAACTCTATAATCAATCTAATACTTTCTGTTACATAGCAGTGTCTCAGAACAGAATATCAAGATATTTTATAATATTATCAGACATTTGTAATACTGATTTACATGCTTTTATTTATGAATAAAACTTCTGTTTTATGTGATTCTTCAATCATTTATTAATATATTAATCTTGATTGATTAATGAACTGATGAAATCTTCATCTATACTCAGTTTCATAAGCATTTTCATTCTTCATAATAAGTAGAGAGTGAGATCAGAAGTATTAAAATATACAGAAGTATTTAAACATTCTTTCAGTGCTTTTGTATTCAATTCTGTAGATGTTGAAATCACATGAGTTTCTTATGATAATTGTTGAATCTCTTCATATTGATATTGTTAAGTTGTATGCATATCAGCTATTTATTATTATTGTAGTTTTAACATTGCTCAGAGCCACTGTGGCACTGCATCTATGCTCATATTCAAGAGTTTCATATTATTGTTAGACATGATTATATTGATTGTTGAATATATAATATCTGTGGAATCTGAAGAAGTGTAATTGTATTCTTATATGTCTGAGTGTCAGGACTCTCGGGTCTTTCACTGATATTCTCTTGTAAGATCTTATTCTCTTTGTAAGATCTTGTTGCGGGGCCAGGGCGACTGGCGAGCAAGCTTCTATCTGAGGACTCGGTGTCTGCTTAACTGTGTGACTGTTTCTCTATTTCTTACGCGTCGTTACGCGTTCGGATATCTCTCGATGGATAATTGTTCCTAATAAGGAGACGATGAGCGTTTTTATAGTGTAAGGGGCCTACGCCGAATAGATCGGTGATCGAGAATGGCCGAGAATCGTAGTGGCGATCGAGAATGGCCGAGGGTCGGCAATCGAGAATGGCCGAGGATCGGAGCGTACATGGAATCTGTGGAGTGTAACGGAATAGTCTATATGATTGATCGGGGTGGCGGCCGAGGATCGGAGCGTACGTGGAATCTGTGGAGTGTAACGGAATAGTCTATATGATTGATCGGGCGCAGCCCGCCACATAAATGAAGATAATATTACTATATAATACTGTAGTCATTTCTATACATCTCTGAAAGCTGTTAATAGTTTCTTTATCTCTTTATATTTAATAAGTTAATAATATATTCTGATATACTTCTTCTTTTATTATTATTATTATTATTATCATTATTATTATCATTATTATCATTATTATTATTATTATTATTATTATTATTATTATATTATTACCTGTCTTTATCTCTTTCTTAACACTTATTAAAATCAATCATGTTATCTCTCTTCAAATATTCTACAGTTCTGCAGATTATCAAGGCATGTGAGTACTATCACAGATTGAAGAGAGAGAAGAAAAAGGTATTTAAGTATAAGAAGACAGATTATAAGATATATTATAATGCCTTGAAGAGACTCTGTAAGAGAGTAAAATAATAATGATTTTAAGTAATACTTCTAATAGATTTAGACTGAACTAAGTATAGAAATAATGTGAATAATACTGTCTATAAGAGATTGAAAAAGAAGATAGTGAAGAGTCTTATACAGACTACAGTAGTAATAAGATTAGAAGAAGTTCTGAGAATAATTTAAAACTAAGATAAAGAGAGAGAGAAAGAAGAAGAGTATTACTGTAAATAAACAGTAGTAGAAGAAGATTGAGAAGATATTAAAGTAAGAGATAAAAAAGTCAAAACTAATAAGTTTTTTATTAAGAGATAATAATTTTTAATAATACTTCTGTTCTCTAATTGATTAGCAGAAGCTGATAGAGAAGGAAATTGAGATCTTATTCAAATCTTAAATGCACTTTATAATTCAGAATATTAAGAAGACAGTTCTACTCTCTGAGTATATTAATCTGCTTATCACTGAGATAGAACCTGAGATAGCAGACTAGAAAATACAGGATTTTGAGATACAGATTAATCTGACTAAGAGAGAGCAGTGAGAACTCTCTTCTGAGAAAATAGCAGAGAGAGATTTTGAGATAATTATTATCTTAGATAAGAAGAAGAAGAAGAAGTAAGAATAAGAAGTAAATTATGAAAAATGATAAGAAGAATAAGAAAGAGAAGAAAGATAATAAGTAGAAAAAGTTTTTTTCTTTTTATATTAATTAGTTATAAGTTCATAACTATTAGTTAATAATTGAAATTAATTTTAAGTTTTCAAAAATTATTGTACAAGTTATAATCAATTAT